GGATTCAGATTGGTCTTGAAGGCTTCAAATTACAGTACAAAAATTTAAATAAAATTGTAAAAGGTAGAATTTTGCCTCATTTGGAGCCTTTTAAATATGGAAGATAAATATATTAGAAAGAACCTTATTAAGTAGTTTGGACAATGTGGAGTCTTACGAGTATATGTGAATTATGTTCTGATTTTTTTGTTAATATAAAGGTAAATTTTCACAATATTAGAGGTGCATTTAGAAGGCAAGATTTCATTTAGAGACTAAGTTATGGGACTTCATTATTTCATTAATAAACCTTGAAAACAGACTACCCCTAACTAAATTTAATTTGGCAATAAAGTTAGCAGTGCTGTAATAAGTCAATTCTGACAAATGTGCCTTATAATCATTTTACTGAAGACCTCTGGTGACTGCTGCGACCATTACATGGTTAAAACTTGCTGTTTTGTTGTAAAATGGAGTTGAAAGAGTTGAATAATCTGATTTTCCAAAATGAGTTTTTCTTGGCATTCTGTTAAGATGTTAAATTTCCTTCATATTTAAATACTTTTATTGTAAGAGCTGCCCTCATCCAAAGCACTTAAGGAAATGTCGCCAGAAGTTAAGTAATGGGTTTTAAAAATAGATTATCAAAATTTACTGATAACTCAATCTGTGAAACAAATCTGGTCTTTGTGGTTTCTCATGGCCCAATTAATGATATGTCTATTATATGCCAGGTTTTGTATATTGCTTCTTGAAAGTATCCATTAAAATCTGAGTCATTTGGATTTGAAGATCTATAGATACTTGATAGAGTAGTAACCTGATATAATTATGAGTGTCTACTTAGTTCTTGGAATAGAATATTAAATTTTACAATGTGGTCTTTACCGTTTTTTTTCTTCATATGCCAATCCTTTCACCAAAGAACAGTTAAAACCAAGTGCCGAACTGTAAATGCTTACTCCCCTGAAATATACCATTAGAATAAAAGATAACCTCTCTCTTTACATGTGAGTATAAAATTAAAGACAGTATTTTAAATTGATGTCACATGGAAGAAGAAAACCTACATAGCTTTTGGTCTTCTACTTGTAGTAGAGGGAACAATATCTTCACACTACAGTGAACCATTTTATAGCTGGATGAAACTAAGCTTATCAGATGGCAGACTTATATGCTGATAGAAATTGATGCACTGATAAATGATAAAATGAAGAGAAAGGGAAAGAAAAATGGAGCTGAAATAGTAATAAAGCAATTAGGTCATTAAGTATAGAGACAAACAGTTCTGTGTATTTTGAAAATAACTGGCAGCCAGTGGTCCCTGAGTTATCCTATATATAATACAGTACCATAATTAATGTTCATAAAGCCCTTGAATAATTATTTAGAAATACATTATTATTTAATACTCTGACCCCCCATCAGTAAATAATTTCCAACAAAAGACAGTGTTACTTCTTAGATGGATAAGCTGCATATAACTAGAAGGTTCACTTTCAAAATAAAATGTCATGGAACCAAAAATGGAATGTATAATAGCTATTTTGATACTTAGCTGAATAGTTAACAGGGGTCTGAGGAATTTTTTATTTTTATGGAATGGAAATTTTTTAATAGAAGAATGGAATTAAGAATCGATTTTGAGTATAGAAAATGAAAGACGGCAGTTTTGCCTAGTAAGTTTAAAGAGCAGAGGTTGACAAACTACAACCTGCCGCCTCTTTTTTTACATCTGATGAGCTAAGAGTGGTTTTTACGTTTTCTAAATGGTTGAAAAAAATCAAAATAATAGTATTTTGTGGCACATGAAAATATATAAAATTAAAACTATTGTTTGTAAATAAGGTTTTACTGGGACACGGTCATGCTTATTTACATATTTGGCTGCTTTCCAGCTACAGTGGTAGAATTGAGTAGTCTGAAGGACTGTGGTGGCTTGTAATATCAAACATACTATCTGACACTTCAAACATACTATTGTCTGACACTTTACATAAAGTGTGCCAGTCTTTGACATAAGGGATAGATTTGTGCATACATGGCAGTTTGGCTACTTCTGGCTGGCAGGATAGGAATATTGATTTAATTTCTATTGCCATTATTTAGATTTTATTTTATAAAATGGGTTCCCCTGATTCCATTTATATCTTACCATCGCTCAAATACACATATACTAGGAGATACTAGTATTTTTTACATATGCCTTTTTCTCCCAAACCCTTAAAGCATTGTTCTGTGTTTGCCATGGATATTAAGGGACCTGATGTGTGAAGGAAAGGCATCTGGCACTAATTGGTTAAATCACACCTGTAAAACAATTGGGGCTTTGGGGAGTTTGCCTTCTGTGTTGTTGAGTAATGGATCGCTTTCAATATAAACACTACCTCCTGTGGATAGACTTGACTAATGTGCACTTAGAAAAGGACTGAGAGAAGCCAAATCAGTCATTTATTAGCCCTGTAATATTTTTGTTTTCATCACTTGATAAACTCTAAGAGAGCTTAGTTTTACATTCAGAAAGTATTTATATTTGATAAGTCAAATGATGTAAGTTGAAACTTCACAGAAGTACCTGTTCATTCCTCAATTGACTGTACTAGTAGATGGGAAATAAGGGTGCAGTCAGTTGTGTTTGTGTAATGCTTTATACAACGTTTGAAGCAGGTAGACCTATACTAAAATTGTATTTTCAGGTTCATTATGACTGAGTGGAGGGAGGGAGAATCTGTGTCTGATCCACAGTAAAACTTTCATAATCTGTTGAGAGTTGACTGTTATCACTTGCCAATTGAAACTGGACATTGAAACATTTTTAAAGAAATGCACTTTAATCTGAAATAAAACAAACAAAAAAAATTATGGTACTTGTTGTTCTTTGGTTTTTGTTTTTTTATTTTTGTGTTTCAGTGAGCCCTCCTGAAATGAATGAGAATAACATAATCCAGATACCAACCTAAAAGTGAGCATTGTATTTGTCCATGAACCATTCATATTCTTCCCCTCTTTTATGGCCTATTTTTAACCGTAGAGGATCTCTATTTTATTCATAGTCTTATGGGTTCCACACACTTCTAAATCCTTTTTTTTTTTTAAATTGAAGTATAGTTGATTTACAATATTGTGCTAGTTTCAGGTATACAGTGAAGTGGTTCAGTTATATATATGTTTTTCAGGTTATTTCCATTATAGGTTATTACAGGATATTGAATATCATTCCCTGTGTTACACAGTAAATCCTTGTTGCATATCTGTTTTATGTATAGTAGAGTTTATCTCTTAATCCCATACTTCTAATTTATCCCTCTTTCTCGAGAACTCCCTGTCCCCTTTGTTAACCGTAAGTTTGTTTTCTATGCCTGTGAGTCTTTCTGCTTTGTATAAAGATTCATTTGTATTATTTTATAGATTGTGCATATGTGATACAATACTTTCTCTCCGTATGATATTTTCTGTGTCCATCCATGTTGTTGCAAAGGTCAATATTTCGTTCTTTTTTATGGCTAATATTCCATTGTGTGTGTGAGATCTTTATATATATATATATATATATATATATATATATATATATATATATCGCATCTTAAACTAATTGTTGATGGGCATTTGGGTTGTTTCTGTCTTGGGTATTGTAAATAGTGCTGCTGTGAATGTTGGGGTACATGTATCTTTTCTAATGAGAGTTTTTGTCTTTTCCAGATATATGCCCAGGAGTGGGATTGCTGGATCATACGGTAGTTCTATTTTAGTTTTTTGGAACCTCCATACTGTTCTCCATAGTGGCTGCACCAGTTTACATTCCCACCAACATTTCTGCACACCATCTCCAGCATTATTTGCAGATGATGGCCATTCTGACCAGAGTGAAGTGGTACCTCATTGTAGTTTTGATTTGCATTTCTCTGATAATTAGCAATTTGGAGCATCTTTTCATTCGCCTGTTGGCCATCTGTATGTCTTCTTTGGAGAAATTTCTGTTTAGATCTTCTGCCCGTTGATTGGGTGGTTTGGTTTTTTGGTATTGAGTTGTGTGAGCTGTTGGTATATTTTGGAAAGTAACCCCTTGTTGGTTGCATCATTTGCAGATATTCTCTCCCATTCCGAGGTTGTCTTTTCGTTTTGTTCATGGTTTGCTGTGCAAAAGCTTAAAGTTTGATAAGGTCCCATTTGTTTATTTTTGCTTTTATTTCTTTGCCTTAGGAGACTGTAAATCCATACTTTTAAAGTAAGGGGAAAAAAACCCGAAATACTTAGTGATGTTGAAAAATACTGTATTAGTTTCCTATGGCTGCTGTTAACAGCCACAAGCTGAGTGGCTTAAATAACAGAAATTTATTGTTTTGGTTCTGGGGGCTAGAAGTCTGAGATAACTTTGTCAGCAAGTGTTGGTCCCTTCTAAGGGCTGTGAGGAAGGCTGTTCCATCCCTCTCCCCTAGCTTCTGTGGTTTGCTGGCAATTTTTGGCTTTCCTGGCATGTAGAAGCATCACCCCAGTCTCTGCCTTCATTTTCACATGTACTCTTTGCTCTTGAGTCTCAGACACACATTAAGAAGCTTTAGGACAGCAGTATTACTACGGCTCTAAAGTATTGTGGACAGATCTTTCGCTTTTTAGAAAGGATACTCTATAAACTTAAGCACAAGCCATTATTGGTTGGCACTCCACCCTTTGCCCATGCCTTTGCCACAAACTGCCAGCCCACTGGATACAGACGGGGAAGATCCCCTTTGGGATCCCACAGATCCCACAGCTATTGGATCCCACAGTTATTTGTAAAGCATTATAAGCCAAGCCATAAGGAAAGCTTGCTGAATACAAGTATGGATAGAGTTTTGAGAAAGTCTACACGTGTGCATTTTTTTTTTAATTGATGTATAGTTGATCTACAATGTTGTGTCTGGTGCATTTAACAATACTTTTTTTAAGTTTAATTTTTTTAGTGAAGTCTAGTGTAGGGGGTTTGCTTTTGTTGAAGTTTTTATTTGTAGATCTTTAAAAATAAATAATGCTCATTCCATCAGTGGTGTTTGTTGCAGAATTGCAGATTTTATTAGTTACTAGCTTAACACCAGTGTATATTGACTAGCCGCTTTATAACTTCAGAACTACAGTCAGCAAGGAAAAGGTGAATATCTGCCATTTAAAAAAAATGTGTTTAACATATTTAGAACTCTTGATTTAGAAAAGAAATACTGTTAAAACATTTTCATAATGGAGAAAGATTCTGGGTTGAGGCAACAGTAATATAACAACAATGCAGAAACTTTAAAAATGTCTATTCTGAAATTAAACATTTTAAAACCCAAAGGAAAATTTAATAATGGCAATTAAAAGACCTATGGGTTTAATGTTGTCTCAGGTTTTATGTGCAAGTCCAGCAGATAAGTCTAGTTTAATAATTGGACAGATTAGTTGTACTAACCTTTGTTTTACTGGTGAATTATTGGGGTACATATAGAAACAAGGGATGGTACAACCATGAATCATATTGACACAAAAAGCACTACGCAGCTTCAGAACTCGGGGAATAGTGGAGAGTCTAAACAAATGCTGACGGCAAGATCTGTAGGTGCTGTAGACAGATGCAGTGCTTTGAAGTTCCTAAATGGCTTCAACATAGTTGGCTGGGAGCATGCCCGTCCTGCCAGTCCTCTGCACGGTGCCATACATCCAACCTTCATCAACAGTTTGAACGTTTACAATGGCATCCCCATCTTTGAAGGACACCTCATCTGCATCTGCAGCCATATAGTCATACATGGCACGGAAGATTTTCTATCGGCAAAGACAAAAAAGGGAAATATATATTAGATTTGCAGCAATTAACCCGAACACCTAATTTTAGTTTCCACCAACTTAACTTGCACAAAACAGAATGTGCAACTACCTACCACCAAAACTAAAAGACAGCTCACAAACTAGGAGAAAATATTTGCTAATCATATATCTAATAAGGGATCACTATCCAGACTATATTAAAAAAAACTCCTATAATTCAATACTGAAAAGGGACAGGGGCAAAAGGTCTGAATTCTCCAAAGGAGATGATAAACCAAGAGCCAATAAGCCCGTGAAAAGATGCTCGACATCGTCAATCATCAGGAAAATGCAAAACTACAATGAAATACCCCTTCACACACACTGGAATGGTGATAATTGAAAAGATAGTAACAAGTGTTGGGGAGGATATGGAAAAATTTGAATCTTTATAAACCGTTGGTGGGAAAGGAAAATGGTGCAGACACTTTGGAAAACAGTTTTGGAAGTTCTTCCCATTTTAAGAGTTACCATGTGACCTAGCAATTCTACTCCTAGGTATATACACAAGAGGAATGAGCATAAGTCCACATAGTAACTTGTACATCTGTATTCATAACGGCATTATTTGTAACAGCCAAAAAGTGGAACTAGCCCAAATGCCCACCAACTGATGAATGAAGAAAAGGTATTCACATACAATTAAATATTTGCTAATAAAAAGGGATGAAGTACTGATACATGATACAACATGGATAACCTCAAAACATTAAGAAGCCAGTCACAGAAGACCACATATTGTGTGATTTCATTTATATGAAATATATCCCAAATAGGCAAATATATACAGAAAGTACATTAGTGGATGTACTAATCTAGTGTTTTGGAGAAAAAATTTGAAAAATCATAGCAATATTGCATGTTTTTCTCACTTTGGGAATTTGGGAGCATACCAGTAATAAAAGTTCTGGAAAGCTAACCTCCACAATGTTTTTTTTTTAAAGAATTGTAGCATGGTGGGAAAGGAAAATAGGGCATTACTAATCAACAGGCATAAAGTTTCAGTTAAGCAAGATGAATAAACCCTAGAGATCTGTTCTAGAGATCTCTAGGGATCTGTACACAACCTTGAATCTATAGTAAACAATAATGCATTATACACTTAAAAATATAAGGGTAGGTTGATCTCGTGTTCTCACAACAATGAAATAAGGTTTTTAAAAACTAACAATTTAGAGATAAAATTTGAAAGTGCCCAAATTTTCTTCATAGGAGCAGTCACTGGTTAGTAATTTGGTATGAGACCTACATATTTTTTGCTAGCATTCTGAAATATACACAACATACATTCACATTCAAGGATAGGTTCCCCCCTGCCCCACATAAGTGGAATACTACTATAAATAGTACTCTGACTTGTTCCTTCCATTTAATATAGCTTGGAAGTCTTTCCATATAAATATAGATTGATCACATTCTTTTTTACTGCTGTAGAGAATTCCATATTTTAGTACTATCGCAAATTATTTAGCCATTTCTATATTTCTGGACATTTAATTGTCACCATCTTTTTGTCACCATGTTTTCATCCACTAACCCTATAGTGTTTGTCTTTGGGCAGATATTTCAAAAGAAAGCTTTTAAAAGTAAAAGTATTTGGTCAAAGGCATGTGCCTTTTAAGTAAGTTTTTTTAGAAAGTTCACTACTATAATGTTCTAATATACTTTTATTGTTGCATATTTCTGGTTAGTAGTCAAATGGTGAACATGTTTTTTTTGTTGGCCATTTTTTAAAATTTTGCTGTATATTGTCTATTCATATGCTTCCAGGTTTTATTTTGAAGGGAAGGGGGATAATATGTCAATGAACTTTGGATACTTTTTGTGTTTTTAGATATTAATCTTTTTATTTAGTATAATATTTTTTCCCAGTTTGACATTTCTTTTTGCTATAAAAACATTTAACCTTTTATGGTCAAATCTGTCAGTCTTTTCCTTTACATATCTAGATTTTGGAGTCTGCTGAGGAAGGCTTTCACCATTTCCAATTGTAAAAGTAGTCTCTATTTTTCTGTAGTATTTTAGTTTTCCTTTTTTTTTTCTCTGCTGATTTGTAATTCTTTTAGGGTCCATTTTTGGACTTCATCTATTTTAAAATCTATTCTCATGCTAAATTCATATTTAATTACAATAGCTTTATAGCATATTTTGCTCTTATATGGTTAAGTCCTTTCCTATTATCATTTTCAAAATTTGCTTATTCTTGCATCTTTACTCTTTCAAATAAATTATAGGAGTAATGTATAAAAATTTTTAAAATTTTACTAGGATTTGATTGGAATTGCCTTGAATTTATGGATTTATTTCTGGAGAAATGACTTCAAGATTCCCTTCCTGAACTATAATGGGTCTCAATACTTAAGTCTTATGTCCTTTAGTAAAGATAGTTTTCTACATACAAATATTGTTCATTTCAATCCTAAAGAATTATGTTTTTGTAATATTATGAATGAGATCCAGGGTTTTAAACTAAGAGTTTTAAAGTAGTCCTGGTGAATTGTGAACATGATTTGACTTATTTCTTCAATGTATATTAATAGGGGATATCTAAGATATGACCAGATTACGTGTGTGACATGTGCATACACATATATTTGGGTTGGCCAAGAAGTTCGTTCGGGTTTTTCTGTAAGATGATGGGGAAAAATCCGAACGAGCTCTTTGGCCAGCCCAATATATTCTGGAAGAATGATTCCAAGCCACAGATGTTTTGCTTTAAGATAGTGGGTGGGTCTAATGAGACCAAAATGATGACTTTGCTTTAGGCTTTTTTTTTTTTTGGTGTGTTTGTTTTCAATCACCGAGTAATGCTTTTTAATTAATGTGAGTTGCTAATGAAGGTTTTCTGATAATTTATTACTGTTAGCATGAGATGTGTAGTAAAAGAGCATTATGTAAAATAGAAGATTCGGTTAATAAAAAAAAAAGACCAGAACACCTATAATCATTATTGCACATATCAAAAAGTGAGAATGACTTGAGTAAGTTACTGTTACTTACGCCAGCAGTAGATGGATGAGATGGGATGGAGGATACCGTTGTCTGCTGGGTAGCAACTGAAGATGATCGTTGCTGTGGGAGCTCTGTGGTTTTTGCATGTTTGTAAGCTGAAAAGGGAGAAAATGGTTTATTAGGAGAAAACGTGACTAGACCTCATTTAATCTGTGATTAGCAACTGAGCTAATCTTTTTCCCTAATTTAAAAAGAATGATTTCCAAGATAGGAGGAATGAAAATGAAATAGCTAACTGCGTGTACCTCGCCACAATTCTAGTCCTCTCATTAGAAGAAAGGATCTAGATGTTTTTTGTTGTGTTTTTACTCAAAGCATCTCTTAACAGTAACCTCCAGGGAGCTAGCTGGTTGGCTGTGGCTGTCAAGGTCAGGGCCATCCACATGTACCTGGTGAGGTTGCAGAGAAGAAGACGCCCCCGTCGCTGTAGGTGGAGAGGTGGGCACCTTCTGAATGCTCAGACTTCTCCTCGCCGCCACTGACGCTCAGCGCGCTGGCAGATCGAGACTGCTCCCGGCTCCGGCGCTGAGCTTGTGCTGGGGAGGTAAGATCCATTGGAGAGGGAGCAGAGGTGAAACTTTTTATAGCAGCAATGCCTAACGGTAATTGACTCTCAGTTGGCTTTTGTTTGTTGTCATGCATGCAGGGTTTTAAGTAGATTTCTGTGGATTAAACCCTCAAAAACTCTTATGATACATTTTCCAGATGACAGTTTAATCACCCAAGGTCCCCTATCCGTTAAGTGGTACAGCCAGGCTTCCAATCCCGGAGTCTGTCCTTGACTACTACTCCATCCCTCTATCCTGCTCATTTTCCGGGCTCACTAAAATGAACAGATAGTAATGTGCACAAATTCCACCTTTCAACTTCTACAGAACATGCCCCCTAACTTCCAAATTTATTTAGATACACTTTCTCTGTGTTTCCGCAATCTGTGTGCAGACCTTTAAAATTGTACATGTCAGGGTGTAACCACTGATTTACTGGTCTCTCTTCATCAGTGGACTAGAGTATAAATCCTTTGAGACTTATAGGCACTACATATTGTTTTACTTTTAACATGAATAGAAGGCATAAAGGTATGTGGCCTGTTTCGTTGAGTGGCTAATCTTCCTTGACGTAAGAGAGTTCAGAAAGTTGTTAAAGGGCAAATCCATTCTCTTCCCTTTGCTTATGTATTTTTTTTTCATTATTTCTCCAACAGAAAGATGTACTACCTTTTTTTCTTTAGGAAAAAAAAAAAAATGATAATGGGGACTGAAGGGGACTTACCCTTAGGCAGTGAAACAATCTTTCCTAACTTGAACTTGTCTAGAAAATGAGCTTGGCCCACTAGTCAAGGAGGTGTTCTTATGCTGAATGGGTGTCTCAGGAAATTGAAAGCCCTGGAGGAGACGAACTTCTGAGCCTAAAAGCCACTGGCACTAGCCCACTAAATGGTGATGTTTACGTCGTAAGCCTTTTGTGGCATCACATACCATTAATCATGTGTAAGCTTCGGGACTGAATGTTGTCTTCTGCTGGATCATAGTCAAAAACTGAGCCAGGATTTGTACGCCAGACACGTAAACCTGAAAGTGAGATTCAGGATCAGCACAGATGTTCTTGGACACTTGCGATAGCTTGGAGACCAAGGCATGAACCTAAACAACCACAGGCGGATTGAATAACACTCATTGAGCTTAGTTCTAGGAGGGGAACAAAGCATAAAGTAGATTTCAGCTTTGTAAACAGTGAAGTGATAGGGGTTTTCTTTCACATCTAATGAAAATACAGATTGAGGTCCTCTGGCCTTTGCTTTGCTCTAGATAATGTCACTTGTGTTCTTCTACCTTCCTTAACGTTGATTTTTCTCCCCAGGCTCCAATTACCTGTAATAGTTTCCTGATCCTGGTCATTCCGTTTTTGTTCCATTTCTACCACTTTTCTCTGAATACCTCGGTAGTTAATGTCACTGAAGTCCTGTGTGTTCTTCTTTACTCGTTCAGTGATGGGGTCTGTCACCACTGGTGTGAAGCAACCCTTGTGTTTCTCGAAGTCTTCATGATATTTCACCTGAAATTTCACGAGTTCACTTGGTGAAAATAGGATGGTGTGATCATTTCCTTTTTTACATGTTCCAACAGGCTGCCCACCCAATCTGAGGAATTCCTGACTCACCGTTGAGATGTGGCGTTGGGTCTCCCTCACCCGTCTCATCTCTGGCGTGTCCAAGACATAGGCAGCTTTGCCTTGTATTTGTTTCCGGAAGCTATCAGAATAAAGCACCTGGCAGAGGAGAGACCATGAATGAGGACAGGTTGTGGTACCGTCCTAATTCTGAAACCTCAAAACCTTTCCAACAGATGGAGGTGAAAGAAACTGGGGAGGGAAGCTTGAGTCACCTGAAAAGCCCCAGCTCACCCATGACTGACAGAGGAACAGTTAGCATGAGGGTGGACAGGCAGGGCTTGAATGAGACAAAGAATTTCTTTTGAGTTTGAGGAGACAGGGCAAAGTATAATTTTGAAAGGAAGGGGAAAAAGTGATCTCTTGAATTTGCTGGGAGTTGTAGCACCAGCACATTGGATGATATTTGGAGCTAAACGTGATACTGACGTTTGAAAGAATTATCCTTTAAAACAAGTGATCATTTTTTGAAGGAGTATGTCCAGATTTCATAAACCAATATGCTAATACAGAAATCAAAATCTCAGAAATGAAAAACCCAAAATATCAAAGTCAGAGAAGGCTTCCATTTCAGAGTATTACCTGTTTCATAAGGTATCTTAAAAAAGTATTGCTGAAGATTGAGGATGTTAGGAAGTCAATTTGTTACACTTGGTTACATAAGACTACCTCAGAGTAAAGTAAAAGGGAAGAGGAAACACTGGCAATTAACTTGTTATGTCTTAGTACAGTCATTTGGAATTTAAAAGCACAGGTATGTTAATTTTAGTGTGAATTTTCAGTTGAATAAAAACACTTTTTTATGATGTTAAAATGTTATTTTCCAAGTTGTTGCACTACTCCTTCTTTAGTCCTAGAAAATACCGAGCTAATGTTTTCTTGGTTGCGCTTAGCTCTCTCCATCTCTGGAGTGACCGGTGTCGGAGTTGCTTTTCTCATATTCTCTTTGTACAATACCTAGAGGGGCCAAGAGAGCATCCAGATATCAGAGAGCAGAAACCCAGTTCTGAAAACCATCATCGAGCTGTTGTTATGGCTCAGTTATGTCACACTCTATAAAAACACCTCAAGAAGAGAAAGCCATTAAAATGTTATTGTAGAAAGCAAAAAGTGACGAAAGAAGTAAATCAGGTGAGCCGGTGGGGTTGGTATGTCATTTTTAAGTAGGTAAAGAAGAATTTTAAAAGATAAAAGTTTTGGGGAAACTGTGAGATAAGTTAGTGGTATAACCATGTTTGCCAGACTTGTTAAAAGTGTCACCATTTCTTTTTTCCTCTCTCAAATACCGAGCTAAAGTTTTCTTGATTGCGTTTGACTCTTTCCATCTCGGGAGTAAAGAGTGCGGGGGTGGCTTTCCCCAGGTTCTCTTTGTATAACACCTGTGAGATACAAAGGTGGACCTGAAAGTCACTAGGAGGCAGTATTCAGGCTATTCAATATAATGCAATTTGGGGGAGAAAACTCCAGGTTTAATCTATTACTATTAGTGAGTACAACTCTAGAAGAAAGCTTAAAAAACAGTTAATGGCAACAGTATATGTATATCATTTAGGGGAGATTGTAAAAAGCTGGCATCTTGTTTGTTTTAACCTGGGATGGAGTTAGGAGCAGGTCAAACGGCAGGGGTTACTTTGCAAAATTAAAAGCACTTTCATTTCTCAAGACAATACCGAGCTAATGTTCTCTTGATTGCGTTTGACTCTCTGCATCTCTGGAGTGACAAGGGTTGGGGTGCCTTTCCCCACATTTTCTTTGTACAAAACCTACATGAGTCCAATGGATCCAAAAAGCCAAAAAGAAAAAAAGAATTGCAGTTACCAAAAGATTAAACAGAACAGATCATTTGTTAGGAGGCTCAGGGTGCTAAACCATTTGGGCAATAAAATTAGATGGAAAGAAATACATTTCCAAAACAAGTTGATGTAGTTACAGCAAGACACATTTCTAGGTTAGGACCCTGCCCTGAAATCCTTACAGCCTGCAAGACAGAACTGCAGTTTTTGTGCCTAGTTCCGGGATGTGGGGCAGGGATGGGAAACTGCCTTCACTCTCCCACTAATCTACGCATGTCAAGCTCCTGACAGGTCATCTCACAGGACTTAGGGGCACGCGCTTGAATAACACAGAAGGTGGAGGCTGCTCCCTAAATAGCATAGGGAGACTGGACCCTTTTGCCACACTTGAACTCACATAGACACATCAGGAAAATGTATCCTTGCTATCATCTGTGCTCTGCCTCTTGCTTTAGTTCAGTACATCATCATACGTAGTAAGGAAAAATGTTTTCAGCAATTAGATCACTATCATGGTAAGTCAATAGGAAATATCGTGATAAATTCCCAACCTCGCTGTCACCTCAGTGTCATTCTTGGGGTTACAGGAGTTTCGGGATATGGCATTCAAGAGGAAGAATTCTGTCAAAGAAGTGGTTCTCAAAGCTGAAGTCCCTGGATAGCAAGGTCAGCATCACCTGAGCCCCTGCTGGAAATGCAAACTTTCTGGCCCAGCCAGATCTACAGAATGAGAGACCGTGGGTTTCCCGGTGATTCTAATGCACACTAGTCTCAGGAGTCCTGCGTTCCAGTATCCGAGGAACCTGCAGACAGTGTAGATGCGGAGGGCCGCTGGCGCTTCACTGCGTACACTAATGTCCCCACACAAACCCCAATGCCCCAGCAATCTATAAACGTATAAAATATCACAGAGCGCAGGCTTACAGAAAACGGCTTACTAAAATTAGCAGCTGAAGACCATGATAAATACAGAAGAACAAAGAGAACTAAAATTGGTAAAACAAAAAACAGTTCGAGTGACACTTTCATTTTTAAGTAAATTGACATTCATTTGCCAAAACCACTACTGGATCTTAAATTTATGTCGTTATCCCTGAAGGAGAGGATTAGGGGTTATTTTTCCCCAAGGTCTCTTTGTCCAAATCCGGCAGGGTAAATTAGAACCTAAAGTCAGGTGCAAAAACACAACAAAATCACAACTCCACTCTCTAGAAAGAGCCCTGTCACACCTACTACGCCACTCCCCAAATTTCACAAGTATGTAAAACAAAGAGACCTTAGGGGTAATGGATAGAGAGTAAGTTTAGGGAGAGAGGAGCAAAAGGATGATTTATTACTTTCTGATATTAGAACTTTAAAATATGGATTAAAGCAACCTTGTTATTATGGAGTTAAGTCTAGGAATAGCTCTAAAGGGAAGAAGGATAAATGTGATTAAGAAATTCACAAAATTTCAGTTGCCTTTAAAAAGTAGGATTAATATGTATTATTTTAAATCATTAAAGAAGTAGTTTCTTTTTTTTCCTTGCCAAAGTACCGAGCTAATATTTTCTTGATTGTGTTTGACTCTCTCCATCTCTGGAGTGACAGGTAAAGGGGTTCCCTTGCCCATGTTTTCTTTGTATAACACCTGTGTGATGAGAAAGCATCCAGAAAAACAACCATAAGTAACATTACATTTGTTGTGAGATTTTAAGGGTCAGTTCAACTTCCTTGTTATCAAATGACACAGTAGTCCGAGGAGCCAGGAGTTATGTGCTAACAAGATGCCACAAAAAAATTTAATGATAGCCACCTTTGGGATTAGCAAACTGACACTATCTGGGGTAGCAGGGCCCTTAGTTACTGGGGAAAGACTGGAGTTATCCTCCCAAACAGTCACGTGGGGATTTGAGATTGTTAGAACTTGGTTGTGTTGTTATCCAAGCAAACTAAAAGAAAAAAGGTTTCAAAAAACATTTTTTTAAATGCCAGATATAACAGAAATCAGAATTAACTTGAAAAAAAATCCATAATAGTACCACAGAAATGTGAAAGTATGTCCTTTTGCTAAAGTGAGGTATGTTAGAAGCAAAGGAAGGGAAGTGGATTTAAAAGAAGAATAAATGTTAAGAATCAACTTAATTATGACGTTAAATGGCATCTATTTTCCCTTTCTTTCCAAAATACCGAGCTAAGGTTCTCTTGATTGAGTTTGACTCTCTGCATCTCTGGAGTGATGGAGATTGGGATTCCTGTGCCCAGGTTTTCTTTGTATAGCACCTGTGTGATAGGAAAGCATCCAGAACAAAAAGAGCAATCAACCACTCTCCCCTTCTTGCAGAGCAGTTGGGAGTAGAAGGACAAGGAGGAAGAGGACCAGTTAGAGGAAGGGAAATACCAGAAGCTTCTAGATCCAACCTGTAGGAGCCTAAAGATGTCCTTAAAAGCAAGGGAATGCAGGAAGGAGCAGGGAAGCTAAGAAATTTGAAAGAATTATACTGTTTTGTTGAACTAGTCTCTGCATCACTGAGCAAAGGAGAGCACCATGGAAGGGAACGATGAGCTGCGCCCCCCAGCTTGTTATGAGGTTGGGGGAAAAAAGGGCAGAGGCAGAAGGAGAACCAAATAAGTTATTTTGATTTGGAAAGGTTTAATAAACACTGCATATATGAAGATGCATACACACAAGTCTTCTTTTGTTGATTTTCAAAAGAAGTCAAGGTATTTAATTTTTAGTTTAGGTGAACATATTGGGAAGAATTAATTATATTTAAATGGAGAACAGTGACAAAATGCTAAAAAAAAAACCCTGAAAATATCTATACAAATACCAGTAGAGACCAAGAAGGTTAGAATAGGAAATGAAGCCAACAGTTTAAATTTATTTGCAGAATAAATTTTTGTAAGCTTTACGTTCAACTGAAAGTTGCCAAAGCAGGATAATGTGGGTGCCTAGAGACTGGGAATGCTATGTTTTTAAAGGCTGGAATATCATATTGAACATTTTTTAAGTGATGTTAATGTTTAACCAAAATGGGGAAACTGATTCATGGGAAATGGCAGCATTAAGTTGCAAACAAGACACAAGACGTGTCAAAGTTTTTACTGGGATGAGTTGATTAGGTTTTAAAATATAGCCATTAATCTTTTTAAAAAATGGTTTAAAATTAGTTAAAGGGTTTTTGTTTGTTTGCTTTTTAAATACCGAACTAAAGTTTTCTTGATTGTGTTTGACTCTCTCCATCTCTGGAGTGATGGGAACTGGAATCCCTTTCCCGATGTTTTCTTTATACAACACCTGTACGATACAAGAAAGCATCCAGAAAAAAAAAGAGCAGTCAAAAACAGCCCTTTCAGCTATCGTGTAAGGAACGTACTATGAAACACAGACGTCAAACAGGAAAGACAAATTCACCAAGTCAATCTGTTTTTTCAAGCACAGATCTGGATGAAAACATGCTCCATATTTCCTTGGCTAAAGTGCTGGTGTATTTGATGTTCAACTTTTAAGCTAACTCATATATTAAATGTTGGTTTTCTGTGTTAGGAATTTTAAAAAATCAAATTAATTTCATAAAATTACTAAAATGCTTAGTGTACAATAGAAAGGTTATTTTTTAATTAGATGGGCAAATATTTATTTTCCCTACACAGAACATCTGTTTTACAGAATAACAGATATTTTAAACCCTAGGTCAAATCTATGCAATATAGGAAATTGGTCTTTGTTGGGTAAATTCAAGTTATAGAGGTGGTCAAGTCTAAATACATAGCACTGTTTATCTTCCATAGAATCTTAAAGGCTCTATGCACCACTGGATAAAAATTGCCTAAATGCAACCTATGTAAAAATTAACACAAATGGTTACTTAAAAGAAATTGTCCAGGATCATTAATATCTCAAATAGATATGAACAATAATATACTTACTGTAATACAGAAGAAAATGATTTTTAAATAGTTTTGAAAATTAATGTAAACCTTTCCAAAAGAAGGAATAATAATATATACCTATAGGGAAAACAGTGAATATAACATTCCGAAAATAATATCAATTTATACCGAAAATTTAATAAAATCAAAAGGTTGTTAGTGAATAGTAATTAAAAACAAAAAAGCAAAACAAAACAAAGACAGTGGGACCAAAGAAAGTTACTTAATTGTGTGAAAGACTCAAACTTTCAGAAAATATTTAAATGGAGAATTAAAAAACATTTTGGATCAAAACTCGCCCTACCTACCCGCCCACCCCCCCAAAAAAAAATCCAGCTAAATTTTCCTAATGACATTTGATTCTCCATCCCAGGCATAAGTAAATCTAAGATCCTTATATAAAAGTTTCACAGACTATTGAGTAGTATAGAGTTTTTTAGCAACAAAAATATTAATAAAAGAGAAAATAACATTAAATATAGACTCATGATCTAATTTGTATATTTTTTAAAAGATCAGAAGATCTGGATTTCTATTCATGGAATGGCTTGTTTAGAACAAGTATCAAGATAAGATTGCTTTGGGTTCCAATACTGAAGTGATTTTCTTTCTTGGTGCTCTGTTCATCCAGATAGGATCTATGTTAAGCTAAACCTTGTCCCTAGCAAGGGCCACTATTTCTACACATGGCTTCAAGCCCTGTGTCTTTTCTTTCAATGCTAACGCAGCTACATCAAATAAAAGTATTCCCAAGTAAATAAAGCTATAGTGTTTGGGGGTTTTGGACATCAATTAACTTCAAAAGTCCCATAAAACGTGAAAAGGGAAGGAAAGGAATCAATGAAACGTTTTAAGGGACTATTATAGGAAGTATAAAATGTTAGAATCAAATGGTGAGTAAAAGATCTGGAAAACAGAAAAATTTAGTTGATGAGATTTTTTTTTTTTTAGAAAAATGTGTTAAACTGATTATTTTAAAGGGACTAACAGAAGTTTTGTTTTATACAACGGTATTATCATTTTTTTTAATACGAGTTAAAAGAGCTTTCTCCCAAATACCGAGCTAAAGTTCTCCTGGTTGTGCTTGACCCGCTCCATCTCGGGAGTGACTGGGAGGGGAGTCCCCTTGCTCAAGTTCTCTTTGTACAGAATCTGTGTGCACAAAATCAACAATCAAATCAGCCTGGACCCACTGTTTAGGAAGACTCAGCTTATAAAATAGGTTCTAAAAGTATTTTTGCTTGTTTGTTTTCATAATGACATAAAATTGGCCTAAATAACTTTAAGAAATAGAACAAGTACAGATCACCTTTGGCCGTTTCATCACACACAATATGAGGTCTATCAGTAAGAGGCATTCATAGCAACCGAGCTGCCCGGCTGCAGGAGGAGTCAGTCACTTATATAAGCCTTCTCTCAAAGACAAGGACGGCCTTATCAGAGACAACTCAAGTTAACTGAAATTTACATGCCTCATGAGTTGCTGGTAACTCTAAATTAGGGAACCAAAAAAAGAGGGGGGGGGGGTTGGGGGAATAAAATAAATATTAAAAGCTAAATAAATATTAGCTTTCAATGATCCTGAAACTATTCCAAGGAAAGCTCATTTATCTCTCTCGTGATGTACCAAAAATAGCTGAGCCAAGTAAATCTGTATTTCTGAGTTACTCTGAATTGCTATGTTGTCTTTGGAATGAAAATGTTCAAGAATCACATTCTTTTAAGAAGAGCTGCGAACAAAATACATCAAACAGAGCCACAATAAATACAAATAAAATTCTAGCTAACATTATCCTTTCGGAGGCATGTTAGATTTTACTTTTGACTTGTGCCACACCGGTTAGAAACACCTACTGTTATTCAAGGGGAATTTGAGGAAGGAAGCACTAAGTATTACAGGTTTTTAAGGAATGTGATCAATAGCTACGTTTTAGGAAAAACATAGTTAAAATTTCACAGCAGAACTAAAATAAATACTAAATTAGATTTGGGTTGAAAACTGAGGTAATATTTGGTATCATTATTTTCATTATATGAATTTAGTATTTTTACAGGAAAATTATATATTGGTAATGTGTTAAAAATATTATTTTAAATAAAAAATAAGGGATTTTATTTTTTGGCCCCTAAGAAATACCGAGCTAAAGTTCTCTTGATTGCGTTTGACTCTCTCCATCTCTGGAGTGACAGGGGTTGGGGTTCCTTTCCCCAGATTTTCTTTGTACAAGACCTGTGAGATACAAGAAAGTACCCAAAAGACATTCAAAACAAACACAAAGATTAAGGAAGAGAGAAGATGGGGGGCAGGGGGTTGGTGTGAGGAGGGGGTTTTTTAGTGAGTAATATTTAGTAAGGATAATGCTTTTATTTTTTACTTCACATTTTAAGGATAAACTCTACAATGCTAATTCTGGGCATGAAAAGGTACCACAGAAAAGGTTGAGTTATGAATGGTGACGAATCTTACGTTAATTCTATTTACAGTATTTCAGATCTAAGTGCTCACACTTGTCAGTCGCCAAAAGTGTTAAAATACCATCAGAAAATTGAGTCATTTTGTGTAAGTCCAGATGGTCAGGTTGAACACACATACACACACGGACACACACAAAATTGGTGTTAAGATGTTGCTTTTTAAAAAAGGATGATGGGTTATTCTGGTAATTTTTTTAATGGGAAATCAAGTATCTTATTTGATATATTTGTAAATACCGAGCTAAAGTTCTCTTGATTGCGTTTGACTCTCTCAATCTCTGGAGTGACAGGGGTTGGAATGCCTGTTCCCAAGTTTTCTTTGTACAAAACCTGTAGAAGATAATTAGAACATCTAAAAAAGTAAAATGACCACGAATCCTTTGGATTACAGCTCTATGTGGGCTATTTGGTGGAAACTCATAAAAGCAATCTAGCCTTCAAACATGACACTCAGGGAATGAGGAAGGAAATGCCACAAATATCTATGTTCTCTCTTCAAAAGTAGTAATTTTACTACCTTGAAGACTGTACTAAATTATGCATTTTCTGTAGTCAACATTTAGTACATTCCTAAAATGCATTAAATAGTGCTAATGAATTTAACAATGAAAAAAGTCTAACCATTTCATAACATCTAGTATTAGTCCCTTGAATATAATGGGTCCACAATAGATTTGTACTTCAACAGATGGCTTGGCTTAGATTTTTCTAACCATGTGATCCTCTGTTCCTTCACAGTTGTTGAGAATTTTCTGTTTGTTTTGTATTTTCTTCTGAAAATTCCTAGCTGGCCTTTAGACTGCACGTACCCTTAATGCAAGGAGACTTAAACAGTTTATTTTTCCAGGAAGAGCATTTTTCTCTGAAATTTTTACTGATGACTGCTGGGTCTTGCCAATTAGTGTTTTTGAACAGGGAAGAGTCCCTATTTGTTCTGGGTAGTGTCAAAGGACTGTAAATGTTAATGAAACAAGTAAGGAACTTCCAGAGCCTCTTAGCTTCTTCCATTCCTCCCTCCCTCCCAATTTTAAGAATTTTCAGCCTAAAGGAAGGAATGAATTCTTTTTAAATGGATGGATTCTATGTTGCACTAGAGCACAGGCTGGGGAGCAACACAGAAATCCTAGGGGTTTGTGTCACAGATTAATTCCTAAAATCACTGACAAACTAGCGTTGATATCTTTTCTTTGCTAGGAAACTTTTCAGGATCTTTAAATATCTACCATCTTGGTACAAAGTTGTATTTCTTTACTAGGCAAGGCAACGGAACAGATCGTGGACCACAGAACAAAACAAAATCAGAGAAAGGCAAGAAGTTGCAATCAGAAGCAGCAAAGGAGATGCGGGCTGGTTTTCCTGGATTAGTGGACATGTAATTCTAAATGCAGTCTGTACCACTGGGAGCCAGAGTATAGGCAGGGAATGCGAAGGGAATGAGGTCTAAATAATACAAACGACTTGCAAGAGAAATAGCAACTGTCTTCTAATGGAAATTAAATGAGAGTTCAGGCCTCCAGGGGCCAGGCGGATCTCTGAAACCAAGATCCTCACCTTTTATGGGCCATCAGCTATTTCCCAAACTTCACACAATCTTTTGCTAGTAGCCAGCAATTGCTTAGAAACTGCTTACGGATGGAAGGGCGGCGCGCGTGCGCGCTGGCGGGGGGCGGGGGGGACGGGGGGGCGGAGACGGGGCTAGCTGGACAGAAGGTCGGGAGAGATGTGTACTAAACCTGATATTTCAGGTGTGGGAGAATCCCACCTCCCCCAAAACACACACTGCGCACAGGTGCCTGCGATTCCTGTTAGAGAACAGGGTTAAGGTATAATATACCCTTGTGGGTAGATGACAGCCAGCGCCTTGAACACGCGCTGTATTTACAAGGAGAGAGCAGAGGATACAGGGCAAGGGAGGGGAGGAGGCCGCGGAGACGTCGCTAGGCTGCCTAGGGTCTTCCGGACCGTGGAGAATGCCCTGAGGTATGTATATACATCCATGCATGTATACATATTTCTTTTCTATTTTATGTTTATATGTATATGCTTTTGGTTAACTACTTTGAGATCATCCCAATAAACTTATTACTACAGTCGGCACATTTTACTTTAGAAACTGCAGGTATGATGAGCAATCACGAAGCCTAGTGCCTTGTGCTCCTTATTACGTACAGTTTCCTCTTCTGCCTTTGCAAACCGCATTGCCCCTCACAGGGCAGGGAGGATTCGCGCCATCCTCGGGCTTGGGAAGCCCAGCAGAAGGGACACGGGGTGAGACAAGCCAGCCGGCGGGGGGAGGGCTGAGTGTGGGGGAGAGGCCGGGGGCGCATTACCGAGCTGATGTGCTTCTGTGTCTCCTTGACGCGCTTCACTTCAGGCAGGTCTGGGATGGGGGTTCCTTGTCCAACCGCCTCCTTATACTTCACCTGCAGGTGTAAAAGTGGGAACGTGTGCATGCGTTTGATTAGTAGCCCCGCGACGTGCGAAATCGCAGTTTAAACAGCACAAAACCTATGCTTAGGGGGAAGGGGGCCACATGCTGATACTGGGTCCGTGCCAAGGACACGGACATTTGGGCTCTCTCTGGTCTCTTTGGGGTGGGGTCCACACTTAGACTGAAGCCCCTTCTCTTCCCTGGGGTCTCCATGTCTTACAGCCACAGTTCATTGGCCCAGGATGGACACACTCACATATACATGCCAGGAAGAGCCGGTCTCTGACTCTCCCAACTGCTACTTTCTTACAGGTGACAATGAGTCTCTTCTTGCCCAAACTTGACTCAGTCTCCTCTGAACCTTCTTCCCAACTAGGCCTTGAGCTTCGGACTTCCTAGACCATCTCTGCACCTCCCAATTTTAGCCAGAAACCTGCTAAGTCAGTTTAGCCAAAATCCCCCACCCTGGATGTCTCATCATCCTTGATATCTGATCAAATTCCTTGACGCCCTCCGCCCCCAATCCCCCAGGAGAAGCCTGATCACCTTGACCTGCCTCCAGCAAAAATCCTGGTAGGTCGGTTTAGGCAGAATCTCCCATTTACCCCCGATGTTTCTTCTGAGTAATTTTCCATCCACTGATCCTTTCTCCACACCCCGACCTCCCCATCCCCTCATCCCTGTCCAACCATCCCCGCCCCCATAAATCCCTCCTTTCCCTTGTTGTATTTAGAATTGAGCTCAGCTCTATACCAAGATCACTTTGCCCCTATATCGCAATTGTCCTGAATAAAAATCTTTTTTTTTGTTTAACTGCTTAAACTACTGTCCAGCTCTGGTTTGCTTTGACACAGGCCTCTCCATTTTTTACATCTAACCAGCCCTCATGAAAACTGCCTCAGCACTGCATTATGAGATGACCCTTATTTTAGCAACTTAAGCTGCCTCCGGTGACAAAAGTCATGAGTGCAGCTCAGACATCAGTGTAAATCTTCAAAGGCGAGCAGAAAATTTTGAAAGTGAGTCCCCAGTGGCTGTCTTTACCGAGCTAATATGGTCCTGGGTTTGCTTCACTCTCATCATCTCAGGTGTCTTTCCAATCGCCGTTCCTGGTGAGACATCTTCTTTATATAAAACCTGGGCATTCAGAATCAGGACAGTGTTACACAGAAGAAAGGAAAACCCAGCAATTCCTGGAGAAAGACTAGGAAACTTGGCTTCTGTGAAAACAGAAGACACTAGAGAATGTTCTTAGGCAAGTGCTGGAGTATCTGGACTGTCTTCTGCATCAGCATCAATAACTCAAACCATGTATACAACACACATCTGAATTTCCAGATCTAGAAATTTCTTTTAAGATTATCACACTGTATTAATACATGATGAGAAAAACCAGAAAATGTTGATTAAAAAACCCTCCCATGTGAAACACAAAATCCATTAAAGAAATACAAAGTCAGTTATTTTGGGAAAGGATAATAAATCACAGTGTCAGAAAGAAATCCATCTTCTGGAGCAAGACAACACGTTACTGCTCTGGGATTTAAAAAGTTAAAAAGAAAAAAGCTCCTTTGTTAGCAGATTTAAGTTGTTATTTCAAATGGTCTCTGGGCTGATGATTTTAGAGCAAAGTATGGGGAATTTTAACAAATAACTGCTAGCATTAACTGAGGAGGTTAGATGTTAATTGTCTGAATCAACGTACGGCTAGTATATTTTCAAAGAGGAGCCTGATATTATTAGGTTAGCATTAAATGGAAAATAAATAGTAAATATACCGAGCTGAAATTCTTTTGATTTTCTTTAACACGCAGTATTTCTGGCGTGTCTTGAACAACTGTAATTTTTCCTTTACTGTTTTTAAGGTCACACTGGTATTGAAGCTATGAAAAAAGAGCAAACATCTTGGTAAGATTTCAACATTGTTTTATATATTGTATTATCCTATATTGTGTAAAGGAAGTTAAAATCTTATATTTAAAAAAAATTTCTATGCTACAATAATCATAGTCACATAGCCAACGGGAATTTCTTTAATAAGAATTTTGTGAAGAAACTAAATTTTTAAAGCCCTAAAACTAGTTTTTAAATATATATATCTTGCCTAGAGTTAATTTTGAAAAAGATGTCACCACCAATGGAAGATGGTGATAGTTCATATTCGGTGACAGGAAACCACCAACAAAGTAAGAGATGGGTCTTTCATGCTATGAGTTGGGATTGAGATATAAGGTGAGTTCAGAGAAGACAGGAGCACACAGCTCCCGGGCAGGGGGGGGGGGGGGGGGGGGGGGGGGTGTGGAGGGCTGCTGCAGGTAGATACGCAAGCATGTGTGCCCAGAGGCATCCTTCTTGCCCCATCTCATCCCAGGTACCAGTGAGCTGTGTCTTAGATTCAATAAAAACTCACAAGGCTGAAGTTCTTTTGGTTCTCCCGGATCCTCTGCATCTCTGGGGTGTCCAAAACGGTCTCATAATATGACATGCACTTCTCTGCATCTTCCTTGTACTTTTTCTGGAAATAGATTCCAAGAAACAAGGATAGGGAATAATACAGGGATATGGGCCAATGGGACTTAAAATAGCCCTTCCTACTCAGCAGAGGGGAAGTCCTTTATATTTTTTTGACTATTTAAGGATGTTAGGGAGTTATAAAACAGAGCCCTCTGGGTCAGTGAGTGCCACGCCTTTTCTTTCCAGGAGAACTGAGCCCAGGCATTTAATAGGACCCATTGTCATGGCAAAGCTGGCAGAGGGAGGCCCCTGTGGACTGGTCCACACGAGGGAGGCTGACAGCCCCTGAGGTTCCTGGCAGGGACTTGGGGATGTCTACAGTGAACTGGATGGAGCCAGGCTATTCAACAGGCAGGTGGAGAAAAGCAGGAGGGTTAAGAGCCATCGGCAAGGCCTCCTGAATGCCAGTCCTTGGTTGGTGACAAGGATATTTTCGCTGAGCTGTGAGCAGGTGTGGTCCAGGCTCCTGGCCAGAGCTCCCAGGGTGGGACCAGGAAATCTACATTCCCAGGTGTTTACTAAGTATAGTCAGGCCAGGCAACTACTGCTTTAGAACTCACTGATTAGGAGACAGGCAAAAATTCTAATTTGGGGCTACTCAAGTAAATTGCAGATTCCTGATCAGCAGTGAAGATTAAAACAAATGAGGGTATATCCTGGTGTATGAAGGACATCTTACTTTTCTTTATCTCTCTATTTGTAGGAAGATGGAGAGCTACCCATCATAAGAGGAATCAGGGTTAGATTGTGTGGTTAGCGTTGATGACATAATCTCAATCTTATTAAAAAAAATTGATAATCCAAATGTGGGCGGTCTACTTTGTTTCTTCCAGATTTGCACACAAATTTTACATCCACATTATGAGACTGATTCTTTAATTACGGGTGGTAACTCATGCCTGTTAGAATGGCCATCATCGAAAATACAAGAGATAACAAATGCTGGTGAGGATGTGGAGAATAGTGCACTGTTGGTGGGATTGTAAACTGGTTTTGACACTATGGAAAACAGTATAGAGGATCCACAAAAAATTAAAAACAGAACTACCATACGATCCAGAAATTCCACTTCTAGGAATATATCCAAAGGATTCGAAAACATTAACTTGAAATACCCTCACTTTCATGTTCATAGCAGCATTATTTACAATAGCGAAGACATGGAAACAACCTAAGCGTCTATCAACAGATGATGGATAAAAAAGTTGTGGTAGGGGCTTCCCTGGTGGCACAGTGGTTGAGAGTCCGCCTGCCGATGCAGGGGACACGGGTTTGTGCCCCGGTCTGGGAAGATCCCACATGCCGCGGAGCGGCTGGGCCCGTGGGCCATGGCCGCTGAGCCTGCGCGTCCGGAGCCTGTGCTCCGCAACGGGAGAGGCCACAACAGTGAGAGGCCTGCGTACCGCAAAAAAAAAAAAAAAAAAAGTTGTGGTATATATGTACAATGGAATAAAAACTGAGAAAATCCTGCCATTTGCAACAACATGGGTGGACCTTGAGGGCATTACATTAAGTGAGATAAGTCAGACAGAGAAAGACAAACACTGTATGATCTCACCTATTTGTGGAATCTAAAATCAAAACAAATGCCTAGAAAAGGTGATCAGATTTGTGGTTAGCAGAGGCGGGAGACTCATGAGGGTGAGGTGGAACTGGAGAAAGGTGGTCAAAAGTGACAAACTTCCAGTTATAAGATAAATAAGTACTAGGGATGTCATGTACAGCATGACGACGACTACAGTGAATGCAGCTCTAACACAGCTCTATGTTACATGTGAAAGGTGTTAAGAGAGTAAATCCTGAGAGTTCACATCACAGGGCAAAATTTTTGTCTTTTTGTTTTGCTTTCTCTCTTTACTGTATCTCTGTGAGATGATGGATGCTATCTAAACTTATGGAAGCAATCATTTCACAGTAAATATAAGCCAAACCATTACACTGTACACTTTAAACTTACACAGTCATATATGTCAATTTTATCTCACTAAAGCTGGAAAAATAAATTTAAAAAAATTATGGGTGGTACCATGTAAGAGTTCTTCAGTACCTTAAAATTCCCTCCTTTATTTTAATTCTGATACGGAAACCTCAACTCTAACTCCAACTTGCATCATAGACGAACCCCTTCTTTTTCACTGGGAAAAATTGTGATTTGAAAGAATCTTCTTTGGTATTAATGGACAGACTTGTTCTTCATGATTGGGGTCAATAAGTGATGTTCTGATGAATGTCCTTACCTGGCTTGAAAGGTTCTTGACTTGTTGGGCATGAATGATCTCCGGAGTATCAACCACAGAAGTAAAATTGGCTTTTTCCATTTCTGCTGATTGCTTATACTTAACCTGCAAAAGGACATCCAATAGTTGGGTAAATGTTTACAACGTGCACGTTTGTTGGCTTAGTTTGACTAAGAAGTGATTAATATTTCTTATCCAAAAGGATTCATTTATTTGCTAGCCAACATTTTTTCCCTATTGTGTCTATAGCTTTATGCTAAAGAGTGAGATTCAGAAAGAAAGGTTGAGTCCTAGCTGTTGAAAGGCTTACTATCTAGTTGGGGGCGGGGGCAGGGTGGTGTTGGGTAGGGTATGGGAAAGCAGAAAGAGAGAGATAAACAACAGATAGTAAGGCATCAATTGTTTACAGAAGAGCTAGGAGAAGGACAGATGAAAGCAGCCCTGGCAAAGGGCCCCTGATCCTTTCATCAGAATGCATTCCACCATATGGATATTTAGGGATGCCACTATATGTGTTTAACTGTAACTGATCAACAAGACAACAGAAGGACAACACTGTGTCCTTGTAATCTCAGCTACTTTTTTTGTTGAAAGACTGACATGGAACAGTAACACTGACCTGACTGGCAATATCTGTAGCATTCCTGGCTCTGAGGAAGTCGGGAGTTTCATTGGCCATGGCATTCAGGCCTCTTCCTTTGACTTCCAGCTCCAGGTCTCTCTTATATTCTTTCTATAGTAGCATTAAAAAAAAAAAAAGTTACTTAACTCATGACTAGGTAATAAATGTGCAGAGTGAATACAGATCCACATAACATGCCACCTCAGTTGCTGATGTCACCTTCACCTTTCCCTGCGGCAGGATGGAGTGGTGACAACAGCAGACCACTTTAGGAAACTATTCTACTCATGCCAGGCGTCCTTTGGAATGCTTTTTAGCATTCTCTACTTAGAAAATTAAAGTATAAAAGCACATTTTAAATCTGGTTTGGTATGTAAAGGAATATACTTAGGTGCCCACCACTCCAGTGTGCTGCCTTTATTTAAATGGGCACAACAAATGTATCAAGGTTAAATCAAATAATATTAGATAAATAACAGGTTACAATAGCCACTACAGAAACAGACTGTTACAATATCAACACATCCAAAATCGAGATATTTTATTTAATGGTTAATAATCATGTTGAATATGGAATCTGAAATACAAAAACTCTCTTTTTATTGCTTTCTGGTTTTTTATGCAACTTGGCTAAGAAGGAGGAGATGCTGGGTTGATTCTGTGCATGCAGTTGGCTGTGTGCCCACCTCATTGAGGATCTGAGTGGCGTTCTTTGCTCTTAGCATGTCGGGCGTATCTTCCATTTCACTGAGACCCTTCCCACGGATGCCTTCCTCTAGATCTTTCCTGTACTCTTTCTACGGCACAGAATACAAGCAACAATGCTGACAAGAAAGCCTGGATTATTCCTCTTTGGTGAAGAGCCAAAACAAAATAAAAAATCCTTCTAATTTTAAAGAGTTACAGTTTAGTAAATAAAGATATGAATAAAGGCAGGGTATAAGCTTCATTAGTTAATATTCAATGTCAAATAAGAAACTAGAAATTAATAGAAGGCTGAGGTAAGCACATTTTATTAGCTATTCAATTAAAAAATTAGAAGAATTAACATGGGTAGTAGATTAGGGGGTAGTACCAAACACATGTGAACCCAACTTGAAACCTGAAAAGTTAGGTGGTAGTGAAAATGGTAGAAGGAACACGTTGATGAGTGTCATTAGTGCAATTATTTGGATCAGGAGGGAAAGAAAAGACCAAGTAGGCACTACCTCGCTGGCTATTTTGGTTGCATATTTGACATGTAATAAAGCTGGCGTGACCTCCAGGCCAATCAGGTTTCTGCCTTTAATGGACTCTTCATAATCTTTCTTATATTCTTTCTAAAGTGAGTAGGAAGGAAAGACAAGTTAAGAATGTTTATTACAATTTCTTTCTCAATCCTAGGAAGAAAATAATTCCATTTTCCTTCTGTGTATGGCCTCTTAACTGATCTTAGTTCTGCTAATGGTCACACATTTGAAATATGCCTGAGTGTTCTGGAAATACTCTGTGTAGAGCCAATGGCCCAAAGAAACTCAGAGGCTGAGAAACTTTGGTGGCCTCTCATTCGTCTGTCTGCCGCTGTGATGGGGGCTGGCCCTTTGAAAGTGGAAGGATGGATATACCACCAAGACTCTCAATCCACTGTCATCTCTCCTGATGACATTTTTCTGAAGGCAACAAAAGATTTTACTTCTCAATTAGAAGTGACTCAAGGGGGAAAAAAACCAAAAACACCCCAGAGGAAGGGGAACCTGAGGGCACCAAATGCAAATTTGGCCTTTTTCATAATCATGACTATTAAGTCACTGAACAGATAAGGTGAATAATGTAGCACAGACAAGTTCTCAGGCTTTGCTCACTGTTGAGAGGGAGGGCCACGACCTCCCCCATCTCCTCTCCAATCCCTGGATGAGGCTGTCTTACTGGGAGGCTTGGAAGAGATGTTGGAACTTGATTTTTGTCATTTTTAATTTTGACAGAATTTTACATTTATAGAAGAGTATCAAGAATAGTACAAGGAACTCCCATAGTTCCTTTACCCAGATTCAGCAATTGTTTGAAACTCTTCAAAATTTTTCATTATTTGGCATTCTACACACCAGGAAGCTCCCCAAAATGTTATTTATTAAAAACCATTTATCTTTATGGTTGGAGATATGCCCATGGAGGGGAGGCAAAAAGAAATCCAAAATAAGCCTGTTTCCCAATGAAAACAGACTTACTAAGATTCAAAATAAGATCCATTCTTCTCTACTATTGCTTAAAAATTAAAAGAACTATTTTAGATGCCTCTGCTTACATTTCTAAAATAGGAAATATGTCATGTTGACTTGATATTTTGATAAAAATCCTGATTAAAAGAAAAAAGTCTTCCTTTTGGGGACTGGAGGCTTCCTATTAAGAGAAGAGCAATTCAAAGCCAACAGTAGGTCTGCACAGAGAGAACTTTTCATTCAAAGAAAAATTTATGTTATGTTCAAAATAAATTGTTTCAGTGTTAGGAACAGTTTTCTATGTTCTAATTCTATGAAAAGGATAGTTGAAATAAAACATATATGGTAAATGTTTACTATTCAGATCATTTCTTTTTATAATACAGCCACAGGATTTGTGAGATGGAAAAGATTTTAGTCATCACATTTTAAAGAGTCCCATCATCCACAACTTTGGGATAACAACAGGCTGGATACTTCTGTGGGTAGAGCTTGTTTTCATCAGCTTGATGGTATATTTGCTGTGTGGTGGGTTTGTGCAGGACTTACCCCACTCTGCATCTGCTGAGACTCTTTGGCAGTGATGTATGTTGGTGTTTCAAAGTCCAACATGGGCTTTCCTCGTTCCTTTTCATACTTTTCTTTGTATTTCACCTAGTTATGAAAAGCTTTATGAGATATGTCTTCTCTGGCCAATCTTTAGACAGACACCAGTTTAGCAACAGTATTTTTAATTGATACATTATGTCCAGTGGGTGGTATCTCATTGCCACTCAAAACAGTTTCCTGTTGTGATTCAGATCCAGTAGCTTTTTGTTTTGGCCTGGTGGGAGAACATCATTACTGTCTGCAAGGCATGGTTAGGATTTGTGTTCAATTCAAGGAGACAAAGGAATCACTGCAGAAGAATCAGCTAAGAGAAGCTGTGAGGCAAGAAAGTGCCTGGGGAAACCGCCCATAGATAAGGTTGGCCAAGATTTGATGTGTGTAGATGTGAACATTTTAGCCAGAGCCTCAGCCAATATTTCTGATTAAAATGTCCAGTTTTTCTTTCATAAGAACTTTTATGAGGGACCTGGGGTCTTGATTTAATAGATAATGCATACAGCTTTAATTATATATCAAAAACTCAATTGAGGTCATAACTGGTCACATATTCAGTGCTGCCAATATAGATTGGTATAAAAATGAAATCCAGGGCTTCCCTGGTGGCGCAGTGGTTGAGAGTCCGCCTGCCGATGCAGGGGACACGGGTTCGTGCCCCGGTCCGGGAAGATCCCACATGCCGCGGACCGGCTGGGCCCGTGAGCCATGGCTGCTAAGCCTGCGCGTTCGGAGCCTGTGCTCCGCAACGGGAGAGGCCACATCAGTGAGAGGCCCGCGTACCAAAAAAAAAAAAAAAATGAAATCCAGTTGACTAGTTGTTGACTGACTTACTAACAAACCTATCATTCTCAAAAAGACCCCCAAGGCTATTTTACAAATACAATCTCCTTATCCTCATCACATGTGACCAGGAATGGGGGGAGCCTATAGATATTCCTAATTTACACAGGAGACATTGAAAGAGATAGAGACAGAAGTCTGTGTCACGCAGCATCTTGATAGCAAAGCCCAATCTCAGCTCTCTTGCTTGTGACAACACATTAAAATAGAGGCCTGGACAACAGATGAATGGATAAAGAAGATGTGGCACATACATACAATGGAATATTACTCAGCCATAGAAAGGAACGAAACTGAGTTATTTGTAGTGAGGTGGATGGACCTAGAGACTGTCATACAGAGTGAAGTAAGTCAGAAAGAGAAAAACAAACACCATATGCTAACACATATATATGGAATCTAAAAAAAACGAAAAGAAAAAAAAATGGTCAGAAGAACCTAGGGGCAGGACGGGAATAAAGACGCAGACCTACTAGAGAATGGACTTGAGGATACAGGGAGGGGGAAGGGTAAGCTGTGACAAAGTGAGAGAGCGGCATGGACATATATACACTACCAAACGTAAAATAGCTAGCTAGTGGGAAGCAGCCACATAGCAGAGGGAGATCAGCTCGGTGCTTTGTGACCACGTAGAGGGGTAGGATAGGGAGGGTGGGAGGGAGGGAGACGCAAGAGGGAAGAGATATAGGGACATATGTATATGTATAGCTGACTCACTCTGTTATAAAGCAGAAACTAACACCACTGTAAAGCAATTATACTCCAATAGAGATGTTAAATAAATAAGTAAATAAAAAGTAAAAAGAAATAAATGAAAGGGATGATGTAGGTATTTTTAAATAAAATAAACACATTTTCAAAAAATAAATAAATAAAATAAAATAAAATAGAGTCCTGGGACCATGGGCTGCTTTACAGATGACAGGAGAGCATTTCTAGTAATTTAGACCTCTTGGTTAATGCCCAATGGGGGACCTAAATAGTGTTGAATTTGTGATATAGAAGGTCATGTGACAGCAAGTTCCTTCTCTAAGTTCTTTCCTCTGAGAATCTTAATTATTTTACAAATTTTGCAGTTTCTTCCACACCCAGAGACCACTTCAGTGGTGACCTGAGCATATCACTCCTCTGCTCCAAAGGCTCCCTATCATCCTTAGGAATCTTTTCTAAGGGTTCTGTCTCCCTTGTGATGTAATCTTCATGCTACCAGTCCCTGTCAGTACCCTGAATAACACATACTGCATGTCTATGCACTGTTTCTCCAACGTACGTTCACACTGCTCTCATTCATAACATAAACATTTGTTTCAACATGTTGCTAAATTCAAAGCCCCTAATATCTTTGGGTATCTTCTCAAGCAATGGTTACTACAACTATAACTACCATCCTTGGCGGGTAGGGGTGGAATACATCAAAATTTTTTTACATTGTAGAATGTGCAGGAAAAAAGTCAGTCTTGGTCAACTTACTACACTCTGTAATTCTGTGGCCTCTTTTAGATGAAGCTGCTCCAGATTGTCGGGTATTGTGTGGTAGTGGCCTTTACTCTTCTCATAGTTTTTCTTGTACTGGTACTGAGGGGAAGGTGGCAAAAAAAGGCACATTGATGGCAAAGCTGCTCAGCATTCCTATTTTTCCTCTTTACATTAGATATTTACACAGCAACAGCACCAAGACCAAATTAAAATTAGCAAACACTACATAGGGGGTTTAAGAAAATGTTTTAAAAGGATGAAGATCCACATTCAGTACTGTCAGTTAATACAAGGATGTAAACACTTAGGTTATATGGCTTATTCAAAGTAGGTTTTAAGGTGCAAAGTTAAAAGTGAAAGAAACTATTCCAAGTGGTAAGTCTATGTTTTTAGAAGGGGGAAAGGGAGTGGTTACTTGAAAAAAAATTTAAATAGCCCCAAAATAGAAGCATTTTTATATTCTGAGAGGTGTTAGAGTCAGTGGAGAACTGGTAGATTAATGTTGTAATTTGGAAGAATGCACTCAGAGAACAGGAGAGCTTTCTAATAAATGTAGTGCCTCAGTAGCAGAGAAGGAGATGCAAGTGACCTCAGAGAAGGAATTTAGTTGAAAATGGGTGAAACAAGCTGTTTCTGGAGCAAATGATTGAGCTTACAGAACTGGCGAGTTGGCTTGTATTCAAGACATGATTCATTATCAAAGATTCCTTCATGTCAGTCACAGGTTTGTGAAGTTTCTTCAAGTCAGCCTTATACTTAACCTGTACAACAGTAAAGGAAAAAAGGAAATCACATAAATAGGAAATGGAAAATGGTATTAATGGAAACCATAATAAGATGTCCCATCCTGAAACAAGTGCTGGGGATGGCGGTGAAAAACCATACCTCATTCACAATAGCCAGAAAGTGGAAACAATTCAAGTGTCCATCGACAGACAAAGGGATAAACACAGTGTGATGTAAACACACAATGGACTATTATTCAACCATAAGAAAGAATGAAGTTCTGACACATGCTACAGCATGGATGAACCTTGAAAACATTATGCTAAATGAAGTAAGCCAGACAAAAAAAGGGACAAATACTGTATGACTCCACTCACATGAAATCTCTAATAGGCAAATTCATAGGGACAGAAAGTAGATTAGAGGTTACCAGGGATTGGTGGGAGGGGGAAATGGAGAGTTATTGCTTAATAGTTATAGAGTTTGTGTTTGGGATGATGAAAGGGTTTTGGAAATAACAGTGGTAGTTGGACAACATTGTGAATGTAATTAATGCCACCGAATTACATATTTAAAAATAGTTAAAATGGCAAATTTCACATTATATATTTTACCACAGTTAAACAAACACATACCTCACTTGTGAGATCATTAGCATCTTTCATGATTTTGAAGAGCTGGCTGTCTTTTGGATTGTATTTTGGTGTCTTGCCCTTCTCTTTGTTGAAATTTTCTCGGTATTTAATCTAACAGCAAATGCAAAAATCCAAATTATTCCTGAGCATCAATTAATCTGAAGACTGAGGAATGGAGGAAATGTAAATGCAAAAGAGTATGTGCTACACATAAAGGGGTCATATAATTTATTATCCAAATTAGGACACTTCTAAGAGTAAAAGCACTATTAATAATTATGTTGGGACAACAGGCAATTGAGAATAAGATCAAGTGATATAGTATTTGTTTTGCTCATTTTTATATTACCCAGAGGTATGAAAGATATTCACCTTTTTTTGATGCAGAATAAAAATGCATGGGAAAAGGCTTCAGGCTAAATTCAAAGAAGTGATCTAATATATTTGATTCAGAACATTTTGGTCCTCTTAACTAGCAAAACCAAAAGCACTTTAGGTCTATTGCCAGGAGTTCCAAGAGGCTTTATAAATGATCAAGAAGGGTGGGAAGTAAGGAATCTATTAAATCAGGAGATTTATTGTTATGTACTTTGGCTATATCTTTTAAGTTTTTTTTTAATTGGCAAAAAAAATTGGCATAACTTCTGAGTAAAAGAAGCACAGAATTTGGGGGTTAATGGCTTCGGTATGATTTCAGGCTAGAAGAAGGAAAGAAGTGAGATAACTTTAGCAAAATGAGAAAAATAAGATTAAATATACTTGCAGGATACATAAAAGTAAGAATACACAAAGGACAAAATAACTTCAATTTAAAAAATAAGCGCAATGCCTGGCACTAATAGTTGCTCAATAAATGTGATCTGATTGATGAAAGAAAGAGACAGTCATAATGCCTAGGTAAAATAGCGAAAGATGACGATTTACTTATAGGGATATTCAACAGAATAAACTGAAAGTGACAGAAACATTTCCTTATTTAAAAACAGACTGATGCCTTTGTCACTAGGATTAATCCAGAAGTAGAACTCTACTAGTTACTCACTCTAGGAACAAAGAAAAATGAGCTACTTCTAGAAGTTAGCCAGCTGAAAGGGCAATATTTGATGCTCTGGGACACCTAGAGTTTCTATTATTGGTAAGAGGAAAGACTCGCTCATTCAAAGTTATTAGCACACCAGGATCTGGTCACCAGATATTTCACACTGTAGGCATTTAAAATCAGTACCCCTCATGCTTCATCACTTTACTTCCCCACAACTTTACACATCCAGCACAACAGGAACAAAAGGAGACCACTCAAATGCTAAGAACAATGAAATCTGCCACATCAGAGAAAAAGCATTCACAGTGCTGAGGCTCATTTATTTTGAATAAATCTCCAGTGGAAATGTGTAGACGAAATAAGCATGCAGAACAGTACAGCACGATGCAGGCACACTGAGTCAGACACACAATGGAGGAAGCAGAAAACATAACAGGAAAACACAATGTGAATAAATGCTACAATGGCTCTTCTCTAAAAGGAAGTTCACTCCCCAAAGAAAGAAATGCAAAGCCTGCTAAGGAAAGTCAGAGGTGGTGAGTTGTCTGAACCAAGAGTAAACTTCTCCTAAGGATACAGAAACCCATAAGGCTAGGGCTGATCCCAAGAGCAGTGAAACAAGGAAAAAGCAAAGTAAACTAGATGTGCAGAGTCAGACTGGGGAAGGAAAGACGCAAAGACCCATCTCTGATGAGAATAAAATCCATTTCTTTTAGAAGAATGCTAAAAATCCTCTATCTTTTAGAAAATAACTCATTTCTGAGAAAATATTTGAAGAGCAGCTTTCTACTGGTCTCATTTCAGTTCTTTTCTGTTAATTTTAAGTAGATTTAAATTTCTAACTTTTTAATTAAAAAAAAAATTGTGCCTCCTCTTTCCATAAGAAGGCCCCAAGCAAGTGCAGGTGAGCACAACTGCTGCTGGGAATCTGAGCCAACACGCTCGACCTTCCTTTTTGACTGGATCTTAAGAACTACTATATTTTGCATGATAAGGACACACATCGGATTCAGGACTCCAAGAATTCTTAGAAAGGTGTGGGATTAGGCAGGAAGTACAGTAAAACCACATTCACATGGCATATGGAATGGAAAAGCCTTCTTTTTCTTGTTTACCAGGGAAGTGAGAGGCAACCATGCAAGGCCGTGTGTCAGCAAACGGCAATACCAGTGTCCATTACCCCAAAGGGCTCAGATAGTGTGAGAAAACGGTTTCCGATCAATTATTCTTTCAAAGTTCAATTAAATTTAAAGATCTAACATCCAGTTGTTCTGCTCCTTTTCAGGGACTTGAACTGTATATTGGCGCTTCTAAAGACTGAAGAGCAGGTCCAAGAATTAGAACGTTTCTTGCCACTGAGACTGTAAAACAGGGTGAAAGCTATGAGCGAAAACATTTTGAGCAGTTTATACTGTTGATTCAGGGTATGTCTGAACTGAGAGACTGTATTAAACGCCAGTCTTAAATGTATTAAACACCAGCAGTGGTAATCAGCAGAGGCTTTCTTTGTGTGGTTGCAGATGAGATCCTCAGTCTGTTTTCAGCTTTTGATTGGTGTCAGCAGCCTAAGGAAGTTAGCAGGCCATCTCCAAATCTACTCTACCTTCCTGTTCCAAAGGCATGTTCCAGAGGGAAAGTTTCATGCAGGAAAAGACAGGTGTGTGCAAAAGTATATCCTTTGACAAATTTCCACAGCATTCTACACGTTCCAACACAAAACCAACAGAAAAGAGTGCGACTTGGTCAGTCCCCTGACCAAGGCTAAGAAGATAGGTGAGAGAAAGAGGAAGACAGATATATGGGATCACTGATGCCAGTCTTACATCACTGATGAGCACATTAGTTTTCTTAAGCTGCCTCATCATAGGGGTGTCATAAGATGCGGCGCCGTGCCCGTACCCTCTCCTTTGGCCTTTGACGTATTCCGCCTAGAGTACCAGCAAGACAGCAAAGTCAGAACGGGGAGGGCCCACACAGAGGGGAAGTCTCCTTGGACCAGGGGCCACACCATGAAGCTGTCAATCCTGAGGCAAGCCTTTCTCAGGAAGTAAACCCAGGAAAGGGAGCTCATAAAATGATCTGGTTGGGACTCATTCTCCACATCATAGGATTCACTGGGGTTAGAAATACAGGTCTTTCTTGGGTTCCCCTGGTGGCGCAGTGGTTGAGAGTCTGCCTGCCGATGCAGGGGACATGGGTTCGTTGCCCGGTCCGGGAAGATCCCACAAGCTGCGGAGCGGCTGGGCCCGTGAGCCATGGACGCTGAGCCTGCACGTCCGGAGCCTGTGCTCCGCAACGGGAGAGGCCACAACAGTGAGAGGCCTGCGTACCGCAAAAAAAAAAAAAAAAAAAAAAAAAAAAAAAGAAATACAGGCCTCTCTATTTGTAAAACCAGCAAAGTCTTCAAAATTTCAACTTGTTTTTAACTTGCTAATGGTATGACCTTGGAGATTTAAAAACATATTAAAAATTTTTACACTGAAAAGTTCATGTTACATTTCATTATTCTTAGAGATTCCACTGTTTCTTGCTGGTGATTTCATATCTTGGTTTCGAGTACTTATACAATTCCATTAACTTATAATAAAAATACAGCATAGGAGTTTTAAATTAAAAAACTTTTTAAAAATAGTATTTGCTTGTCATCAGTCATCTGAACTTTTTGTCTCCTCATAATTCCCTCCTATATTGTCACTTGATGTTATTTGTATCTTCCAAAAGATTGGGATCCCACGTTTGGCATTGCTGAAAGTCATACATACAACCACCAAAGGTATCCTAAACGTATTTCTTCAAACAAATACTTGAGAAAACAGACAATGAAAAGAAGGTAGGATCTTTGAATTGGAGAAGAGATAAGATATTTCTGAGCTCATCTTTTGGGACTAAAACTTGCTCTCTGAAAGATCTGGTGGTTGATCATGGGGTCTCTGATCTAAAGTCTGAAAACTTGTCATAACTCAAGAGTATTCTAGATAACTGGTCTCACAAGGGAAATTAGGTAATGGGGCAATCAAGTTTGGATGCATTTCTAAGTCCATCTACTCAATAATATGAAATCTGCTAGAATTAGGCATTCCCCCTCAGCTCCCCTGTACATACCTCGATCAAACACTTACAACCCCAAACTGTAATTATTTAGCCATAGACATATAGTCTGAGGACATCTACTGCCTCTAGTTACTAGTCCAGGCATTCAATATATGTTTGCTGAATGAAAAACTAAAAGTGACTGCATCTGATATAACTTTTCAAAGCTTTTCGTGATATCATTTTCAAAGCTCTGGAGTGCTGCAGTCTCTCTCTGGTTGCTGATACCGCACTTTCATTCTGGGAATCGCTTCTTCCTGCAAGGTCTTTAAACATCCCCTCACATCAGAGCTGCTGCTCGCCCATCTGTGTTACCTGGCTGCTCAGCTTGGCTGCCTTCTTGGCCATTTCAATGTCTGGACGCCCAAGCATGCTTAGCCCGTGGCTGCCTTCCTTACGGTGCTTGGCTCTGTACTCCACCTGCATCAAAGAAAACCAGAATGGGCACCACGTTCTAGGTGGCCAGTGACCACCAACTACTTGTTTGCAGTGACCACTTGGGACTGGGTGCCTTCTAAACACACCCTTACCTCGCTGGCCTGTTTGGCTGCCTGCGTGGCCTTCTTGATGTCTGGCCGATCGGCCACTGTTGTGTAATGCAGGTTTTCTTTAGCATCTTTTTTGTAAGCGACCTTTATTTGGAAAAAGAAAACATTTGCTCACTTGAGAGATACGCTATCTTTCTGAAAGGAACCTTTTATTAAAACCAAATCAACCCCACTACCGTATTTTTTAGACCACCAGATATAGAAATTAGGGTGACCACTCACTGGACCCAGCCCAGCATATACCGATGTGGGATCCACCAGCTCAAGTGGCCCCCCGAGAGTGAGAGGAGAAACTTACATTACTCTGCTTCTTGGCCACCTCCATAGCGTGTTTCACCTCTGGGGGCTCCAGCATGATGGAGTAGTTGGATTTTCCTTTCTCCTTGACAAACTTCTTCTTGTAATTTGTCTAAAAAGAGCCAGAATTACTTATGTGAGCAGAGGAAGCTAGGAACAGAATTGTTTTACTTGAAGAACTATGAGAAGATCTCGAGGAAAATCCGTGGCTCTCCATTTTGGTGTCATTTTGGAACTGGGGTCTCTGATATATACTCTAGTTCTTCCCTGTCATTTCTGTCCTGGAACCTGTCATTAAACCACACACCAATCTTTGGAGAACTGATGACAAGCAAATTAAACTCTTTCATTGACCATTTCTACCTTTTTAAAATAAATGGAACCACACAGGGCTCATAAAATATAATACCATGATTATTAAAGCATTATCCGTAAGGATGTAGTGGGCAGAGATTACTGAGATACAAAGAGGTGACTTTACTTCTCTAAAATTGTTCAGCAGTTTAAGGAGAGGGGAGATGGTGGGAGAGGCTGATCTTTACCATCAATGCTCCCTCCCTTTATTACCACTAGGTTAGTGACATCTTATATTGCTAGACAATACATCCTATGGCCAAACCCACATCTGCCACAGTTGCCGTAATTGGAAAGCCAATAAATATTGAGTTGTCTTTTAAACCAGCGTTCCAAATTCACATATAGGTACTGATGGTAAGAGTGAAGTAACGCAAAGGAAAGTGTAAGCAAAAATGCCGCTTACAGTCTTTTGCTGGATTCTAAGGTAAAGTGCCACTGCTGCTGCCAAGAGTCCTGGGGCTGGTCACTTACATCACTGACGTTCCTGGTCACTTCCTTGACATGAACAGTGTCCCGGGTCTCCGGCAGTGTTGTGTATGAGCCCTGAGCCAAGTGCTTCTTCACATGCTGCTTGTACTTGTTCTGAGGGAAAGCACAGAGAGCTTGTTTAAATGCCTGCCTGGGGCATCAGCCCAAGACGGAAGGCAAGCCTGTGGGGTGCTGGAGGGTTACCTCGGACACCAGATTGCTGACTGTCTTTGCCAGGAGGATCTGAGGCGTATCGGGCACGGCATGGTAGCTTCCTCTTTCCTTGACATGTTTCTGTTTGTATTTCAGCTGCAGGGGTGAAAAAAGCATTTCTTCAGCTCCTCTGACTCTCCTGCATATTTTTATTAAGCTCCCAAGTTACTAAATAGAGCTGGGAGAATAGCATCATTGACAGAGTAGAATCATTAAACTCAGTAAAAGACCTCATGTTTGGAAATCTTGGGAAATATCAAAAAAGGATTTTCTTTATCTCATGCAAGTTGAGGATTTAATAACAATCAGAATGAATCTTACGATGAATCTTTATACATACAGCGTTAGTTCACAGCACTTTTAAATATGTCATTGGACCCTCCCGCAAACCCTGGGAGGCATTATCATTCCTCCTTTCCAGATGAGGAAACACAGGAAGCATAGGAAGCGTATGACCCCACAGAAATGAATACGTTTCCTTATAGAGTCCAAACAGGCCTTCAGAGTCCCCACTGCGGCGTGTGGATTTTCCTGAGGTGCAGTATAGATCAGGAGCGGCCACCTGGCTGTAACAGCTTCCCACTGCTGCCGCTCTGCTCTGCCAAGTCACTGGTGTCGACGTGGGCAGCAGCCTCCTCTGTGCTGCGGGCCCCTGGGCACTGGGCTGCAGAAGACAGCCCTGAGTGAGGTTAGGCCTCTTGGAAGGGACTGAATACTTACATCACTTTCTATTATAGAATTCTTCAGGGCCAGCACCATGTCTTTATCATCAGTGACAGAAAGCTTGCAACCTTTGAGGAACTCCCGGTCCAGCTTGTATTCAAACTGTAACAGAAGAAAGACAGAGGAAGATGGGAAAGGGTGACAGGCACAGGAGGAAGCCGGTATTTGGTTGAATTTGTAGGGAGTCCTCTTCTTAAGGGCACTATGGGGATTTGCTACCAGGATGGGGGCAGGGGCTTCCTGCTGGGCCCACTGAAAGCTGGGCTCCTCCTTTCCAGCCCCGAGGCCAGGACAAAGCCCTCCTGGCCCTCCCCTGCCTCCCTCAGGACTCTGAGCCGTTAGTGTTTGGGCCCAGCCATGGGAGACCAGGCTCTGTGGCCAGGTCTGCTTCCTGAGCTTGCCTTCCACACCTTACAACCCTCCTGTCCTTCTTGGATCTCAAATGAGCTAGGGTTAACACCTGTGACAGTGGTTATTATGAATAAAATAAATGTTTCTGTCTCAGGTATGTCATGCAGTTCTGACTGCCTCTCTTATCTCACATCGCTTTGCTGTAGGGATGACTTGGCGGCCTGGATGAAGTCCGGTCGGTCAGGGGTCCATCTCCAGTGGGCTTTGTTGGCTTCATACTGCTTCTTGTAATCCAGCTGTTTTTAACAAGACAAAAACAAGTCACTTCACTCGGTGGCCTGAATTCACAACCACACACGTTGCACAGAGGGATTCATCTTGCATGTTAACATGTAACCAGTCATGGTTCTTTATGTAAGAGAGAGCCCCAAGTAAAATTTCTGTACAATGGATGCAACTAGTTGGCCACTCAAGTTGTCCTCTTGTGGGACCTTTTGGCCTCAAAATAGGGGCTAAAATTTTTAAAGGCTCCTGGCGAAACAATTCTTCAAACTCACTCTGCCAGTGCAGTCTAATCATTTTCAGAGTCAAGTACTTTTAATTTCTAACTAAATTCAGACTTTTTAAAAAAGTATTAAACATTTGCAGTATTTATTTCATTCCAGGCACTTTTCAAAGTGCTTTATATAGATAGATAGATATTAACTCATTTACTCTTTACCACAACTATATAAAATCAGCAGCTGAGGAACTGCCTAGAAGGGCTAAGCTGCCCAGGTGAGACAGCTAGTGAACAGTGGAGCTGGGTTTCAAACCTGGGCAGCCAGGCATCAGAGGTGCTTGTGGACTTGCTAGACTTGCATCTGAGCTGGAGAACTGGCTGCCTTGGGCTGAACCTGAGGCACAGAAGTGAGTGTCCTTGGGAAGAGCCCTCATCATGAGGCACATTTCTTTCCTTACTCTTTTTCTTTCTCCTTTTTTTGGTCAAGGTATAATTGGTATGCAATAAGATAAACATGTTTTATAAGTTAAAAAGTGATCCAACTTTTCCCCATTCTATTGTGAAAATTTTCAGATGCATGAGGAGTTGCATGAATCTTACAGAGAATACCCATACACCCAGCACCTAGATTCTACAACGTACATTTTACTGCATTTGCTTCGTCCCACATCAATCCTGCTACCCATCCCTCTGTCCATCCCCAGGACACCTGTACGATACCTGCCAGTCCCTAAAGGCATTTCAGTTTGCTGGCCCTAATAAATATAAGTTCTCTGTAGCACTAGTAGGCACTAGTTGGGTTTTACAATATTTCATTATATAACCATTTATATATATTTTAAGAAGTCGATACTCATTTAAATGCACAAAAATGTTTCTGTGGTTGAGGCTTTAAGATGCCCCATCACAAAGAAATGAGTCAGCGCAGGGAGATGTGAACAGGAGGAAGGTCTAGGCCAACTCCTGACAGCACCAAGCAGCTCAAGTGTTCTCTTTTTTTTTTTTTTTTCAGGAGAAGTAGGCTCTAGAGTTTGTGGCAGGAGAAGAACATGGAGACCGGAGACACTGTCGAAAATGTAACCTTCATTTCAGAATTAAATCCCCCATTTTTCAGCATCCTAACATGGAGGCTGAGGGGGTATAACAACCGTGGGCCGTCCTTGCTCTTCCCCACTGTCCTCTGTAAGAACCATGGGCAGCATTTAGGGGTCAGTGTTATCACTCATGCTCTGGGGCCCAACCCTTGATCTGGACTCATTAGAACTCAATCACTTGAAAAGATGTCAAAAGAGGCCATGTGCCCTACAGAAGCTGATGAACCCCTCTTAGGCTTGGGGACGTTTCTGGAACTTACATTGGTGTTGACTTTGTAGGCATCCTTGGCTGCTTTGATATGAACAGCATCAGGCTCAATGGTACAGTTGGACTTAGTTTTCTGGTAAACTTCTTTGTATTTCAGCTGTGGGAGGAAACACAGGTCAATTTTTTTTTTTTATAGCAGCCCACAAGTATCTTAAAAAACAAGAAATGAAAACCATAATATAGTACATGATACTCCTTAAGACTGAATCGGTCTGTTGTGAAGAAGGGATGCAGCCGTGCAGCTATGTGACACGCACCATCCTGTCTCAGATCTTAAAACCAACTCCCCAGGACACATTGTGTATGTTCACCAGTGTCACCATAGAACTTATGTCCTCTGAGCTTGTGCTGAAAGGGGCAGCTGGACAGCTATCCATGTGTGTTTTCCTGTCCCCAAATCAGAAACTCCTGAGTTCAGGACATCTTGAAAACTGTTGATGGAAGAGAAGCCTTCCGCCATTGGCTCACCCAGATGGGAGATCAGGCTTGCCCTTCTTCCATGTCCCTACAGTTGTAGCTGCTATCATGTCGTGTTATAATTATTTATCTGTCTATTCTTTCCATTGAGCTGAATCCCTTGCGGGCAAAGATTGTGTATCATTCATCACCTCATTCCTAGCATCAGGCACTTAGGAACCCAATAAATATTTGATGAATGAATGAACTGATGGATGAATGCTGTCGTCACTACTGTCATTGCTAGAGCCATCGCTGGTAAGTTTGGGCATGTGTGGGTTTGAATGGGAGGGGGAGAAAAGAGAAGGTTTAGCCTCTTTGAGCCCAACTGGTCATATTTTCATGTCTAGCCTGGAATTTCTAGCTTCACCCACTTTTGCTCCTTTTAAATTTCAGGGCCCTGGGACTCCACCTGGGACTTCTCACTAGTTATTGGGGAAGGATCTTAGGTCTTACTGTGACTGAGTAAAACTGTTCTACGGAAGCCATAGTAGTGCTTAGTAAACTTGCCTGGTCATAAAAATCACAATTTTCTGTGCTTCACCATAGATGTAGTAAATCAGTAGCTTTAGGGGACTGACTTGGAAATTCATATTTTTCATCAACATCTCAGGTTATTGTTACAATCAGAAATTTAGGGAAGTGGATATAGAATTGCTTCATCTTTCTACACTGAGAGGGAATGGGCTGCTCCACATAAGGGATCTACCTTATAGATGTTTATGAATACCCGACGTTTATGTCCAAAGTGTCAAAATTTATTTTAACATAAAAAATGTTTTTTAAATGATTTATACATTTCTGCCTTCATAAACAGTGCACTGGTGTATTTAGCATTTTTCTTGGCAACTTAGAGTCAATAGTGTGAACCCATTTGTTTAGCTACCAAAGAATTCCTGAGCGCCAGCCTCAGTCAAGGCTTTGGGGTAGGGATTCCACAGTTGCCTTCATTATTCTTTATGGTGCCCATATAGCCATTAAAATATTTAATCTAAGGGCCTCCCTGGTGGCGCAGTGGTTGAGAGTCTGCCTGCCGATGCAGGGGACACGGGTTCGTGCCCCAGTCCTGGAAGATCCCACATGCTGCGGAGCGGCTGGGCCCGTGAGCCATGGCCACTGAGCCTGTGCGTCCGGAGCCTGTGCTCCGCAATGGGAGAGGCCACAACAGTGAGAGGCCCGTGTACCGGGAAAAAAATATATATATAGATATATATTTATATATATATCTATATATATATATTTTTAACCAATATTATGATAGTTTTCCACCATAGAATCTAGCTATATATATGAAAATATATGAATATAATTTCTCCTCAAATTCAGAGTATTAGAACTTAATGGCTACCCTTTCCTCTTAGCCAAGACAAAACTTAGTATTAATAGAGTTTATGGCACACTGCATTTTTCAGACTGGTCTGGAAGCTTCTACTCTAGCCTCTTAGAACCCATCCACTCTGCCGTGAGACGGCCAAACCACATGGAAAGGCCACATACAGGGGCTCCTGTCTATACAATGGCTGAGCTCCCAGCCCAGCCGTGATCGGGCGCCAGCTCTGGGAGTGAGCCTTCCTGCCTGAGCTGTAGCGCGTGGGGTAGAGCATCCACTCAACTGTGCCCACTCAGCTCACAGAACTGTGAGCCAAAAAAGCATGACTCCTGTCTCAAACCACTACATTTAGAGTGATTGTTACACAGGAATAGATAAGTGGACCTGGGTTTGTTATAGCACATTACAAAGAGGCCAAAGTGAGAGGGGCTGCAAAGCCGTCCTAGTAACTTACATCACTGACTTCATCTTTGACCTTTTGGACATGCAGCAACATGGGGGTGTCGTGGATTGTGGTGTAGCCTCTGGGTCTGGCCTTGTTGTATTCCAACTTATACAGTATCTGAAGGAGATGAAAAGGCAGAAAGAGACAACTTTATGTATCTCAATTGACATTGCAACATAATGTAAACATATAAAGGCAACATTGTTGTTGTTGTCATTGAGTGTATATAAAGGAAAGAGAATTCCATAAACTCAACAGGTGCTTTCATGCTTTCTGCTAAGGCTCCAGTGCCTCTACAATGGGGTGTCTGCCAATTTGGTTGGAACAATTCTTTACTGTAAAAGAAGAGTCCTGAGCATAGTAGGACACTTATTGTCCCTGCCTCCCTCCCTCTAAATGGCAGTAGAATCTTCCAAACAGGGACTTCCCTGGTGGGGCAGTGGTTAACAATCTGCCTGCAAACGTAGGGGACACAGGTTCGATCCCTGGTCCAGGAAGATCCCACAAGCCCGCGCGCCACAACTACTGAGCCCATGTGCTGCAACTACTGAAGCCCGTGCACCTAGAGCCCGTGCTCCACAACAAGAGAAGCCACCGCAGTGAGAAGCCCACACACCATAACGAAGAGTAGCCCCCGCTCACTGCAACTAGAGAAAGCCCGGGCGCAGCAACAAAGACCTAATGCAGCCAAAAAAAAAAAAAAACTTTTCCAAACATTGTGGCCATCTAAAATGCCCCTCCACATTTGCAAGTGCCCCCGCAAGGCCAAAAATCCATTCAGTGTTTCTTGTACTTACATCACTAATTTGTTTGTTGACTTTTGTAGTACGTAGGTGTTCTGGAGTATCCACAACTGAGGTAAACTTGTCCTTTGTTTTTTCATAATTTTTCCTGTACTTGATCTAAATTGTAGAGGAGAAGAACAAGTTAACTTGAAGTAGGAGAGAGGGCTTTCAGGGACTCTAGTTTTCCTCTTGAGAGTCCCACGGCAAAGAGTAGGATTGTTATATAAGCCATAGGTGTGCGGGATGATGCCATGCTTTCTTAAGTGGAAATGTTTATATAAATCTGTATTTGATAGCAATAGTGTAATAGAGTGAGCAAATAATAATAATAATAAATATTTTCCATATAATTTATCCACGTGGAAACTGAGGCCCAGAGAGGTTAAGAGTATGAGCTAAGGGCAAATATAGAGTGAATCTCAGAGCCAGGACTAGACCCATGCTCTCTGGACTCTGGCAAGTAATGATTCGCTCACATTATGCTACATCGAATATATATGATCTCTTAAGTATGTTTCCATATCAAAGATGGAACAGATAAAAAAATGAATACATACACTTTGAAGTAGTTATTTTTAAAGACATTCATTTTTGAAATTTTCAAGTCATGATTTTTTTTTTCATGCACATAAGCGGTTTCAAGCAGCACAGACAGAGAGCACAGCAAAATTCCATGCACAACTATCTGATGATCATATCGGGACCAAGGTGAAAGTTCAGGCAAACAGAATGTTCATAGGAAGACCTCATCCTCCTCATTTCATGTGTTGATCTGATGTCAAACTAAAGTGATAAAACAAGTTGCTAATACAAAAGCCTGATTAAAAACTTTCTTTGCGTGTGGGAACAATGGCCTTTTATTAACATCGTATCTGGTAGTTAAGCAATTATCAGTGTCTCTTGCTGCTTCAAATTTACCTTCCAGCGTATGACGGGAAGGTGGTGGTGTGTGCTTCAGTTGACCTTGTAGGAAGGCAAGGTGATCAGCAGTGCTGTTAACAAGGGTGTGTGAGGACAGATGTGCTGGAAATAACCTAGCAAATTCAGCATCAAACTCAAGAGGGGCCATGAATATGCACAATATTCAAAGAGCTGCGCTGTCATCCTCATCTCTCCAAAATGGTACAGTGTAGTCATTATTGAGCAATGGACACATTAGATGAAAACATTAAATAGTCACATCTTTTAAATACTGTCAAATTTACTTAACATCCTCAATCTCTAAGAAATCTACTTCTTTGGGGCAAATATTGAAAAACATAAAGTTATACCAATTTGGAAAAGTTTGAAATAGTCTCAGTTAATATTACTTGGAATTCCAAAAGTGTCAGAAGACCTACAAATGTTGGCTGCTACAGCACCACACTTGGCCACATCCAGAGTTCATTTACAGGCAGTGAATATTTATGCAGCTTTGTCATGTGAAACCAGCTTCGTCAGGGGGCCAGGGAAGGAAATCAGGGGAAGCCTAGAAAATGCCCCCAAGGCTTCTAAATCTCTTCTTCGCATCACGTCAGACATTACCTGGCTCCACATGTGTGTGTTGTAGAGGGCAGTCAACATATCTGGACGCAGAATTTCATTACATCCTTGTTTCAGAAGCATCTTGGCACTAGATTTATATTTTCTCTGTTCATGCAAAGAGCAGTGAAGCACAAAAGAGACTTGTGAAGACGGAAAAGAACATAGCTCTATATCCTGATCACCTCTGAGTGAAGAGATGTAGGCACACACACTTTGTGCTCTCACGTGTATGTGTGGGTGAAGACAACCAAATGCATTAAAATGCCAAGCAGGGTGACGTGATATTTGCAGTTGACCATCCACAGCCCTTGTGAATGGGGAATAATAGAGCCAGTCCCACCAAAATTGCCTTATAGAAAAGGTGACATCATTGAAATAGAAAAACACAGTAAGGAGTTCTATCTTCTTTCCCTCCGTTAATTTGTTTCTTTGTTTCTGCGTTTGCACCTTAATTCACACTTTACAACTGCAGTTTACACACAGGCCCTCCTGAAGGATGAAGGGTGTGAGGACCCAGCTGTGCATCTCATGTTCACCACAGCACACGTGAGGACACAGAGCATGGACTGGCACACTCAAAGAGCTCGTGGGCTCTTTGGGTGGCTAGACAGATAATTTGGAACAGAACATCCCAATATCATAGGCAGAACCTATGACATCCTTGCAGCAGACGGGACGACATCTCATGAGAAACTTGGAGCACAGTCCTGCTTGGCCGTCCAGGCGGCCCCATCACAGTACCTGACTGATCTGGTCGCCTGCGATCTTAGCCAGCAGATGTCTAGGCTCATCGACTACCAGGTGGTATTTATCTTTCCGCTGCTCATAATCAGCTCTGTATTTTTTCTGCTCAAACATCATATCAAATTATAGCAAGAGTACAACAACTTCAAGGCTATACACAAATGTCCCAAGATACTTCAGAGAGCCAGAAAAATGTCCTTTCTAGAGGTGGGCTCCCAAAGCATTCAGGGTAATGAAAATAGGGAGGTGAACAGAATTAAGCAAAAGAAGATGGTCTGGAGAAGGCTGGGGCTTGGACTAGATTAGTTATAACATCAAAATTGAAATACCTTGTACCTAAACATGTTCCATCTTTACATATGATGTCATTAGCAACGTTAAGTTTTATGACATCTTAAATTGTATTTAAAATAAGGCACTGACAAGCTACAGGTTTACTACTTTAGGCTGTGAGAGTCAAAAGGTATATTCATGGACACATTCTTATATGCTAGTTAATTTATTTGATTATAAAAGAGACCTGGAAATCCTTCGTGAATTAGAAAAATAGAAACAAAATATATCAAGACTGTCTTCCTAGGAACCTACCAACAGTAATTCTTCAGAGTCATCCCACCTGGAAATCTACTGAAAATAAACTAAATCAAATTTATAAACAACAAAAAAGTTATATATTGAAATAAATATACCATTGGCTACATTTTCATCTTCTGACACATTTTACTAATTTTCTAACTTTGTTTTTGAATTTATGTAAATCTGTGGAAAATACAAAGATAGGAAATTAAATGTAAAAACCTTCCATCCATACATTAATTCATAGCTTGCTTCTTTCATCATTTTAAGCTAAATTTACCTTAAACTATTGCAAAGACAGTTCCAGGAAAAACTGGGTAGAAGGTAAAGGAATATTCTGAGTGCAAATGGACACTTCTCTGCACCAACGTATGAGTCACAATGGCAATACATTTGAAGGCGTGAATCACAACTACCCCCTTAGGGCTGCCATTTCTGTGCCCTGGTAAGGGATACTAAGTTAACTTTGAACTTCTGGGTCTTCCAACTCTACACAGAATCCTATACCCTCCCTGTTGAAGGGAGTTCAGCTGACAGTCAACAAAATCCTTTACCTCTGCTCTTGTCACCCAAAGGGCTGTGCTGCCCTGTGCTAGTGCGAGCAGAGGCTGTGCTGGCTGTGGGGACCTCACTCCACTCTGGACAGCCCCTTCCTTTGTTCTTATTCATGCTTTTGGCAGAGCTCATCAGATAGTGATATTATAAGAGCCTTCCCAATGCGTAATCTTGAATCAACACTAAAATGGCTTTCCTGTCATTTTAGGTATTGGGTTTTAATCAAACGTCATTTATAGACTTCTTAAGGGACGCTAATAGGCTCAATTGGATCAGGTCATACATACCTCATTCATCAATTGAGTTGCAAACTTGAAATGCCTGTTGATTGGACAATCAGCAACATACTTGAAATCTGACTTCGTCCTTTCAAATACCTCTTTATACTTATACTAGAGAAAATAGAACATGGTTACTTGATAGCATCTGTGATTATCTTAAGAATGAGACATGCCATTTATTGTATACAATTGTGATTAACTCATTCATAGAGATAAAAAGTAATTACTGAACACACTCTGGCTCGCAAGGCAATGAAGGGTATACCCACCTCAATGTCTTAAAAACTAGCCCCCAAATACATACTTTCATTGAATGGATGTCAAATAGATCTATACTCCATATTGGACAAAAACCCAAATCAGTTTCTTCTTTGTTTCAATACTTATAGTGATTATTATTTTACTTTGAATGTATTTCCATGTGCCCTCGAAGGCAGTTTTTAGTCCGTTAATTAGAAGTAGTTTTCCAGTAATGAATCAGATAATCATAATATTTTAGAGCAGGGGTATGCTAGCATCTAGACCACTACCTGTTTTTAAATAGCCCCATGAACTAAGAAAAAACTTTTTTATATAGTACTAAGGGATTGTAACAAAGAATATGTGACAGAATGAATGTGATCCACAAAGGGTAAACTATTTACTATCTGGAACCTTTCAGAAAAGTTTGCTGACTTCTATTTTAGAACTCAAAGGAAGCTAATCCAACTGCTTTATTTTGTAAGTAGGAAAATGAGGCCATAAAAACAAAGTTATTTGCTTCAAGTCACATGTCAAGTTTGTAGATTAAAATAATCTCACTTTCTATTTGCCTCCATATCAAATCACCCAGAGACATATTAGGAAATTCTGGAAGAGCCATGAGGAGTTGTACTGAGATGGCCTTTTATCAAATTCAAATGAGTGATGTAAATAAATGATTACTATTGTCAATGAGGCCAATACTAAAATAATTCCTGAGTAGAGTGAATAATGTAGTATATACTCCAACTTTAGAGTCTAGAAGCAAGGATAGGGATGGAAATATGAGAAGCTGTTTCCTCAGTACTAATTCTCTCTGTGGGCACTGGAGTACATTTCATGGATATGGTCGTTACCCTTGAGTAGATATATACCTTGCTGTAGAGAGTCTTGTTCTTTTCAGCCAGAGTGAAGTCGGGGGTATCAAAGGCATAGCAACCAATGCCTTTAAGCCAGGTCAAATCTTCTTTATATTTTACCTGGGAGAAGAATATCACCAGAGAGTTTTAAGTACCTATCTCCAAATAGCAGTAGGTTAGCATCGATACAAGTAGAACAAATAGAAGGTCTGATCACTAAGGTATATAGAATAATAAAGTATTGAAATAATTATTTAAGAGACATTTCCAATAATACTGATTTCTGCTCACTTTATGGTGTACTGTATTGCATATGGAATTTTTCATTTTAATACCAAGTAAAGCAATTCAAATTTAACAGGCATACTTGCCTAGAGAGTACATCATTAGCTCCGCAGCTGTATTTTCATATAAAGAGCTGAAATTTCTTTCTAAATGAGCATTGTCATGTGTCTTAATTGCTTAATTGTCCTGAAGTTGTCTCTTCAGTTGCTCAAAAATAGGTTATCATTTACATGAAATATATCGCTTCCAGTCATGTATTATGATGTAACACATTTAGAAGAAAAATAAGGTTTATAAATTTGAATATATTTTTCTGTCTCCTGAGTTGAAGCTCACTTATTTAGCAATGAGCTTTATGACTTAAACATCCATACACAAGAGCTAAAATTTAGTCAAGTGTTTAATCAGTTTTTATGCAGTGTTTGATTTCGTTGTCACGTGGACATATTAATTCATATGTAAAAATAGAAGATTTCAAGACTCACATCACTGACTGCATCAGTGACTGCTCGATGGTGGAAATGCTCAGGGTGATCAGGGATGGACCTCCAGATTCCCAGCTGGCTCATGTAGTTCTCCTTGTATTTTATCTGTGGTAAAAGCACAAAGGCGGCTTTAACATCTTACCCAAATTTAATGTAAAAAAGTCCATTTGTCTCCAGAGAGTTTTAGGAAAGGGAGGATACTTTTAAAAATTATGGTGGGTTACTGAGCCCAACACAAGTAGAAATATATAGGGGCGTACTTTACTGATGTGGTCTGTGACTTTGCGATGATAAACGATGTCTAGAGCATCCTTCACAGTGTGGTATTTCCCTTTGGTCTTTTGAAATGTTTCTTTATAGCGTAGCTGGAAAGAGGAAAAGCACATGGATTATAAAGAACTCCCAAGTTAAATAACTAAGCTCTTTTAACCCTGAACTCTCCTGAGTCTTATCTCTTAAGTTTTCCCTTGAATAAATTTGGGAGAGATTAAAAACCTCTTTCACATCCTGGAAGAGAAAAAGGACATGCGGAGAAAACAAAAGAAATCTGCATAAAGTGTGGAGTTTAGTTAATAATAATGTAACAATATTGATTTGTGACAAATGTCCCATGGTATTGTAGGGTGGTAACAACAAGGGAAACTGGGTATAGGCTATAATGGGAACTCTCTGTACTATCGCTGCAACTTTCCTGTAAATCTAAAACTACTTAAAACAAAAAGTTTATTTAAACGTAAAACAAGCAGACAAAAAGCTCATTGGGGAGGAGAAGAAAAAAAAAAGAAGCATAACTTTGTTGAACCCAAGACATACTAATGTATGTGGAAAAAGGAGAAAGATTTAGTTTCTAACTCCTGGTATTAAAAGCCTTTTCCATGGAGCAGTCCTAAAATTTTATTCCATTTCAATCTTTATCTTTGTGGTATTTCAAAGGTCAACAGCTCTGACTTTAACCTAAGAATATCATAGAAGTTTCATCTCATCTACACAAAATGAGTACTTCTCTGAGCACTCTGTTTTCAATCTCGAACGAATCTTTTCTTTTTTGGGTAGCTGAGCAAACACATAGTGAAGGAGGCCTTTAACTTTGTTTTTCAGATGGGTAATCTAAGATCCTTTAGCTCTACTTGTGGAGATAGCCACGGTAGATAGGCTAAATTTAATGCCACATACCAGCTGGACTATTTCAAAGGTTAGAGTTACCAGTATTGGTACTGACAAAGCCCTGGGGATAGGGCTGTCCAGTGGCGCATAATGAGCTCCAGGGGGCAATTTCACTGTGTGGACATCCCTGAGAAGTGGTGATGCAGAGCAAGCTTGGTTCAGATTAATATTCAACAGTAACCTTGAAGTGATAAAGATGGGGTTGTCACAAGAAGACAAAAACTATCCTAGCAAATAGATTTTTGAGGGTAGCATATAATTTTTTCAGCTTATATTTTAAGCAAACCGACATGGTCTTCTTCCAACTAGCAGACTCCTTTTAGCTGCAACTGAAAATTTCTGACAAAATTACGGAACTAAGATATTGTTCCAATTTGCTGTACACTTTCACAATTCTGCTTAGGGATTACTGTAACCACTTAAGATGCTTGAAATCCTAGAGCTATGTTGCTAAATTGAGGGTGAGGGGGTTGCTTGAGCTTTTGGCTGGGTTAAGTCCCAACCAGTCCTCCAGAGATCCTGGTTCTGGTAATAGGTGCAATGCATTCATAATTGGGCTCTGGGACACAAAACTGGTAAGGACTGGCCACCTAACCGGGTTGATTCATTTCATATCTTCATTAACAGATAATCTCATTACCGTTGAAAGGCACTCTGTCCTTGATCATGTGGTATGGGAAATGAAAGTCTGTTCCTGTGAATTCTAACAAACATGTCATTCACATGATTTAGGCGATCAAGAGGAGGAACAAACATTTTCTGAGTGTCAACTAAGAGCCCTGCACTGTGCTAGAAACGTGTATCTGTTATCTTGTTTAGTCTAATTTAATTATCACAATTCTTATCCTCATTTCACATATAAGAAAAGAGACTCAGAAGAATTAGGTAAATTATATGGAGTCATACAGCAGGCAAATCACAGCATCAGGATTTGAAACCATGTTTGGCTGTTTCCAAGAACAACATTTTATGGATAAGCAACATCAAGTATCCCTAGGAAATGCCACCAAAGAATTAGAAGAAAGTGTCATATTTTTGCTTGGAAGAGCAATGAGAAAAGCAGTAGGTTTTCAGCATCTCTCAGCCTTATTCTTAGCGACTTTGCCAAATGGTATTGTTTGTGCCTGTTTGTTTGGCTTTTGTGTTTTTGTTTCTTTCCTGATCTGTACTGTGGGCCAGGACTTTGAATTACGGATATGACTGTAATATCTTATGCTTCTTAGGCGTTTCCACTTTAGCTGCCCCATCACAATGAAGAAAGAAGGGAGGGATGCATACATCACTGGCATTCCAGTAAGCCTTCTTGGCTCTGATGAGGATTGGCGTATCTGGAACTGGAGTGTACTTGTCCTTCATCTTTTCGTATTGAATTTTGTACTTTTTCTAAGAAATAAAGATGGAAGAGAGAGAAATTTAAGTTCAAGTGTTTTCATCCCTCCCAATTCACAACCATGGAACAGATCCAGCCTAGGGACACACCGGATCATGCTCGTTAAGAGAATAGCTCTGCCTTCTGTTTCTTGATGCTGTTGAGCACAACTTCTAGAAATGAGCTCTCTGATCAGAGGCAGCAGGTGAAGGGTTTTTTTTTAATTAATTAAATTTATTTATTTATTTTTATCTTGGCCACGCTGCATATCTTATGGGATCTCAGTTCATCACCAGGGATTGAACCCAGGACACGGCAGTGAACGAATCCTAACCACTAGACCACCAGGGAACTCCCAAGCAGGTGAAGGTTTTAGCAAAGGATTTGTTTCTTTAGCTCAGTGCCTGGGTGCCGAATTCCCAACTCACCTCACTGACCATGTCCTTCACGTCTTTAGCATGCTTCAAGGCTGTGGTCTGGTTTCCAGCATGATGATGTGGCCTCTCTTTGGTGGCAAGTTCAACATACAGATACTGAATGATAATAGGCACAACGTTATAAATCAACTATACGCCAATAAAAATTAAAAACAAAGAATAGGGATCAGATGTTACAGAGATAAAATACCCCTTATTTAGTATTCAGTCCTCTTTACTCATTTCTAACCCTAAGATGGGAGGGCAGTGTCTACTTGTTATTGTCCTGATTTTTTGTTGTTGTTATGTGTGTTTCTGTTTATTTGTTTCTCCCTCTGTCTCACATTAGGAAACATATATACGCGCTCCAGTCATCTAACATTCCTGCTGCTGAGTGTGGTCTAGTCTAAATCCACGTGATAAAAAATGCTGATAGAAGAATGAGAGGAATTTTGATAGTCTTCAACATGTTTTTTTTTCATTTTTGCCTGAATGCATGAATTGTGGTTTCATTTATCTGTGGACAAAATATAGGTCCTATGGAATGAATTAAAAAATTTATTTTCACCACCTGGAATCCACAGACCACTCATCCAATGACTAAAGTTGTATAGACCTTAGAAGACATGGCATTACCTGCTCATGTAAAACATACCATAGTGAAGACGGCCCCAAAGAAAGCAGCTTCCTGAAGTTAAAGAGCACGAGGCTGCACCAGGACGACCAGGTGTGAGGGTCTGCTACTGACGGGAGTGGTCAGCCACACAGAACCACCCCCTGGGGCAGGTTTATGAATCTTCATGTGTGAATGTTACCTGACTCTGAAGCTTCTGCCCTCGCTTGGCTCTTGTAAGATCAGGAGTATCAGGAACTGAAGTGAAGATTGACTTCTGCTTCTTGCCTGCAGCTCTGTACACCAGCTGGACATAAAACAGTCATAACCATCATTTCTGCTTCATGGACACATTCTATGCTCTGCAGATGCCTTTATTGCTTACTTCAGAGAAAAAGCAGGGCCTCTCCCACTGCAGCAATCTCAGTTTCCGTCCAATAAAGCAATACATTTTTTTAACCTCCTTAGCCTTCCTTTTCTTTTTTTCCTTGTATCAAAATTAGAGACATTCTGCAGCCTGTCCGAGTTCCAAGCCACCTGCTGTGTTCTTGTTCCCTTCTCACCTGTCCCTTCTAGGACCCTGTTCTGGCAGTTACCCTCAACCTTCCCGATGTGCCAGCCCTCTCCCTTCTTCTGCAAACAGACCCAAGTCCCTCCCTTCATTAAGCCTTTTCCAAGTTCTGCCAATGGCCTTTTTCCTTTCTTTCACAACCAAGCAAACTATGTGTTTTGCCTTTTTCTCTTTTGATTAATTTCACAAGGCAATAGTTTGGCTTCCACCCAACCACTCCAATGAAGTGAATTGCATTAAGACTACCACAAACAATTACAATTGCTACATCCTAGAATGCTTTTCCGCAGCAACTGTAACTGCTCAGCAATTTCATTCCTGAACTCTGTTCTCTGCCTTCCATTCCCCCATTCTCCCCTAGGGGGCCTCCCATCTTTCTAGGCACTCCTCAGCTTCCTTCTATGGTTCTGCACTCCCCCAAAGGCTGCTATTAGCTAGAGTTAAGGGTTGGCTCCTTTTACCCTATACATTCTCCTTGGGTAACCTCATCTCTACCCAGGACCTCAACCATCAATTTGAGGTTGATGGTTTTCAAATTTTGTTAAATGGTTCCTTGATATCCTAGTCATGCAGGCCAGAAACTTGGGGAGTCATCCTAGACCCCTTCTCCCTCATTCCCACATCAAAATGGTCATGAATCCTGGGCTCCTAACTTTGTGATACTCCTTAAATCTGACCTTCTTCTCCTTTCCCACTGCCATGGCCCTAGTTCAGCTTCCTGTATTGTTTCTTTCTACACATCCTTAAGAGCCTCTAAACCACCTTCCCAAATCCTCTATTGGACACTTCACATGGCTTACCCATCTTTCACAAGCCCAAGAAAGAGATTTTCTTAGAGTTCAGATCCAATTAGATGTTAATGCTCAGATCTATCCTGCTCAGAAATAATTCATCAATGACTTTTCATCAAGTCCAAGATCATTAATATATCACCCACGAGTCTTCATAACCTGGCTTCTTCTATCCCATGTCTCCAGTCTCATTTCCCAACAGTCTTCCACACTCCCCATGTGATATTTGAAACTAGTCCTAGTTTCTAGAACTCATTATGGCCAATTTCCCATACTGTGCCTTCTACCTAGAATTTTCTTCCCACTCTTATCTGCCTGGAGAACTCCTGGAGACCATACCGTCTTGATCATTCCTATAGGATACCATTTATCATATTGATGTCTGTTTCTTCCCAGAGATTATGAGTCCATAGAATGCAGGAGCTCAGTTTTATCATTCTTTTATCACCTCATATTTAGATAGAAGATCTGAAAAACAGTAGTCCTCTAATAAATATTGAGGATATTTAATATAATGAGGTGAACGAGAAAGTCTAAATGGATAACAAATAAATCCTAATCATGGATAAAAATGCTGGTTGAACAGATAAAATGTAGGAAATAAATAATATGTATATACACATGTATGTACGTGTCCATTTCTTTACATCTAAATTATATACAAGTGCAAGTTGAAACAAAATATAGCTCATCTGCTTAGGGCTATTTTTGGTGTTACCAATGAAAGACAGGAGATAAACAAAACAGAAATTTACTGTTTCTCCCAGGCTAAATTTTTGAACAAATCAAATCGACAAAATCATAGAATTTTATGGCTAAAAGAAGCCCAAATCATTACCTAGTCCAATTCTCTAGCTCAGGAAATTAGGGTGTTAAAGTTGTGAATTAGAAAAAGTCACACAACAAATTGGAAGTAATTCTGGAACTAAGACCCACCTCTCCCATGCCATTTCTACGATTCCCTTTGAAGTGTATTTCCCCTGTACTTAGGTATGCATTGTTTATACTCCTTGGGACAACATCTCTGCTTCCTAGTACTACAGATATATATGTGTCAAGAATCTGCACAATTTAAAGACAAATCAAAAGTCAATAACTTGAACTTTTGGCCATCAAACTTTTTACTAAGCCAGTGTTTCCCAAACTCACCTGATCCTAAAACCCCCTTAGTAAGAACAGATTTGCAGGCTCTACCCCAGTCCTTCTGAATCCAGGGTAGTAGCTCAAATCGGTATTTTCTCAAGCTCAGGTCATTCTACAGTGAGGCAAGTGTGAGAGAAATTGCACTACTAAACAATATCTATTTTTCTTCCTCAATGTTGTTGCATAACATGCACAAAATCCCAACAGGAATTGGGAAGAAGAGAAATTAAAGTTTTAGATAATTCTGAACCCAGACAGCTGAGAGAAGTAAAGGTATTTCCAAAGATGCCAATAAGCACTTTAAGTTACCAAACAATTTTTAATTAGTTAATTATTGGCTGGAGGAGAGATGTGATATTTTAAAGCAGTGGTTTCCAACACTGCCTGAATATTAGAATTACCTGTGAGGCAGCTAAAAATATGCAGATGTCCAGACAGAGAGAATCTAGTGTGGGGCTTGAGGTTGGAGCCCACTCAAGGGTAGTTTTAAAATATTTCAGAGATGATTCTGATACTTAGCCAGCATGGAGAGGCACCTTTACTGAGAAGAAACCCCACACTCATTCCTATCTGAGTGCTAGCACTGGTTGAAATAACAGAGGGAAGTGCTCAGGAAAGCAAATGTGCTCAATGTAGCATTTGTAAGAGCTGAAGAATGAATCATCCTCTGCCCTGGCTCACTCCAAGCGCAGGAGGCTGCACATCCTCTCCACTGAGGACAACGCTTGATTTGCCAAGGCTTCTTTAGGTCTAAGGACATAAGTGATCCCTAAACAGCAGCCATCAGAGTTATTAAGCATGGGGAGTCAATGAGGTGGCCTGACAGCTTTATGGAGTCCGATAAACGAGGTCACAAAACAAACTGAGTTGAATGAGAATGGCCCACTGACCTCTAATAGAAGCAACCATTTACATTTGCGGGATGCCCTTACCTTTAGATAACACATTTCGTCCTTGGCAAACACGGACATCTGTTATGGCGCTATAGGATACACATCTAAATAAGATGGGGGGCCATCCCTCAAGGGACCAACATAGATGAGAGGATCAGATCTATGCACAACTAATGGCAATAAATCAGGAGCCTGGGTGCCAGGTGGGGCAGATGAAAATGAAACTAAGTTGTTTGGAATTTCCTGAGTGGGCACTAGAGCAGAGAGCCATTGAAAAACTTTTCAAATTGCATTGCCATGATTAGGGTTCCTGACAGCAGGAATTAATGAGAGAGAAATTTTTGAAATAAATTCAGTTTGGAGACAACAATAGTCTAAGACAGAAGGACTCTCTAATCTATAAAATCATGTAAACTCTCAGCTGTCCTAGTCATAGGTAGGGCAAGTATCAATAGCCTCATCTTATTAAAAAGGGACAAAATAAGTAAATTGAGGCAAAGTGAGGTCAACTGACTTGTTTAGACAGGGTGGCCACTCTGTAATTAAAGGCAGAAGGGAGATTTTGGCCCAATATAATTACCTAAAAAAAGATCGCTAGAGGAAGGAGGCCCTTGTGGTGACATGTTTACTTACTTCACTCAGATGTGTCTTCAATTCCTGCACTTTTCTGTATTCTGGAGTGTCAAGCACCACTTTGTATTTGTCTCGCATCTTCCTCGCATTATCGGTGTATAGGTAATTAGACTTAAAAAAACAACAATGGAAATACAAGTTGATTAATCACTTCAGGAATTGCATGTCATGGTCACACGTTGTCTTTCAAACGGCTGGCATGTGCAAGCCACACTGACGCTCCCTGTGTCCTGGAGGTCTTCCCAAGCAGGACCAAAGACAACCGTCATTTAACTAAGCTCATTACCTTTTTTAGGAAGCACAGATCATCTTGAGTGGGTCATGACTTTCTCAGTGAGTTAATGGCAAATTTCCCCTTAAAAGAAGCTACAGACAGATTCCTCTTGCCCAGCTTTGTGAAGCTGTGCAGGAGGAGCTGCGTGTTGGGACGGTGTGCACTCACCCAGAGCTTCCGCAGGTGCCGGGAGCGGACCATGTCAGGAGTGTCATACAGGAAGCAGCCCAGTCCCCTCAGGATTTGCAAGTCTTCTTTGTATTTAATCTGTGGCACAAGCATAGAAATATAGCTGGTCATGAGCAAATACAAATCAAGAATAAGACAGAGTAGTGATACTTTTTTAGTGATGGATCTTTCATTTTGGTTCAACACATCCACCCTGTACTCTGAGTTTGCTTGAACTCAAATGAGTCATAGGTTTAAAAATTTTTTTTTAACTTATCCATTTATTTATTTTTTGTTGCATTGGGTCTTTGTTGCTGCACTCAGGCTTTCTCTAGTTGCGGTGAGCAGGGGCTACTCTTTGTTGCAGTGTGTGGACTTCTCATTGTGGTGGCTTCTCTTGTTGTGGAGCACGGGCTCTAGGTGCGCAGGCTTCAGTAGTTGTGGCACATGGGCTCAGTTGTTGTGGCTCACGGGATCTAGAGTGCAGGCTCAGTAGTTGTGAAGCATGGGCTTAGTTGCTCTGCGGCATGTGGGATCTTCCCAGACCAGGGCTCGAACCCGAGTCCCCTGCATTGGCAGGCGGATTCTTAACCACTGTGCCACCAGGGAAGTCCCATAGGTTTTTAAAATTTAAATTGCTAACCCTGAACTGAGAAGAGGATATGGCTATTATTTTATTATTATATGGATGAAAAATACCATAGATTAAATGGAGTGGTATTTTATGAGAAGTAAACATTCAAGGAGAAAAAAAGTAGCTAAAGTGGGTGGGAGCAGGGGTAAGTAGGAGAAAGATACTAAACATGACCTGGACAGAGGCCACTTGGAGTGAGGAGCTGGTAATGATTTGGTGTTGAATGTAGAATGGTGGTCAGCCATTCTTGTATCTCCCAAGTGGTCCCCTTACTACTATTTCCATAGCTGGGGAAATATGGGGTCCTGTTTCCACACTGCTTTACCTCGAAGTTCTACACTCAGTTTAGAAGTTTACTCAATGCAAAAGGCTGCTCAAAGACTGGTTGGCTTACATACTGAGAGCAAGCCTGCCTCTTGGTAAGAGTCTTCCAGAAACACCCGTATGAGATGCTTACATCACTGGTGATGTCTCCCACGTAGCGGCAATGGAGCACTTGGGGTGTGTATGGCAGAGAGATCATGTGGCCTTGCATCTTGAAGAAGTCTGATTTGTAAATCAACTACAGGGAAAAAAAGGCCCATAAACACATAAATTAGAGACTGAATGGTTGACATTCATCCCTGGGTTCCATGGCCTCCCCTCTCTCCTAAGAAAATACCCACCTCGCTGACAGCTTCTTGTGTCTTCCTGACTTGGCGGATTTCAGGCGTGTCGGGAGTTGTGTGGATCTTGTCTTTCAGTTTGTGGTACAACTGTCGATACAGTCTCTACATTGGAGGGAAAACCATTCCAGATGGTTAGTGTAGGATGATGAGGGCATCTATACACTAATCAACAATCAAATACTGTACATATTTAAAGAGCCATGAGAAGTGAGATTAAGGATACAGAAAATGATTGAAATTAGAAAAAATAGAAAGTGATATTTATTTTGTTTGGGTGAAGAATTTTGAGCACAATCTTTCCACTTTCTATCAGATGGTTGGATAGTAGGGTTAGATATTCAGACCAATAGTTTATGTAGAAAACCAGGTTCATGAGTCAGACTAACATGCAACCTTACTAAAGATTTTTGAATACAAATGTCAAAAGAAGGAATTAATTTGCATTATAATCTATGGATGGGGTGGGTCTCTACAATGGCATTACCAAAATAAAAAAAACATTGCCACAGGATATCAGTATCAAAATGGTGACAAAAAGGATCTCCTTACTCCTTGCTGATGTGTAAGTTTATAACTGAAATACAATTAATTCTTAATGCGTTTCAAACAAAACCATGATCTTTGAAACTCCTCCACAGAATTAACATTTACAGTACCTCGCTGGTAACGTTGTTGACCCTTCGGACATTGACAAATGGGACGTCATTGGGTCCAAGGGTATACCCATTTGCCTTCATGTGTTCATAAACTTCTTTGTACTTGAACTGCAGACACAAAGTGAGAATGAGATCACTGATGGGTGAACAGAGAGTAAGCATCACATTTCTCAAATGGAAAATTAGTCTCTAAGCATTAAGTATGAAAAAAAGTCATTGACCAAATTTTTGTAATAATCTGAGTCTTGAAAATTATTTGTTGGCTAGTAAAGCCAGGTCCAGAAAGGAATACAACTCAGCGTTGCCTAGATTAAATCTGTTTGTAAGTAGGTATGCAAAATGCAAGAAAAACCTGTACTTTTAGTCCCAATATGGCTAGGAAATTAAGAAATGCAAAGCAGAAACAAGAGACTAATTGTAAGACTGATGGATGAATGGCTTTATAGACTATTTAAAAAATGATGTTAGAAGATTAAATCTGTGACTCTGCTTTGGAAACCATATTATTGGGCCACAGACTATGGGACTTTGCTGGTCAGCATGTTTGATTCCCAGGACTCTGGAGGGCAATGTGGAATGAAGAGCTCATTCTTCAACTGATGGTTGGTTTGTGGGTATGACCTGAAGGCCAGAGTCACTGGGATAGCCTACGCTTCTTCAGGCCTTGTTCACCAAGTCCGAACCTGACACTAGTGGGAAAGGTTGGTATCAGAGCTAATGCCTGGGCAATGCTCTCAGGTAGTGAGAGTCTAACTACCCCTCTGAGATTTCTATGAAATGGGCACAGAGGGTAAGTAGTGGGGCACGTATCAGAGCCTTTCCTTTCAAAGGAACATGCGGTGATGTATCTTCTGCAATGAAATGTTGCAGAAGGAAGACAACATCAGCGCTACACAGCAGTGGTGCATGTATGAAGTTGCATTTCCAGTAGAGGGCTTGGGATAGTTCAGGATGCTTCTGTGCTAAGGCCAAAAGAAGTGGAGGCATCATGGCAGCCATGATTGCTAAGCCAAGGTAACTGAGTGATGCAGATACAACCCCATGAAAATCCTACGCTAACCTGCTGGGCTACCCAGGCACTGCCGAATTGCAGGAGCAGCACCCCTAGAAAACACACCATCTCCCCTTCCCTGCTCCCATCATGGTATCATGTTGAAACTTCAGGGTGTGATTAGGGGGATGAGAATAGACTGTTAATGAATATTAGCGTCCCCCTTCCCACTTTAAGCCCCATCTTAATGAAGAGGAGACCACTCACGTAGCTGCTCATGTATCGGGTGTCCTTGGTGTGTTTGAAGTGAGGGGTGTCAACCGGAAGCCTATATCCAGTGGGCAGGGAGTGCAGGCCAGCTCTTCGGTACAGATTCTGCCGGGACAGAGAAGAGCAGGTTAAATGGGAGCTACATCAAACGACTGATCTAAGTTAAACAAGTCAGATCCAGGTTTTCAATTTGATACTTAGTGTACTTACACTCATTGAATTGATTTCAAGAAGAAATTAACTAAATTCTAAGAGTCAAGCAATGAATCAAATTACTCTTAACATATTGCTTTCAAAAAAAGAGCAATGAGTGAAGGGGTTTATAGAAAATAATTCTTCTGTGTTTCTAAACATATGCCTGGTTGACTGCAGGGCAACCAGCAAGAATTTGGGAAAAGTAAATCGGCAGCTAGTGCCACCTCTGTGGTTAACCCTACCCTTAGCTGATATTCAAGCCATCACCAATCCCCGAGATAGTCATAATTGTAAGACGCATCTTTGGAAGCCCCCAGGGCCCCATAAATACAGTGTCTTGATGTTAGGCTGTCAGGTCAGGAGGCTCATATTCCTGGCAGAAGGAGGAAAGGAGTTTCTGTCTGTGATTTGAAATAGTCTGTCTCTCAGGGGAGCTAAAGGAGTAAGAATAGTATTTAAAATATTAAAAACCAAATTGCTTTTAACATTCAGTATAGGATAGTAGCATTAAAGGTGAGAGCAAAGTAGCACCACCAGATAACAAAGAACAGGGATATTAACTACGTGAGTGGAATCTAGTTTCCTTCTCTTCTGAATTCCAACAGTAATTTCTAGCTTTATCTCTTATTGTATGGAATAAATAGTCTTTTTTTTTTTTTTTTTTTTGCAGTATGTGGGCCTCTCACTGCTGTGGCCTCTCCCGTTGTGGAGCACAGGCTCCGGATGCGCAGGCTCAGCGGCCATGGCTCACGGGCCCAGCCGCTCCGCGGCACGTGGGATCTTCCCAGACCGGGGCACGAACCCGTGTCCCCTGCATCAGCAGGAGGACTCTCAACCACTGCGCCACCAGGGAAGCCCAAATAAATAGTCTTTTATGATTATATGCCTTGTCTTTGTCATCTTGTCTTGGATTTTAAGCTTTTTGAGAGCAGAGATAGTAGACTGACCCTGTTCTATGTAACTTCTGTGCAAGCATTGCTCCAAAAATGCCCACTGCTTGCTCTCAGACAAGAGGGAAGACACTGTTTTTTGTTTTGTTTTGTTTAGCTCGTGTGAATGAAACAGGCTTTACAATTTACACGGTCAGGATGTAAACTGTAAAGGCTGAGGATGCCCAAGCCGAGGCCACTTCTACAGAGGCCTGGCCCTCGTCAGCTGAGTCCTGGATTTCTGCTGGGCACTCTGTCCAGGTCTCATTTCTCACCTCACTCTGGAGCTTGTATGCATGAAGGGCCCGGTCCAGATCCACAGTTTTTGTGGTTGGAGCCACTTTGCCTCTGATGCTGTGCACGTAGTCATGGTGGTAGACGGCCTGGGTACAGAGAGAAGCAGAGTGAGCTGAGTGGACTACGGCAGCAGGGTTAGAAAGAAGCAAAGTAAACACAAACCCAAGTCTCCTATTATAAAAAGTAATAGCCTGCTCCCCTTTGCCTTGGGAACTCTATCTCATATACTGTGCTTTGTCCACCAGGACCACAGCCAGGGTATGGACCCCACACTGAAAAATCAGTGGAAGAGTCAGCTCAGGCACAAGAAGAGGAAGAATGGGCATTTTACCACTACCTATTCCAAAAGAATAAGTTTTCACGTCCTGACTCATTGGTGGGATTTAATATTTGCTTATTAACCTTTGGGGTTAATAAAAAAAAATGGGCAGCCTGCTCTGTGTCACTGTGCCATTACAGGGGGTGCTTTCTATCCACTTTCTAGTCATCTGCATAAGGATGCTGAGGCTTGGGGGATTAAGAGCTTCTCTCAAGCCTCACCGATTATGCGTGGTAGAGGCCACATCTGTAACTGCAGAGACCTTCCCCTCCTCATCTTACCATAGTGAGCACTAATGTATTAGAAGGCTGATACTACGAGGCGTAAACCGTCGCTTACAACACAGGATACAAAAGTAACCTTGGAAGCTCTAAAAGCTTTTTAAATCCATGGATTTCATAGATTTGGATCACTTACAAGGCCACCCCAGGAAACTGATGGAACATATCAGGTTTTAGGAAATAAGAGCAGACTCTTTTTTTTTTTTTTTTTTCGGTACGCGGGCCTCTCACTGCTGTGGCCTCCCGTTGCGGAGCACAGGCTCCGGACGCGCAGGCTCAGTGGCCATGGCTCATGGGCCCAGCCGCTCCGCGGCATGTGGGATCTTCCCGGACCGGGGCACGAACCCGTGTCCCCTACATCGGCAGGCGGACTCTCAACCACTGTGCCACCAGGGAAGCCCTAAGAGCAGACTCTTAAGTACTTTCTAAGGCACCAACTCTGGTTTCCCATTGAGAAAAGGCCTGGCCTTGCCCTACTTTGGTTTTCCCCACTTCTGCTGGAGCAGTGGCCCTGTCTTTACTCTCCCAGCAGTAACTTTCCCAGTGGGCACTTACGTCACTTAGTTGTTTCCCACTTTTGACAGCCTGAACATAGATGGGAGTGTCAGTAACCAGCTTGTAGTTATTCCTTGTTTTCTGCACATGAGCTTTGTACTTGATCTGCCGAAAGGAAGAAAATAAGCCTGTGTTGGACCATTCATTATATTAGAAATTGCTGGTTTTCACAGAGGGTTTGGTTGCTTTTAACTCGTGGCATTTACATGTACATTTACATCCATGTAAATGGCATTTACAACAGACTAACATGCACTTGAATTTTATAACAATCGGCGTAATCAATGCTTACAGTCACATGGATCTTTTAGAGTCTTCTAGGAGGCTTGACCACTGCTTTCCTAGGAATGTTTAAGCTTTCTTCCTGAAATCTTGATTATAGTATTACTTTGCCTAGCTAATCCTCTTTGCAAATAGACCCGTCTATAGCATCAAAGACTCCTAACAAACGAGCTTTTTCTCATAATGAGGATTATATGTGCATTAATATATCCAAAATAGTTCAGAAGGTGGCAAGAAGAGCCAGGGGTCCCTTCTCCACCAGAGGACAGTGGGACAGCTCGTCTGCATTGTTTGCACTCCTGAGAAATGGGCGCTCTGCTCCTCAGAATCTTCTTCCAGCTCAGCCATCCTCAGCACCACTTGAGACGCAGCTGGGTGTGACAATGTCTATACTTTACATACTCTCCCCTTGACGCTAGACTACACAGAGAAGGAAACACACTTTAAAGAGCTGAAAAAACAAAAAACAAGGCAAACTCACATCATTGCGTAGATCGTAAGCATGCTTGGCGTGGAGAATCTCAGGAGTGTCCCAGACGTAGCAACCAATGCCTTTCAGCCAGTTGAGATCATCCTTGTACACAATCTAGGGGATTGCATCAGATGGAGGGGGTCAGAAAAAAAAAACTTTACTGTAACTTTAACACCAAAGACATGGACACCCTCGGGACCCAGGAAGACCTTGTGGAATGAAAAGCAAGACATTATGCCCTGAGGCCGTGGGTGTCTTGGAGACATCAGCATAGAGAGCCCTGCTTCCAGGGACGGCCTCGAATTCCTGACAGACCTATGGGTGTATCGAAAAGCGACACTGGAAGAGGGCTGAGCTGAAGAACCAAGTGAAGAACGAGGTGAGTCAGTCTCTCTTCAGGGGGGCGTATGGGTCTGGGGAGGGGAGATCTTCATAAGCAATGGGCTTACGTCGCTGATCTCATCTGTGACCTTCCTGACGTGACTGTTGACTTGCAAGTCGGGGTGGCAAATCCACTCGTGGAGGTGAAGGCGGTAATCGATCTCACTGACTTTCTTCTGAGAATCCTTAGCGGTAACCATCTCTACCATGTCGGGCACCACGTGGATTTTCATCTTGTTCTTCTCATAAACGGATCTGTACAGGCGCTGTGAAGATAACGTAACATGCCAGTTACACAGGGAATTACGCAAGGAATCATGGTGATACATGCCTTTCTTAGACACCAGAGAGGTCAGGGGAACCAATTTACAGCAGTTGGTTGGGGGCAGGGTGGGGACTGGAAGTTTCTGACACTTTCTACAGATTCATGGCGGTGGGGGAAGCAGTATGGGCTTGAAAGAACACTTAGCTTCCTCACACGTGCATGGTCAACGCCATACGCGTTGTTGAACAGAACATGTTCTGATTTATAGTTCGTGGCTCCGTTACTTGACTTTTGAAGCCAGCCTTTGGGGTCACTTACGTCGATGTTAAACTTGCCAACTCGGAGGCACCGTGCTGTGTTCAGATCATCTTCAACACTTTTGGGTAAAGTATAAAGAGCTTTGAACTTTTCATATTCTTCCCGATATTTGTTCTATGGAGAGAAAATACAAAGGAAGAAACACAGTTTTGAAGAGTAATGGATCTGGATTGTTAAAAACGCATGAGACTTAACAGAAGGACCCGACTCTAAGATGGGCCACCTTGGGGTCAGCACTTCTCTGAGCTTGTTTCCTTGTCTGTGCCCACAGGCAGAGGTGGCACAGCCTGCCTCCGGATTACCTGAGGATTAGAGCAGACTGTGTGTAAACGTTCTTCAGGTACTGGTTTTAAAACCCCTGTACCAATACTGGTACTTCTACTGTTACCACAACTACTTTTTAAAGATTATGTAATTTTTAAATGATCTCTTTTGTGATATTGGTTTTGTTTTTCTTAACCATAAGTGAAAGATGAAAAATGTACTCAGGAATTTCTTTGTTTTTTAATAACTGACAAGCCTGATGCTTAAGAGACTCAATCCTTGAATTTCAGTTTCTACAAGGTTTTCCAAAAATACAGTGCAACTAACTTCTATGGGAAAACCAACGTCTAGTTCTTAAGCCATATTGCCTATTAATTAATGCTTCATGATTTCATGAATTAGGAAGTAAGGCCCTTACAGAGGCTGAGATCCAATCTCCTAGCACATGATAAAATAACAATGCTCTCACAACTCAGAGACCCACATCTCAGTCAAAAAAAAAAAAAAAAAAAAAAAAGAAAGGAAAGATGGGAGTATATATGTATATATATATATATATATACAGAACTCCAGTAAAGCCTTTCACTGACTGGAAACTAAACAAAATTCCCATCAGAATTTTCCGTAACATTAGTTCACATACTCCTTACATCTCAGCTATTTTTCAATTATAAAGAAGATAGTATTCTGTGACTTTTTTCATGACTAAAGGAAAAAGTCTTTGCTGAACTTTCTGAATCCTATCTACAAAAATTCTCTTCCCAAATGAAAAGCTTGCTCCTTTGGGCTACTCTGTTTGCAATCTTCCAAATAGAGTTGGCTCTGGGAAAAATCATTTAGATTTAATTTTTCCTCTGGGTAAAAATTAAATTAATTCCATATATTGTCTAACAACGTCTTTTTCTAAACTATGACTCTCTAGGCCCATTAAACAGTAGTGAAATCAGTTTCCTGGGTCATTAGCATTTAAGTGAAGAGAACAGAATTGAAAGATCAGGATGCACTGCCTTTAGTGTAGTGATAAGTACTCTTCTGTAAAATGCTTATATCAGAAGGCACTAACAAAAACTTCAGTTGTGTGTGTGTGTGTGTGTGTGTGTGTGTGTGTGTGTGTGTTGACTTGCAGTACAAAATAAATCTCTCAGTGTGGGTCATGGTCAAAAAAAAGATTTGAGAAATACTGGTCTAAAGTGTTACATAAAATGTTCGTAATTAAGAAGTAAAAGTCTCTAATAGAAGTAAAGTTTCCGAAAGAGAATTAGGCTTATTAGAACTGCAGTGAAGGTTATAGGGAATTTTACAATAAGAAGTTTTACTTAAGAACATATTAAGCATAAAGGGTTAAAAGTGTTAGGATTTTATACTATACTATATTTGAACAGCTCATATGATTTAGGATTTTAAAAAAATTATGTCTATACCTAAGAAAAGTTCTGTTTAAAAAAAACTGAATTTCAAGATTTTTAAATTTTTATATTTCATAGTGATAAAGATAATGATTTACTTTTAAATCATGTATTTGGGTCTGGTGCAATAACTAGTTACCACATTCACTGTCTTTTTTTAAGGGTACAATTTATTTATTTTTTATTTTTTTAATTAATTTTTATTGAAGTATAGTTGATTTACAATGTTGTGTTAGTTTCTGCTGTACATCACTGGTTTATTTTTTATAGCAATGTCCACATAATTCTATTAGAAAAGAGTATTTTGTATGGCATATTATGTCCTCTACCTATTCCCATTTCTGGCTAAAATAGAGTGTATCCATCCGTCATTTTCAGGCAGGCAGCCTAAAAGGTCACATCGCTGTCCTTCATGTAAGTGTCTGTGACTCTCTCTGGACTTCAGGGCCCTTGAGAGGAAGCATAAGTGCACAGACTTTGTGATGACCAAGTGTCTGGAGTTATTTGCTGGTGTTCAACACAGGCAACACAGGAATCAGCCAGAAACATTTTGGAAGTGGAGGGCAGGGAAGGGTAAAGGGTGGTGGGAAGGTTATCATATCTGTACTTGACTTACATGGCTGGCCAGATGCTTCTGGTTCTTGACGTGTGTCAGGGACATGGTGTTGGAAGGCAGGATATAGCTGGTGGCTTTCACTTTATCCCAGGCCTCCTTGTACAGGTTCTATAGGGGTTAAAAATCTTGTGAACACAGAAAAATGCAATCTGGCTAGCTTCCAGCAGTGGATTTTTCCTCTGTTTTTGTCCTTCTCAGACATTCCCTAGCAATCCCCAGATCTTCTCACTCTGTAGGAGCCAAGTACTCCTAAGTGAATAATGGGTTTAATGTCATGACCATAATTTCAGAGTCCATTATTTTGTTCTCTACCATAGCACTTATCACAGTTTGACAGTTATCAGAGGTTTCAATGCCATATTCATTCCCTCATAGGTCTAGGATTCCTGGAGGATGAAAACCACTAACATTAAAATATATATGAATATATATATATATATAAAGATTAAAAAATGTTTGTTTCCACTTCTAGGTATTTATTTACCCAGGAGAAATAAAAAGTTATGAACACACAGAACCTATATGCAAATGTGTATAGCAGCTTTATTCATAATTGTCAAAAACTGGACACAACTCAGATGTCCTTCAGCTGTGAATGGAAGAACAAACTGTGGTTTGGAATATTGCTTTTGCTATAAAAAGGATGAACTACTGATTTAGGCAGCAATGTGCATAAAACATAAATGCATTTTGCTAAGAGAAAGAAGCCAGACCTAACGGCTACATATCATATACTGTGATCACGTTTACGTGACACTCTGGAAAAGGTAAAACTATAGGGACAGAAAACAGCTCTGTGGATGCTAGGGGAGAGGAGAGGGGCAGCAAAGGGACAATGTGGAGGTAATACAGAATTTTTCTGTATCTTGACTATAATGGTGAAAACATGACTGTATGCATTTGTCATAAGCCATAGTACTACATACCACAGAGTGAAATTTACTGTATGCAAATTAAAACAACCAATCAAAGAATCAGTCAGAATGGGGGAGGTGACTAAAATGGAATACAAACTGTAGCAAATAAATCTGATTGTAATACAAATGTATAACAAGACTACAGTGAAGGAAGTGGCGAAGAAAACAACTGACTTAAGTAAATTTGGAAAATGGTAACTTGACTGGATACTCTAAGGCTATAGGCAAATATAACTGCACACGATATACCCTACTCTAGGGCTTCCCTGGTGGCGCAGTGTTTAAGAATCCGCCTGCCAATGCAGGGTACACAGGTTCGACCCCTGGTCCAGGAAGATCCCACATGCCGTGAAGCAACTAAGCCCGTGCGCCACAACTACTGAGCCTGTGCTCTAGAGCCCATGGGCCACAATTACTGAGCCTGCGTGCCACAACTACCGAAGCCCACGCGCCTAGAGCCCGTGCTCCGCAACAAGAGAAGCCACCACAATGAGAAGCTCGCACATCACAACGAAGGGTAGTCCCTGCTCTCCGCAACTAGAGAAAGCCCACACGTAGCAACAAAGACCCAACGCAGCCAAAAATAAATATATATATTAAAAAAAAATACCCTACTCTAGTTAGTAAATTTGTTTCTCACAGGCGTGTGTTAGATATTCTGAAAATACTTTATGTGGATACAAGGGTTGCACAAATAAGTAGATATATCATAAATAATGAGAGTCAGGCTTTTCACTGGAAAGGAAATAGAAAGTCACAAGTTGGAAAAATAAGTTTCACTTAAGGAAAGGGTAAAGGATAGAATGAACCCTGTGGTGTTTAATTGCATTGAAGGTATCAGTATGGACTCATGATTTTAAAATATAGATACAGTTAGGTAGGTACAGAAATAGATACAGATATGTATGCATACATGGGTTAGTATACATGCATATATTTCTAAGCTCTGTCCACTTAGAGGGCCTAGGAACAATGACATCCTAGTAGTAATGAGCACACTTAGTGCTTAAATCTTGGTTCAAAATACCGTTCTCCAATAAAATAAACTGGGATTTCTTAGAGAGGTGGTTGATTCCAGGTCTGGAACAGGGAAAATACAGATGAGCCTGGAACATCTTGTGGTGCCAAGCAGTAAGGAAGTGCTCAAAAAACACGTGATTGGGTGTATCAAGGGGACACAGGAGTCACCCTGAAAGAGCTCCCCATAGCAAAGCTGAAACCATTTGAGTAACAAAATAAATAACAATAATATTAGACTCTACCATAGAATAAAATAAATACCCATGAGCCATGGGTATTGCCCATGTAAGCAAACCAACAGTGGAGAAGGAACAGCTCTTCCTTACAGAAGAATTCCAGTTAATAAATGTATATAGAAGAAAAAAGGGAAAGAGAAAATCACTAGTAGGCATATTCCACAGTAATAATTCTTGCAGGCAAGCTCCATCAATGGATGCTAAAACACATGAGAGAAAGTATAAGGACAAACAGGATATTTGCATAGCCCCAAAGGATCTCCTCCAAGATATTTATTAATAACAAAGGTAACACTAGTAACTTTACAGTGGAGCATCTCGGCAGTGAGCAACTTAACCAAGTGATCAAGGTCATCACAAGTTATTGACATTATGTACCACCTGCTATGGTGTGCTGAGAAGGGTGCATCAATTCTGTGTTATTTTTGCAAAAAAAAGAAAAGGGCATACCTTTAATCTAATCATGAGAAAACATCAGATAAGCCCAAATTGAGGAAAGAATACTAGCCAGTTTTTCTACAAAATAACTGGCTAGTATTCATCAAAAGTGTCAAGATGAGAAAAAGACAAGGAAAGATTGAGAAATTATCAGATTAGAAGAGACTGAGGAGTCACGACAACAAAATGCAATGTGGGATCCTGGATTGGAATCTGGCACAGAAAAGCAGGTTAGTGGAAAAAGTGGTGAAGTCTGGATAAAGCCTATAATTAACATTGTAACATTGTAACAATGTTAATTGCTTAGTTTTGATAGTTGTACTATAGAGAAAAGTACGAGGAAATTCTCTGTACTATTTTTGCAGTGTTTCTGTAAATCTAAAATTAATTCAAAATGAAGTTTAAAAATGTAACCAGGGCTTCCCTGGTGGCACAGTGGTTGAGAGTCTCCTGCCAATGCAGGGGACGCGGGTTCGTCCCCCGGTCCGGGAAGATCCCACATGCTGTGGAGTGGCTGGGCCCGTGAGCCATGGCCGCTGAGCCTGCGCATCCGGAGCCTGTGCTCCACAACGGGAGAGGCCACAACAGTGAGAGGCCCGCGTACCGCAAAAAAAAAAAAAAAAAAATGTAACCAATTCAGAGGCAGGAAAAAAAGTGTGCCTCTGTTGGTCTGTAAGTCACTGGCCAAGGGAGAAGCCACGGAAAAACAAGTCTAGGGTCAACAAAGAAGAGCTTCAACAGTACCTGTCTGCAATAAGGAAGGAGTTGGTGAATTTGTGTCAATTGCATGAAATAGAACAATATTCAAATTGGGGCTGATTTACTTGTAACTATGAGGACTTACAAGATAAAGTAGGAATTTAAAGGTCCGGGAAAAAGATTGGAAAGACCTTTGGGGGTAAGGTTGTCTGTCCCTTTTCATCTCTTATTGTCTATAAAGGTGAAAAAGGTAACTCAAATACAGAGAAAAGAAAGAGAACTCACACTGCTATACAGATCCTTCAGATTCTTGGTTCTGTCATAATCCACCGTTTCTAGAACTGTCGTGTATTTGTCTTTAATCTGATGATAATTTTCTTTATATTTCACCTACAGACAGAAAGGATGGGTTATTCTTTTCTATTGTTTGACAATATGTAAAGACAACAACATCTTGTCCTGGGAGAGAAGTACAAGGAAGACACACCTCACTGGCATTAATGCCGCTTTGAAGAGCAGTCACGTAAAGCGGTGTATCTGTGACCAGGTTATAATTTTTTAGATTTTCTTTACCTGCTGCCGTGTATTGTATCTGTGAAGAAAAAGAAAAGTCACTGAAAATGGTAAAATGCAGGTCTTCCATCAGCTTTAGCAGTTTGTGCCTACTTAGATGTACCTTTATTTCTGGGTTTCTGCTTTAATCCTAACAGAGGATACGTTGTACAGTTTGAGACTTTGCATGGCTGTCAAAACTAACAGTTTCTCTTGACCAAGAGTGGAGTCTAGATCTTTGCCACGTCCCTTCTTCCTTGTGTTGTTTTTCCATGCCTATACTCCATCCCTGACAGCAGCCCCTCAATTTCAACATTCCATTAGTCTGCCCTATCCAAGCTGAATTTCTGCTGGGAAATTTCCCAAATGTCTACTTTTTACTTCAAGATTTAACTATTTATGGTCAAAGTATGCATGTGCATTCTACTCCCTGCCAGTTAACCTGATCAACTAAGGTGTAGATGCTTGAGAGTAGTTCACTCTGAAACACCTCCCAGATAACCTTCTGCTGTAAATGTCTATAGCCTTAAATCACAGGAGAGACTCAAACTGAGGAAAGCCAGCACCAGAACAGGCCACCAGAGAGGTTTTATTGGGCAGGGGCCTTTGGTTCCCTTAGATCATGCACTGTCAAAGATGCTTTCTCTGGGGCACAGGGACACCCTTGCTATCACTCCACTGAGAGCACCATGGAGCCCATCAATCCACAGTGAGCTAGTCCCTCTAAGAAGATGGCTCACTTGACTCTGGAGGTCATATGATTTCTTGGCATGGAGGATCTGGGGTGTATCCCAAACGTAGCATCCAATGCCTTTCAGCCAATTCAAGTCACTTTTATACACGTTCTGCAAGAAAGAAGAAACTGTGAAAGGTGACAGGTACTAACTGAATTTACAATCGAGCATTTGATAATTTCCTATCAGCCCTTGGCTGTGCTTAGTACTTAGCAGTCATAGGGTGGGCTTCTCAACACCTGGAAGGTCTTTAAGGCCCTGGCCTAAAGAAGTTTAGGAAGAGAGCAACAGCTCAGTTTTAGTCTAGTGTTGAACAGATAAAATATTTAACATAGGTGCCTCATTGCTCCAAGGGGATCCTTACACCAAAAATGTTACTCATGCCACTTTGTATTGCAAAGCAGCAGGGTTTAGGAATACAGGGACAATTAGAACATGGGGCCCCAGGCAGGGCTGGGTGAAGCCTGTAACTTAGTCAACCCGCAGAAAGGACATCATACATCACTCAACATCTCCTGCGCGTTTTGGGCCCGAATAACATTGGGTTCTTCTGGAAGAGATGTCCACTGGTGGAAGTAGTGTCGGTACTCCAGGTCACTGAGGATGTACTGGCACCTTTTAGCCAGCACATGATTCATCATATCATTGGGGATATGAATATTTGCTTTGGTGTCCTCATAATGTCTTCTGTAGTTCAACTGAAGAATAATATGTTTTTAAAGACAAAAGTAAGAAAGGAATTAAATGTAAATTATTCTGATCAATCTCTTTTATAGTCTTATTTTCAACATAGATCAATACCTTTAGAATAGACTAAGGTTAAAAAAATGACACTTTAATATACTCTTCTCCTTTAAAAATTTCCCATCCTTTTATAACACAGGGTAAAGAGTGACTTTGTTTTCTCCTTTTTCCAAATACAGAGCCCTCACTGTGTTTGGAGGAGGCAGGAGGGAAAGGGTGAAAACTCACAGCCATCAGAGGTGCACTGGGCTAACTGGCAGGGGCGGGGGACAGTCTCAAGACTGGCTCATTCCTCACCATCCCACCCCCCCAGCTAATCTTGAACCAAAGGGCAGATTATAAATAGGCAGACTAGTATTACACTTAAGTGTGCAGATCCTCTGTTACAGTGAACTTTGCTTACCGCACTCCTCATCTTTTGGAAATCCAGACAGTGAATCACGTTGGGGAACTCACTGATTTCTTTTCCAGCCAGGTAGTGACCCTTCAGCTTCTCATAGGTCTCTTTGTATTTAAGCTGTGAAATAGGTGCAACATTGAAAATCACTGGGACTTTCTAACCAGCCCTTTGTGGCTGGAAAGACTCTCAAACTTGTGAAAGGAAAAAGTCCTACTGACCTCACTGTTCACAAAGTCAGCATGCTTGGCTCCAACAATGGGAACATAGCGTTCGTCCAAGGTATAGCCGTAGGCCTTGGTTCCCTCCCATGCTCCTTTATACAGTATCTAGGACAAAGAAAGGTGTATCAACAAAAGTTTGCATTCAACTTCTTTCAGGTGCCACTCGAAAGAAAGTAGTAAAATCAAGGTAAAATACTCATGATTAAAGGCAAGGCTTAAACCTTCATTAACAGCTGTTAGTGTGCGTACCTAAGAACAGGGCAGAGTCTTTGGGCTTGTTGCAAATTAAATCTACAGACCCTGAGGCATTTTATAACAGAGTTTAACTGTATTTACAGTTCTAATAAAAGTGAAAACAAATTTGCACACAGAGAGAGAATCACCAAAGATGGCTTCCCATTCGGCATATACACATATACGCTACACACACATCACCTTTAGATTAGCTGAATTAAAATTTGGAGGGCAAGTCCTCCACTTGTTGGCTGGAGATATATGTACATGATTGCTAAAGAGGGACCAGCCTTTCCTCTCTTCTCTCTGTTGGTAGTTGCTTGGTCCTACGTGCGCCCGGAAGTGACATAGCTCTTGTTAGGTTATTGTCTCTCTCTTTATTTGAATGTCTCCCTCACTTACAGGGGCTCCTGGAGGGTTTGTCTCATTGATCTTTAGCTCCTCAGTGCCTCTCATAGGGCCTGGCACATCACAGGGACTCAAACAACACCAGCTGGATAAACACTATTTGCCCTGCATAATATGCTACTTCTAATAAACAAGACTAAATACAACAAAAACAATAGATCTCCTTATAAGTTCAGTTGCTCACAAAATCAGCCAAGAATGTGAATACTGACAAGAGCTTAAAATTCGGAACTGAGTTGTATATCACATAAAATGGAACTTACGGTACTGTAGAGTTTTCCCATGTCTTTGGAATGGGTGATATATGGTGTATCTGGAGAAAAGGTATACTTGCCCTTTATTAATTTATTAAATGTTTCTTTATATTTTACCTGAGGGGAGAAAACAAAACAAAACCTTTGATTATTCTAAATGTATATTTAAAGTTTCACAAGATCTACCTAGCAAGATAATAATTAGTCTACATTTAGAGATTAACCAACTGGTTAAATTTCATTATATGATATATAATTTATAACTAATATAATGGAAAGTTCTGGATAATAATTTAGATATTATCTAAATGTGGGTACAGTATACCACCTACTAGTGACTTTTAAGACATTCTCCGCCAAAGATTTTCTTATAATTTACTCCCTATCGTCTCACATGCAGTTATCTGGAGTTATGCAAGCCTGTTCAACTACAGACAACTAAGTCTCCAGTTTGTGTATCTCATTATACACAAAGCAAACTTACATCACTTTGATTGACTGAGTTAATCTTGGCCAGAACAATCTCTGGAGGATCCACCACGCTTGTAAAGTTAGGATAGTTGGCAAGAGCATCTTTCTTATAGTTTATCTGCAAAGAAATAGAGACGATTAAGACAGGTGTCCCCCCTGTCCCCCCACATGGGGATAGATACATATCCCCACATGGCAGGTAAGGAGGCCAGGCCTTATGTAAGAAGAACAGGCTTTGCTTACCTGAGTCACCATTTCCTGGTTCTTGGTAACCCTCACATGGTCTACAGAATCCAGGGGGATCCAACCAATGCCTCGGAGCCACTCCAGGTCAGCTTTGTAGACATTCTGAGAGCAGGAAGGGAGACATGATGCAGGTATAAATGACTCAGGCACAGGATGACAAGCAGCAGGTTAGAAACAATGTTTTCAGAAGCTTTTTAGGGTTTTCTCTCTAGTGGCTGTTGTCTCATTGATTCAATCATGATTTCATCCGTACACCTGAGCCTGTTTCTTGAGCCTGTTACTATAAATGAAGAACTATGGAAGGTTGAGGTATAAGTATAAGGAAGACCTCTAAGTGTAAAGAAAAGTTACTTATAAAGTGCAAAGTGGTTAAAGGCTATGAGAGGAAGACCATGCAGATGCTGTGGGAGTGGAGGGTAAGGGACCATTGTTTTCATCTGTGAGCATAAGAGAAGGTTTTACCAAGGAAGTTATAGTTACATAGAAATACATTTAGACTAAGGGGGCATTTAGACTAAGTAAAGGAGTAAATGCTCATGTACTGTAGGGTTGGGGGAAGCATCCCTCCAGCCCATCTCTACCCTTCCCCCTCACTTCCTGAATTCTCTCAGGCCATCCCACACCAAATGAAGAGGAGTTGCTAATCTGATTAAAGTTCCACAGTGGTCATCCTCCTGCAGCAACCAGGGAGGTGGGATGTTCAAGTCCACCACCTGTGCTGCAGGCAGTCTTTGACATCCTGTTTCTGTTTTGGTAATTATGAGAAGACCCAGGTAGGGTTAGCTCCTCGGTGCACCTGAGCATCACATCGATGCATTGTGTTTCTGTTCCCTAAAGACTGCTGGTGGCAGGTAGAGATCTTGATTCAGCCTTCAGTGGGAGGTGGTCTGAGATATATTCTCCATCCCAGCTTTAAACTCTGCATAAGGGATTCTGGGTCTCATGCAGCTCATCAGTATATTGTGTCCTCTTTGCTTTGATCCCTTGTAAGCAACTCCTTCATAAATGCCATGAGGAAGGAGATGCTCAGCAAAGCAAGAAGGAGGCATTCCCAGGTCCCTGACTATACTATCATCTAATATAGTCAAAATCCCAACTCCATCTCAGCTCCCACCCCAGCCAATTATTATTTTAAATCAGTTGATAATTTTCCACGCAAATGTGAGGAGCTGTGGATGGCAGAGATGGTACAAAAGCGGATTTTTTAAAAATTGACTTTGAAAATTATTCAGAAATGCAGTCAGTAGACAAAGCTGTCCGTCACTGCTCCCAACCTTTCTCTACTTCATATCCAGTCTTAATTACCTTCTGAGAGCAAACTAAGTATTTATGGTCCCAAGTGTCATAGACTGGTGGTTCTAGAATGCTGCTTATGATTCTCAGAGTAGACCATATGTTTCTAGATAATTAAGAAACAAAAATCACTTACATCGCTTTGTAGGTCATAGGCCTTCCTTGCCTGAATAACATCATTTTGGTCAGGGTGACACGTCCATTGGTGCAGGTAATTGCGGTAATCAGTATCACTGACAAGGGCCTGCCCCTCCTTGGCCACCAACACCGACACCATATCAGGAGGTATATTGATTCTGGCCTTTGTTTTATGATAGTGCTCTTTGTATAGTCTGTCATTCTGAATCTGGCCTGCGTGCTCGAACCAAACCAGTTTAGGATCATCTCTCATCGTCGGGACACCAACATAATGACCTTTCTGCTTGACATGGTCAGCTTTGTATTTCAGCTGGTGGGAAGAGGAACAGAGATCTCATCAGCTTTGACAAGCACACAAGGCAAAGGGGGCTTGAAACATCAGCAAACTCAGTCCCCCAGTTTTTTGTGTTACTCCCCCAAGAATAAATATCAAAAAACATTGAAATAGGGTGGGAGGGAGGCTCAAGAGGAAGGGGATATGGGGATATGTGTATACATATAGCTGATTCACTTTGTTGTACCGCAGAAACTAACACAACATTGTAAAGCAATTATACTCCAATAAAGATATTTTTTTAAAAAAAGTAAAAGGGAAAGAGCAAAAAAATTGCACGAAATAATTGCAAGATTATACATAAATCTTTTGTATAAAATAATAGAAATAAAATAATCATTATTTCGCTCAGTAGATGTAATTATTTAAGGAGAACCACCTAAGTACTGACAGGCTCTCTCATTGATCAAACTTTAGTCAGGCTCCCCTGGGCCCTCTTCTTGATGAGGACTCCACTTTGGTCTCTATCTTTGCAGTTTTAGCAAAAATTCTGTTAAATTTTAGCAGAGTTTAGCAGGAATCCCCCTATCCTTGATATCTCCTTTTAGTAACTTTCCGTCCACTGGACCCCTCACTGTTCCTTGGCTATAAATCTTCAACTGTCCTTTCTGTATTTGGACTTGAGCCCAGTTCTGTAATGAGGTTGCTTTTCCCCTTTTGCTATAGTTTTTAAATAAAACCTATTTTTACCACTTTGCTAAAAAACAAAACAGAAACATTGAAATAAATAGATACGAAGAAATATCAATTTAAAAATAGAAAAATATACACTTATTTTCTAATTCTGGCAATATTGTATTTGAAAGCTTAGAGATTTTAGGGAAGCAGGGAATAGAAGAAAAAACAAAGACTTCAAATGATAGTTTTTAAAGAAGCCAAGAAAAAAAAGATGAAGAATGCCAAAAGCCCATGGGAAAAGGACCAGAAGGGAGCAGGTACCCTGACCATCCCCAAGCCTGGCCAGGCCTGCCAGCCAACAAGGAACTCTCCATTACGCTACATGCCTTAGCATAAATGGGTTCCTGCACAGGGAAGGTCCAGCCTTTGCAAAGCACTCATATCAGAATAAATTACCTCGCTCTGAACGTCACCAGAGTGATGGGCATGAACAAACGGCACAGCATCTGGAGGCAAAATGTAACTGGTGGCTTTTTGTTTTTCCCAGCTTTCCTTGTAGAGATACTAAAAGACAGAGAGCCATGACAAAGGGTTAAACCAAGGAGTCAGAATGGAGGGATAAGTCTCCTATTGTTATGTTATGGTCCTCTGTCCCCATACAAAGTGCCAGGCATCCAGGTAAAATCCATACCTGGTCTAGTATTCGGGCTGCCTCCTGGGCAGCGTGCAGCTGAGGGGTTTCTGTGAGGGTGTACTTTGATTTGGTGTCATTCCAATTTTTTCGGTATTTAATCTAGAAATGAGAAGAAAGTTGGTAAGTTCTTTGATATTAAGAAAACATAATGTTGTCCAAGCAAATGCTAGCATCATTCATCTCAACGTTTACCATCTGTATCTCAGAAAATGACTGCACGCTGAGTGTAACTAAGTGGAAAAGTTTTGGAAATGATGTCTTCCCAACAGAGCAATTTTAGAATGACAGTCATGTACTTACATCATTTAGGATTTCACCACTTTGTTTTGCTGTCACATAATCAACTCTGTCATCCACGGGAGTAAAGTTGAGAGTTTCTATTTTTGTGCGATATTTTCTCTATGGGAAAGAAAGTATCTTTTAGATAGCTGTAGTCTCTGGTCCTGTGTGAGTTGATAAAGATATGCTGCATTTAAGGACCCTTTCTCTACTAGAGGCATAGAATGCTGTATGTCAATGGCATCTTCCTGGCAATTTGGCTTTCTTCTTAGCATTTTATTTTTTAACAAATGGGTTGCCTTCTTACACCTTCCACAGATTTTAAAGTAGCAGATCTGGTTAGCTCCCAAAGCCATGTAATGTATCATTATGTGAACTCAGTGCATTTTTTTTTTCAACTGGACAAACTTCTCTCAAGTGTATTGCTATTGCTGACAAAAGAAGTTTTCTATTTATACAATTCTAAGCATTGTTGAGTGTAGATGGATGTGATTCCATAATGTGAAAGGGACAGTACAGGATTATTTTGGAAAAATGTACGTCTGGCTTAAATGACAGCAATTGAAATTGTTAAAACTGCTGATAGGGAATGACTGCATTTTGGCTCGTATATTTTTTGTTCAGTCTCTTAGGAAATGTGCTGAATGGTAGGATAAGATCCTGGAATACCTCACTGAAGATGTCTGCAGCGTGCTTGGCATGATTGACAGAAACAGAATCATCTGGCATCCAGCCGATCCCACGTAACCATTCCAAGTCAGCCTTGTAAATAGCCTGTGAAAATAAGACCAGGAAGAAGTCAGTGACCCTGGTCATATGTATTCTATCCATTGGTCTGATGGAGAAACGCATTTTAAGAATGACATACTCAAGCAGCCAGACAAGTAACATAAGTAAATTAACTATGAGGCCAGGTGGTATGACAGACCAGCTGGGGACATATTTGCTATTTAAAGGGGGTTAGCCTCAATTCAGCTCCAGGTTATTGCTGCAAGGGCTAATGCATGTCTGGAGCTGCATCCTCTGATTTTTTTTCAATAAAAACGGGAACCCCTAGATTTGTACACAAAATTCCCTGATTTAAAAGCCTTGGCAACTTAATTCAAAATTTAAAAATACTGTGTCAACTAAAATAGCATATCTGTGGCTACATCCTGACCATGGACTGCTGATATTTTAGTTACAGTTTAAACCTCTGGTGCTACTTAAATTCTATTAAAATAATATTTTCAGAGTAGCTGTCTTTAACCGGAAACAGTTAAGAACTATATTCACACCACCACTTATTTCTTGATACAAAGTCCAGATCCTTCATGGCTCTGGTGATTTTGATACCATACTATAAGGTCTAACCAAAACCAAATTCTTCGCTACATAAAGATGTGAAGTGATGATGCAAGGATTTAATGACATAAACTTTCTGGGAGTCATGGGAAAATGATGTAAGAGCTCAGGCTAAAATGCAGCCCACTCACATCGCTTTGCAGATCGTAGGCTTTCCTGGCCTGAATCACGTCCTGCTGGTCAGGCACGCACATCCATTGGTGCAGGTAATTGCGATAATCAATGTCGCTGACCAGAGCCTGGCAATGTTTAGAGTGAGTGATGGAAAGCATATCCGGAGGGCTCTGGAACTTAGACTTCCATTTGGCCCAGTGCTGCCGGTACTCTCTTTCATTCTGAATCTTGCCAGCTATGAGGGCCCAGCGGATCTTGTTGTCATCCCTGGCTGTGAGGGTACCCACGTAGTGTCCCTTCTGCTTCTCATGGTCAAGCTTGTATTTATACTGGAGACAGAAAAACAAAGCAGATGGATCACAGCATGAACTCTCAATGCACGTAGGGCATTTGTTTGAAAAACTGAGGAGTTAAACAAGGCCACACTCACATCACTGGCGATCTCCCTGGAGGCCTTGGCAGCCTGGATGGGGATGGCGTCCAGCCGTACATCACAGCTCATCTTCATCTCATCCCAACCTTCGCGGTAAATTTTCTGAAGAGGAGGAAAAATAAGGTATCGTTCCAGATTCAAACTTACTAATGACTCCAAGGGTTCAAGTAGAATTAATATCAGAGGGGTGCAGTTTTTGAAGTCCCAGAACCAGTTTAAAAAAAGAGAATAGGTGAAAGAATCATTCTGTACCAATGTACTGGAGAACAAAATCATATCTGGAATCCAAAGATCTGGGCTGGACAAGAGTTCTTTCTTTTCTTTTTTTTTGAATTATAGCTTTGATGTAGTTGTTCATGGTTTATGTAAGAGGGTTTATCTGCTTCTTGTATTGGTGTATTAGTAGCACTGGGATATGTTTAAGTTCAGACATTGGCAGGCTAGTATTGAATTTCTCTAGTTTAATAATTCTCTTTAATTAATTCAATTTTTAATCTTCAGAATTATAAACATTTTACATTTGAGTTTTTTTCCTCTCTGTATGGTTTCTTAGATCTTCTAATACGATTGATGATGCATATTGTTTGGGAATGTTAGATTTTCTTTCTGAAGCACCATTGGATGTAACGGCTATTTTCTAAGCGCAGCACTGTTTTGTTTGTAAAGAGAAGTCAGTTAAAGTAGTGACTGATTTACAGATAGCCTTCTAAAAATATATTCACATTTAAGTGGATACCTTCTGTACTGACGATGTCAGAAAGACTCAGAAATAAGAGTAATTTAAATGTATAAATCAGAAATCATACCTATCACTATGGGAGCTTGAACAGTGCAGAAAGGAGAAGTGAATTTCAATCATTGACAGTTTCATGGCCTTTTCATATTTGAAAAACGAGTGCTTAGATAAATTTTGTCCTTGTAATGGACAAGTTTTATATGAATTTTCATTCAAGTTTTTGTATGAATTTCAGGTGGTCCAATTTTAACATTTGACTTGTTTTTTTGTACAAAAGAAAAAAGTGTTCTCCACATTTAAATGTATTACACTACAGAATATTTCATGCAAATTTGTAATTATGTTATTTAAACTTTTAAAATTTATTTTGTTTTATTACATATACTGTTACACTATTTTTTCTTATGTATTTTTTTTGTTTATGTGGTCAAATATATTTTTTATTTGAACTACAGAAAAAATTGGGCTTGAGACCTAACTTCTTCACCTACTAACTTTGAGAATGTGGGCAAATTCCTTAATATTTTTAAGTCTCAGCTTTCCCATATGATAAAAAAAAAATAACAGTCTTACCCGTGTGATTAGTGTGAAGATTAAATGAGTTAATTTAACATGGATTTGCTCGGTTACCCATAAAAGGATATGCAAATATTCTGCAAAAGTTGTACTTTCTAAATGACGGAAATAATTTAAAATAGTGGATTTTATCGAGATTATACTACTGGCAACATCATGTATGAAGAAAGTGTATATTTTGGTTAACATTCAAATAGGATGTTTGATTTCTTCCAAAACAAAAGTCATTCTCATTAGTATCTAAATACCTAAATTTAACAACTTTACTTTTGGCATAGTTTCAATTACTAGTCTTGCTTTTATCATGATATTAATGGTAGGGTTCTGGTATTTCCAGCTGAGAAATTTATCGTGTAAAAGAGAGCCCATGAGACTTTCAGAATTCCCCTGCCAAAGATACCTATGGTTCAGAAGGAAGAGGGTGAGGAGACTACACTGCAGTGACGAGCTGGCTGTTTCTTCATCCAGTCACTTGGCAGTAAGAGTACACTGCACCATATACTGATTCTGGTCCAAAAAAGAATGTAGCAATGCCTCAAAATTTTGTTTTCTTCCCAGCCCTTGGAAAAAATTAGCTCCCAAGAGGCTCATTACAATAGAGTTGGTGGTGCAGTTTGGCATATGGTGAGTAATCTTTGCTTGGAAGGCTCCTTCTCTCACAAAGATTTATTATTTTTTGAAAGATGCCAAGTTCCAAGCCATGGTGGACTGCATTAAGGTAGTATCCTTCTTCTAAGGTCATACTTGTTCTACACACAGAAAAATCTTTGTGATCTATGAAGGTGGTACATTTCTTGAACTTTCTTAAACTGTGAAGCTAGCCATGTAAGCGAATTCTCTTTTTATCTAATAGACTTTTTAGTTGATACTCTTCCTTTCCCTGGGCATGTAATGATTTATTCTGCAAATAATGATAATTTTGCCTTGTTCTTTCCAATATTTATCTCTTATACTTATTCTTATGTAATTATTTTGCTGTGAATAAGAAGCTTATCACTTAGCTACTTCCAGCAAATATTAATAAATGGTTATGTTATGGGTATCCTGACTTGACTGAGAAGCTTACTTACTTGAGGATGTGGCTGGCCTTTGATATGAGATTTATTCTTAGTTATGACAAGAAAATATTCATTTATTCTTATTTTGCTAAGATTTTATTTTAAAAAATAAGAATGGATATTGGATTTGCTCACACGTCTTTTAAAAAAAATTTCTTTTAATTCATCAGTATTTATTTATTTATGGCTGCGTTGGGTCTTTGTTCCTGCATGGGGTCTTTCTCTAGTTGTGGCAAGCAGAGGCTACTCTTGGTTGTGGTGTGTGGGCTTCTCATTGCAGTGACTTCTCTTGCTGCGGAGCATGGGCTCTAGGCGCGCTGGCCTCAGTAGTTGTGGCTCACGGGCTCTAGAGCGCAGGCTCAGTAGTTGTGGCACACGGGCATAACTGCTCCGCGGCATGTGGGATCTTCCCGGACCAGGGCTCGAACCCGTGTCCCCTGCATTGGCAGGCAGATTCTTAACCACGTGCCACCAGGTAAATCCCACACGTCTTATTTTTTTTTTTAAACATCTTTATTGGAGTATAACTGCTTTACAATGGTGTGTTAGTTTCTGTTGTATAACAAAGTGAATCAGCTATATGTATACATATATCCCCATATCCCCTCCCTCTTGCGTCTCCCTCCCACCCCTCTAGGTGGGTCACAAAGCACTGAGCTGATCTCCCTGTGCTATGCAGCTGCTTCCCACTAGCTATCTATTTTACATTTGGTAGTGTACATTAGTCCATGTCACTCTCTCACTTGGTCCCAGCTTACCCTTCCCCCTCCCCGCCACATGTCTTTTTAAATCTAATACAATGAGCATACGATTTTTCTCTTTTGTTTTATCACATTATTAGGTTTCTGAATACAGAACACTCTTGGCATTCCTGAATGAATCCTAGTTGTTTGTATCATATCATATTCATGTGTTACTGAATTTGATTTGTTAATATTTCATTTAAGATTTTCCCCATTATTAATGGTCTACAGTTTTCATTTGTGGAACTATCTTTGACAAGTTTTGATAACGGTGATGGCTTTCCTTGTTTCATTAGGCTCTCTGTCAGTTTATTTTTTGAGGTTTGGAAAGAATTCCCCTATGAAATCATTCTGGGTGACCCTGATATCAGAGAGGAGGAAGGAGAGTCTTTAATAACCTATTAATTTCTTGCAATATGTTTTTATTCTTTTTCTGGGCTCAATTTTAGTAATTTATAACTTCCTTAAAAATCCCCTATAGATCTGGGTTTTAAAATTAATTTGTATAAAGTTGTGAAAAGAACTCTCATAATTATTTTGTGCTCTTCTGAATCTGTTGTTAATTCCCCTTTCTTCTTTGTGTGTCTCTTCATTCCTCTTTCATTATCTTTCTTGTCCTTGTTCCCTTCTCTCTTCTGTCATGTTGACATTGCTTCACCATAACTGGCCTTGCCCAGTGACTGAGAGCCAGGGGTCTGCCCCTCTCCTCACTCCTGGTCAAGGGCCTCCTTGCCCACTCAATCTTCTCTTCCCTGGCTATGAAGAGTTCCCTAGTGATATCTTCATACCAATTGGGTGACTTTCCAAACAAAAAGGGAGTCTGTTGCAGTACTTACATTGCTCATATTAAGAGTGTTGGCTCTAGCGAGATTAATTTCTGGAGTATCTGGCATTATGTGGATTGAAGTTTTATCCACGTCCCAAGCTTCTCTGTACTTTGGCTATGGAAAGAACCAATGATAACAAAATTACTTCACAATTTGTCATTTTGCTAGTTGTAGTGCACAACTTTCGATTTTTCTGATCCAAAATCTTTTCATACTAAGGTAAAAGTTTCCAGAATCTTTTCACGTAAGTTACTCAAATTTGATATGAAATCTGTATTAATACCTTTTATTCATACTTTGAGTTTTGGTTTAAAATTAGTAAGCAATGACAGAACAACCGTGTCAATATTACTTATTAAAATCTTTGCTATCATCAATATTATTATCTTACAAATGGATTACCAGGTTAATTATCATTTTCTATAACATGAACTTAATTTTAATATAGAAGAAAAATGTGGCTTACAATACTAATATTTTCAGCATTTGATTTAGCAAGAACAACTTCAGGTGTGTCAACGATACTTGTGTACTTGAGTTTCACCACAGGTGTCCGATAGACACTGTCTTGTAGGATATGCTGGGCATTTTTCACTCTCAGTACTTCGGGAGACCCTTCGGGCACCCAGCCGATGCCACGCAGCCACTCCAAGTCAGCCTTATAGATGGCCTGGGAAAGAAAACAAAGTTAGGAGAGGCAGGGTTTTGTTTTTTTTTTAATCGTGGTAAAGTAAGGAAGCAGTTTTTCATGTTGCATTTTCTCTTCCACAAACAATGATAAAGCCAAGCATGGGCCTGACAAAAATAATTCCTCATATGCATAGCAGTGTTTTGTCCTACTTTGTTTTCCGTGGCAGGGGCTCTGTGTTGGGGTGCCTATGCATACTAGAAAGCAGAAGGATGCAGAAGGAGTGCTTTGCTTAGGGGATGTGTGGAAGATTTTTGAATATTTTGGTAATCAGCACACTAGCCAAGGTGGACTTTTAAAGCAATAATAATAGGCTCTCCAGCAAGTTCTCCACACCACAGACAGAATGATCTTTACAAAATTCACCATTCAGGTTTGATGTCACAACATACCCCCAACCTATGGTTTCTCACTGGTCTCAGGATAAAGATCAAAATCTTAACATAGATTAGAAGGTGATGATGGTCTAGCATCAGTCCCTACCTCTTCTTCCAGCCTCATTTTATACGTGCTTCCCTTTTACCCATGTGTTCTGACCACACTGGCCTTTCAGTTTGTGGTTTGCCTACCACCCCTTTTGCATACATTGGTCATTCTGCAGGAATGCACCCTGTGTCCTCCTCATGGAACAAACTCATGCTCTCCCTTCTTACTCCTAAATCAGTGCTTTCCCAGAGAAGCTTTCCCCACCTCATTTTTCATAGTGCCATGATCATTCTTCCTCAGCCATCCCATTTTTATGGATATTCTCTAGTTAACATCTGTTCCTTTTTATCAGTGTGAACTCCCTAAAGTCAGGAAGTTTGTCTTGTTCTTCTTTATTCCCCATTGTACCTTTAGGGCTTAGCACAAGACCTGGCACATGGTGTGTTTAATAATTACTTTTAAAGGGATAATTAAGAATGTAATCCTTACTTCCACAATTTTGATCTCAACTGAGTTTTCTTTTTCCAAGATAGCACTTCTCTTTGAATTGGAATTTGCATTTTCTTGGCTGTCTAAACCTGTTTTGTCAGGTATATGTTAAGTGGTTAACCAGATATAATTGCTCTGTGTGAAACACCAACTATTAATTTCATAAAATAACCCACTGTGTTCTTCAGAAATGGTATTTTAATAACCGTTTAATAGGATACAAATATCAAACTAAAATAAAGAGTAAGAGGAGTGAAAATGTAGGGAAATTTCTACCTTAATGAAGAATGTTATATGTTTTAGTGTGTAAAGTATTGTGGGTACCCAAAATTTGGGAGAAGGGATTCTTGAAGAGGATTACATACAGGTTTTGAAGTTTCCCTTCCTCATTCTTTAAGAACTTCATTGATATGCATTCCTTAACATACTAACGTGGTTCAGGATAATGAAGAGACTGAATTTATCTAGAGATGGTACTAAATCCACCAGTTGGCAATTCATTTCAAATGATGGATATACTTTTCTATAACAAACTCATTCATTATGAGAAAACATCTCCTGAAGCTTAAGGCAACCATGTTCGGATAATTAAAAGAAGGTATTAATTCTGTACAAGAAACAAACATCCTGATGGAATTCACCATTTTCAAAAGATTAAATCGGCAAAAAGATAAGTAAATCTAAAAATACTTTAGGTAAATTAATAAAACAATGTTGTGAAGAATACCAAGTTCAGGGAACCTAGTGAGTGTGGAGCATGCTGTTAACCTTTCAAATTAATTTCAAGGAAGACAGCCCCTATCATTCAACTGAAGAACCATGAAGATGCCTATGTTTAATAAACTACAAACAGTGCACACATTCACAAATCTATAGAAAAATTCTGGTAGCACCAGTAGCAATGAAGATGAAAACCCTCTGAATAAGCCCAGCATTAAGGCTTGTGATTAACAAACTTGGTAAAGTACTAAAGGGAAGTAAGTGCTCAGTCAGGGAGAATTGCATTTTCCTCAGCACTGGCAGGAGTGACCGGGCAAAGCTGTGGAAGGCTGTCTTCCTGGGCAATAGCTCACCCCTCAGGCACCACAAGCAACAACTTACATCACTCTGCAGGTCATAGGCTTTCCTGGCTTGGATCACATCATTCTGGTCAGGAAAGCAAGACCACTGGTGTAGGTAGTGGCGGTAGTCCACATCGCTTGCTAACGCCTGGCCTTCTTTGGCAGCATTGATGGACACCATGTCTGCCGGGATGGTGATCTTAGCCTTGTGGTCATTGTAGGCCTTTTTGTACAGCCTGTCATTCTGCATCTTCAACACATTTGCTGCCCAGACCAGTTTAGGGTCTTCCTTGGCATTGCGACACCCAATGTAATGACCCTTCTGTTTCTCGTAAGCAGTTTTGTATAGATACTGGTGGATGTGAACAGAAGAAAGAAGAATTGTTTCTCCAAACTCACTTTTTCTAGACAGCCTACTCAAATAACTCCATCTCCCTTACATTACCCTTTTTGGGGCACTGCTTTTCTTTGAATTCATACTATAAGTTTTATACTTCTTGATACATTGGTTTGTCTTCTGTAAGCATGAAAACATTGTGAACACCTCAAAGGCAACAATGGTGCGTCTGGATTCCAATATAGCGTCGCCCACTGTTTCCCAGACTTCAGTCACTGTTTGCCATTCTCACATGTTTTGCCACAAAGCACCACCTGTACTTCATACTTTACTTTGTCAACTTGATTCTTCGTCTAAATAAATATATTTTAAAGTTTAAACTTATTTAATATTTTTATTTTGAAATTTATACTCCTATTTAAATGGGAAAAAATCAGTATTTTTCTAGCACACATCAAAACCAACGTAACTATTTTAAAAATGCTTGTCCATGTACTGCATAAAATTATCACAGGAACCACCTATGTATGCTGCACTTCAACAAACAGTAGAGTTCTTTGTACCCACTGGATCTCTGTAAGTGTTCATGCATTAACTGATATTGAGAAGACATTGAAAAGAAAATAAAAATCTGTGCTTAAACATACGGAGAGCAGAATCAAGCAGAGAAGTTAAGTGGGTCATCAAATTGTTGTCAAAGTTGTTCTTGAATTGGGGATTTTAAAGCACGACACTAGTAACGATGCCCTTCATTCTATTAGATCTAATTCCTGGGGAATTAAATTAAATATTAGTACAGTATTAACTCTCTGAGTGTCTATGAATTAGTGTTTGTTAACGCTGGGCAAGGAGGAGCTCTCACATCACTGGCAATATCTCTGGAAGCCTTGGCATGCTGGATCCCGATGGCATCTGCTCTCAGGTCATAACCCGTTACCTTGACATCTTCCCAAGCTTGCTGATACTGTTTCTGCAAACGGAGATTGCAGTGCCACAGTCAATATGAAGAGGAAGCTACTGAGTCAGCATTACCGATGTGTTCAAGAATATGTTAACAGTTACGATGAAAAATTAATCTCCCCTTAAGATTTATAAAATAGACTGGTTTCATACTGAACTTAAGCTCCAGTACATTTTTAATGACATGTAGTAAAGTTCTTTTCCAGTAACTTTTTTTTAAAGAAGGGAATTTAAAAGATAGTAAATCATGTGAAAATGAGAAAAATTATACATATTGTTTGGCTTTTAAAGGGAAAAATCAATGATAGGCCACTAAAAAGAGAACTAAGTATGACTATACATGCATATATATGTTTTGATGTCGTGTGTTTGGCATAAACCGCCGCATTTTTCCTTCCAACAAAGATAAGGACACACATCTCTATATTATAAACACATACGTAGGTGTGCGAGCACACACAAACGACACTTATCATTAAAGACTAGAAGTAAAAGGAATATTAGGGAAATGCCTTTTGCTAAATGCTCTCTGGAGCATTTTGATGAGAGGTTTGGTGAGGCAGAGAACACTGTGTGAAGCAAGTGGATGTGCAGGGCCTTACGTTGCTGATGTGCATGGTGTTCATCTTGGACTGCAGCATCAATGGAGTGTCAGCCGGTACATTCACATTTGCCTTCTCTTTGTCCCAGGCATCACGATACAGTGGCTGGTAAAAATGAAAAACAAAGGATCGGTGATGAGTAAATAAGCCAATTACCACATGAATAAAATTACAGGTACAATTAAAGGTTTTCTTTGGATGTGTTCAGATGTAAATGGAGATCACATTTTTTTTTTCATCTGTGTTTTTATTTAGAAGGTGCCAAAAGTGACTTCAGCAAGAAGAATACATTCATGTGTGCTATAATATAAATGTAAAACGAGTCAGAAACATGATAGTAAATAGATCCTCTTCTGTTTATTCACATGCAATTATCTGGCAGGTAAGCTCTCATTGCAGGTGATTATGATAATCCACATTGCAAATCAAGTCCTGGCTTTCTTGGCCTAAATAACTGTCATAACGTCTAATATTGGGGCTGCCCCTGGACCTTTCAACTTATTTCACCGTTGAATAGCAGTAAAAAGGTGGCGGTTTTGTGATCATTGTATTAACTGGTGGACCTGTATTACAGGCAAGGTCTACAAAATGTGTTCAAGGTGTACTTCAGAGAATATGGAACATGAAGATGCCTACCACACTTCTATTGACCAAAGAATTATCGAAACAAATGAAATGTTGATGCCGTTAATTGATGGGCTATATGAAATTCTATCTGGATACATGAATGTTCAACATTCTAATCCTGGTGTTAGCAGTTTAAAGTTCACAGTTATAATTTTTATTGAGAGTTCTTCAATGTGTCTGAACATAGCATCAATTGACTTACCTCACTGATCTGTACAGCATTGATCTTTGCCAGAATAACTTCAGGGGTATCAACAATGCTGGTGAATTTGAGGGCCTCGGGCCTTGTGCGATACAACCTTTCATTCAGGAGATTCTGGGCATTCTTTACTCTCATCGCTTCCACGGAACCCTCTGGCAACCATCCAATACCCTTCAGCCATTCCAGGTCTGATTTGTACACGTTCTACAAGAAGGAGAGGACCACAGAGTACAGAAGAGTCAATTTGCCTACTAGAGCACGGATGCCAGCAAACCACACACAACCTCTACTTAAACCAGCTGGGTGGCCAGTCCCACGAAACTCAAGGATCAACATTAGATGTTAATATTTGAGCGTTACATCTCTGGCACACATCTCTGGGAGAAGTTCAGAGTATCCTACAGGAACTGGAGCAGGGCTAACAACTAGCACTTGTGGAATGACAGACCGCAATGGCACATAATTTTGTTTTTATGCAAGGTTGAGCTTCTGTGCTCACTACTTGAAATCTGCCTTTTATGTGCCACTGGGGATAACTTCTGTAGGAATTTGGGAGAAAAAGTTTCTTAGAAGCACGTATAATGAAAAACAAAATACATATTTATATCTATGTACACCTCTCCTCTTTCTCTCTCTCTAAACATATTATTTAAATATATATATATATATATATATATATACACACACACACACACACATTTTTCCTATGTGTGCCAGATAAACTTGAAATCCAACATTTTTTTATGCTTACATCTGTTTCTGACATTTAGATACCTGATCATGCAAATATAATGGATCAGGACAACTGGGATTGAAATTTTCTACTTAGTTACATAGAATAAGAGAGTGATTTTCATCTGATGAATAAGGTCTTATAAGAAGGAATCCTCTATAAGATAGAAAATATTCAGAAAAACTCTGCAGAAAAATACAGAATATGTTAGATTCTATTAAGATTACTGTTTAAATTACATCTTTAAGGAATATTCTGTGATTAAACACATAGACACACATCTCCCCAAGAGTCTGGAGACAGGATACGCACATCGCTCTGCAGTTCGTAGGCTTTCTTTGCCTGGATCACATCATTCTGGTCTGGCAGACACGTCCACTGGTGCAGATAATTGCGATAATCAACGTCGCTAACCAGGACCTGGCATTTCTTGGCCTGAACAATGGACATCATGTCCAACGGTGTATTGTAGATTCCTTTAGACTTCTCATAAGCTTTCTTGTATTCTCTGTCACTCTGGATCTTGGCAGCATGTATAGACCATACCAATTTGGGGTCATCTTGTAGGCTGCGGAAACCCACGTGGTGGCCCAGTTGCTTACGGTAACCTTCTTTGTATTTGTACTAAAGTTGTAAAAAAATAAGATAAAAAGAACATATGGACAAAATGTATGAAGAGGACTTTTCATTAAATGGTTTCGGAATATTTTTTTAGCCTCAATGTAAATTGGCTCAAATTGGTAGTTATTATATATTTTAGTTCTCTTTAAGGAAATTAGGGCTATTTTAGATAGTTTCACAGAGGACATGAACAAATCAGGAGGGAAATAGTATGGTGAACAAGAGTAATAAAAAAATAATAGCTAACATTTACTAACAATCACTATATGTCAGACACTATTATGAGTGCTTCAAATGTATTAGGTTGATTCATATGAAGTTGCTGAATTTTTTTGTTAAAAATAGTTGAATCGTGGCAATTATAACCTCATTTAATCCTCAGAACATCTCTATGATGTGGATATTAGTATTATCACATATTTCAAATGGGAAAAGTAAGGCACAGTGGGGATAATCATTGTCCCTAAGGTTGCCTGGCAAGTGGAAATTAGGTCAGTACCAAGGGTACTGAAGGTACTTCAGGTAGGAAAAAGTCATATGTGTGGTTTTGGAGACAGACAAGAAAGGAGCATGCTTCAGGAATGGAAGACAAGACTGTCGGTTTGAATCAGCAGATGACAACAAAAGGCCTGTGGATAAGAGTTTCCACCTATTTCACACTTGTTCTCAGTGTCTTAGGACAAGAGTAAGATCATTTCTGTTTCTTTCTTATATTTGGATAACATAGGAAAGTTTGGAGAAAAGGGAGAGAGAGAGAGAGAGCTGGGAATAAGGCAGATACTATGGATTGGCTATGCCTTTTTAGAGATAAAAATGAGAAGTAAGAAGGAAGAGACAGCTGGATACTAGGACAAAAACTAGAGAAGAATTTGAAGAAAAGGAACAAAGGTAGCTTAAAGATTTGGAGCTGGGGGGCCTTGGTAGAATAATTATTTTTGACTGCTGGTACGTTTTAAAACTACTGTTAAATGAACTTCAAAGGGTTTCTCAGAGGAGTATACATACGCCTCCAGCATAAAATCTTGTATATAAAATGTGATCTCGGTCTTAAGTCTTGTATAAAACTTTCATCTGTGATTTATATTTATGGAGAATGTCCTAAAGATCTGTGGGATAAAATCACATTGTATTGGTTCCTGAATTTTTCCCCAGAATTTGGTACAGATCTTCATGATATTTTACTTCTACTTAGAAACAGCTTAGAAGGTATTTACACATATACTTCACCTATGTTTACCTCAGTGTTTTTCATCCCATGTTAATATTATAAAATAAAGTCTTTAGCACAAGGCAAATGCAATTGTTTGCATAGAATTAAAAAAAAATCAATCCAAATCAAAATTCTTGAAAAATATTCTATTTGTTGTATAGAGAAGAAAATCCACAAGGAAACAGAAGGAGCTGTACCTCACTGGCAATTTCTCTGGAGGCTTTGGCATGCTTGATTTCAATGGCATCTGCTCTCAAGTCATAGCCTTTCTGCTTGGCCTCATCCCAGTCTTTCTGGTAGAGTTTCTATTGAGGGAAAACACAGGTTTGCTTACAAGAATTGAAAATCAGTAGACATATTCAAAGGAGTCATGATATGAATCACAAAGCACAATGTAAATGAAGGCGGCATAAGAAAAAACAGTCGCTTCTGAGTCCTTCTTTTGGTTATTGCCTATTTACTTTGTGGAATGCAGGGTACTTATGACTACAATTTTAAAGCTAAACATCTAAATCTACTAGTATTTGAATTATTTGCATTCACCACAATATAGTACAATGTGAAAATATCCCATTATACAGTAATGGGAACTAAGAATCAACTGTGAATCTAGAGAACCTTCATCAAGTTACCATATAAGACTTGGTAAGATTTTTTCCCAATGTTGCCCTTTGACTTTTCAAAGGTCCCTGCTAAAGGGATGTGACATAGACATCATACCTATCCTACACTTTGCATATAATTAAAAGTTTGACTTTTCTTATGGCCTTGAAATGTCAAACAAGAAAGTTCTGGATCAACCAAGAACCTATCAAGACAACAGAGACTGTTATCTCTTATACTTACTTGTGTAAGAGGCACTTTACTAGGGATTTCATTCCTCTCAATTAATATACAATGAAACTGAGCTGTGGACGTTGGATATAGGACAATGATTTCAAGGTTGAAAGAAGGACACCAGTGAGATTCAGGTATCCCACCTCTTGCAGTGCAGGGGCCCAGATATGTATCGAAACTAATGTTTGAAAGAGAATTTCCATTCATACTGCATTGGGAATGGTAGCCAAAGAGGAAGTATCTAGCACCCAAAGCTGTCAACCTTTCTAAGGCAGGTAATTTGTCCATTATAACACACCCCATAAGCTGACAGATATTGTCCCATAAAGACATTTACACTTCATATTTATGCCTCTTACATTGCTGATGTGCATGGCATTGATTTGGGCTTGCAGTATGACTGGCATGTCAGAAGGAATGCTTATGTTGCTTTTATCTTTATTCCAGGCTTCTTGATATAGTTTCTGTGGAGAGAAGGAAAATATTATTTTAATACAGCAATAGAGATGGATATCTGAACATTAAGCCTTAGCAACTATTTAACCTGGGAAAATGTTGTTATAGGTTTGCAGTGGTTAGTTTTTTGTGTCAGCTTGGCTAGGTCAGCGTACCCAGGTATTTGGTCAAACATTATTCTACATGTTTCTGTGAAGGTATTTTTTAGATCAGATTAACATTTATACCAGTAGACTTTGGGTAAAGCAGATTACCCTCTGTGATGTGGGGGCTTGTTCAGTCAGATGAAGGCCTTAAGAGAAAAAAGACTGACCACCCCTGAGCGAGAGTAATTCTGCCAGCAGACTACCTTGGGCTTGAACTGCAACTCCTGCCTGGGTCTTGAGGCTGCTGGCCTACCCTGCAAACTTTGGACTTGCCAGCCTCTACAATCATGTGAGTCAATTCCATGAAATAAATCTCTCTCTCATACCTCTTATTAGCTCTGTTTCTCTGGAGAACCCTGACTAATACAGTGTTCTACCATTTAACGTGTAGCATTATGCCACAGGTTTTGTAATAAGTATTTGCTTTCCTGAGTTGTAATGGAGTGACATTTTTCATTTTAGTGCTTCCAGGTCTGTGTGTGAGGTAGGGGAAAGGCACCTTGGCATTTGTCAGAGTTCTACTTAGCATGTGCCTTCACTAAACTAAGAGATTCTTAGAGTTGCTCCAAGCACTTTAAGTCTTTGAAGAGAAACAATCTACTTTCTCTGTTTCATCCACAGATGCTCCGTTTGGGTGGCATCTTCTGAGAAGATAGTCCTGCTAAAGGAGAGCCTGGCGGTAGGATGGTCCTTACCTCACTCATTTGCAGAGAATTGGCTTTTGCCAGGACAACCTCTGGCGTGTCGACAATGGAAGTGAATTTCAAGGCTTCTGGGCGTGTCCTGTAGAGTCTTTCATTCAGCAGGTCTTGAGCACCCTTCACCCTGGTCATTTCTACTGAGCCTTCTGGCATCCAGCCAATGCCACGCAGCCAATCCAGGTCTGCTTTGTACACATTCTACAGAGACATTAGACAGAAATATTGTTCCAAGTGCTAGACATAGCATCCCTTAATTGGAAAGTAAGTTCACGGGGTTGAGGGGTTGATAAGCACAGGAGATGGTGGTTCCAACAAAGTAGGACCCGAGATTTTACATGAATCAGGGGTTTCAATATCCATGACAGAGTAATTTGTAAAAGCATAATTTTTTATGCTAGCCATGAATAAGGATAAAATGGTAATAATGCTAAATTCCATGGTAATTATTTGATATTTCAAAGAAATTATATAACTGGAAAACAATTTAAAGATATTGTGCCAAATCTCATTTCATTTTCATCCTGTAATAGGATGAAACTCTGTTAAGTGTTTTGGATATAGTACAAGAGTGGCAGTTATTTTTTAAATGTTCAGATAATTTATGCTTATTTGAAATATATTTTCATTGCCAGACAGTACAAAGGACATGAAAAAAGTAGTCTGGAATCTAGGCCAGGGAAGACATGATCTAAGTAGGGTTCTTCATCTATGTTCTTTGATTCCCATAACATAACTCCTAAATACGGGTTTTGTTTTAACAATGTGAATGGCTCCCCCTGAGGTTGTGCAGTGAGCAACCCATGGGTCTGTCCACAGAGGCACTGTCTGTACAATTAACAAATCTATGTCCTCCCATTCCTTCTTTCCCAAAGATCACGTTACGTACATCACTCTGTAGTTCATAGGCCTTCCTTGCTTGGATAATGTCGTTTTGATCAGGTAAGCACGTCCAGTGATGCAGGTAATTTCGATAATCAACGTTACTGACCAGAATCTGACATTTCTTGGCCAGCAAGATGCCTAACATGTCCACTGGGCTACTGAACTTGGTCTTCCACTTCTGGAAATCCTTCTTATACTCTCTTTCACTTTGAATCTTCCCTGCATGTATGGCACACATAATCTTGGGGTCATCTTCAATGCTCTGGGCTCCAATGTGGTGGCCTTTCTGTTTCTCATATGCTTCTTTGTATTTGTACTAAAACATAAGAAATATATGTTTAAAAGCCCAGTTTTAAAACCATATGCATGCTGACAATTAGACAACATGAAAACCCACAAGCAAATGGATAAGAATTTCATATTTTGAATATTTTGACATCTCTGAACAATTTTAAACTGTTTTATGCTGTCATAAACGTAACAGTAGTGTAATCATATATCTTCACTGCTGAAAACTTTTTCTGCAACAACTCTAACTACAATTTCAAAATCCGTTTTTCTTCTCTGAGACAACAAAGGGAAAGGTCTTGGAAGGTAAGAAGCATGACTGGAGGGGTATATGAGGAAGCAGTTACAAACTGTGGACCACCAGCTGCACTGTGGTGGTTCAGCAAGGTGAGACCAAGGGGGTTAGACAGAGAGCACTTACGTCACTGGCAATGTCTCTCGAGGCCTTGGCACTCTTGATGGGAATAGCATCAGCTCTCAGATCATAGTCCTTCATCTTTGATTCATCCCATCCCTTGGTGTAAAGTTTCTAGGTGGAGGATAATACACAACAGAAAAAGAAAAGAGTTATAGAAAGTTAACAGGCCACTTCCAGTAAGGAAGGTGGTAAGATGGGAAAAGTATTTTAATTACTCCTAGACTAAAGGCTGACTTAACAATCAGGAAATCTCTTACTTGGCTTATATTGGCAGAATTGCTCTTGGCCAGCTTGATTTCTGGGGTGTCCGGCATCACGTGGATGGAGGTTTTGTCAGTATCCCAGGCTTCTGTATATAAATGCTATGGGGGAGGTGAGGTAAAACCCTTTGTTAAAGCCAATACATTGCAGTTATTATAAAATTTAACTCATTTAACTGTAAAATAGCCTTTGAAAACTTATGTGGAGGTGAGGGAAGCAAAAGGGTATGGGGAGAGTAAATCATGGCAATATTTAAACAGACATATGATCGTTTCATAGCCAATATAAAGCAACATCATGATCTCAATTATTGATTCTTTTCATCCAGTGACTCTCAAGCTTACTCACAGAACCTTCAAGGATGGAGCTTGGCTATAGAACTATGATATAGTAGAAATCCCTAGACTTCAGAATCAATCCCAAGGTCAAACCCAACTCCCTGATGTCCAAGCTGTGTGATCTTGAGAAAGGTACATAGCCTCACATGCCTCATTTTTTGGAGGGGGATAATCATATCTTTCTCATTAAGTATTTTTTTAAACTTTATACTTACCTCTTTTTTTTTTTTAAGTTGGGGTGAAATTGGTGTATTACTTTATTGAGTATTTTTTCGAGATTAACTGTAACATATGTAAAGTGCTTGAGTCATAGTAGGCACTCAACAAATTTTATGTTTCCTATTGTTATTATCACTGTGACTGTTGTTGATGAGTGTGGTACAGAATAGAGTTTCTGGAGTTTTAATACCCCAGACGTTGGAGTTTGCTATCTGAGAGTCAATTTCATATTCTGCACTGAGCCCTCATTCTTACTACCCAGATATTTGGAAGACATTCAGGCAGGTGTGGGAGAATTCAGAAAAGTTCAATTCAATCTCAGCTGTGCATATTAAGGGCCTACCTGTTGGATAAAGAAATTAGCCGAGTATAAATAAACAGATTGCCAGCACTCTGGAGGGAAAAAGTGATCATCGATCTTGTACAATAAAAATGAAAGCAGCAATAACATCTCACTTTCCAAAGTGGGATTTCTACCACCTATGGTTTTGGAAGCAAGTAATTTGAGTTGTGCACTGGCACTGCTATGCACACTGTGTTTCCAAGACTTCTGAACAAAATGCAAAATGACTGTATATTTTTTTTACAGGATGGATAAAGAGATGCTGATGCCTTGAGTCTGCTGTGCCAAGCAGAATGTGTAGAGAAAAGTAGTGCATTTGTGGATGTCTCTGGGTCACTGCTCAGAAGAGTGTATGCCTTACTGCAGAGAAATTGTCCTAGGCTGTACTTCCTCACCCACCCAGAGAATGAGGGGACACAGGGTTGAGAGAAGCATGCAGGTCCAACTAGGATTCAAGCACATGCTCTGTTGAAGGCCTGCATGAGAATTAGGCCCATCACCTCTCCTTTCTCTGGAAATCCTCTAGGACATTTCTCACTTTATATGCCCAGTCTGTGGAAGGCATGACACCGGCAACTGGCAAAAGCTGGAGACTCACCTTGCTCATGGTCAGGGCATTTTTCTTTGCCAGGACAATCTCTGGGGTGTCTGTAATGCATGTGAACTTGAGCTGGTCTGCAGGCTGGCGGTACTTCCTGTCACTCAGGATTTCTCCTGCTCTCTTCACATTCTCGACCTCCACAGAGCCAATGGGCACCCACCCAATGCCTCTCAGCCACTCAAGATCAGCCTTGTAAATAGCCTGAAAATGAAACAATGTCAAATATGTGCAGAAATTACCTCCACAGCCTGATGTCTAATCTTGATTTAGCATGGTGTATACAGATGGTGTATAATTTTGCATCTTGTGTAAATTTCGGGGAAGACACAGGACTGCCTTACTTTGGTGTAGAATGGCTAGTCCAGCACTTTGTCCCTGAAGGTAGTCAATGTTTGCTGTTTTAAAGACCTATGAAATCTCTAATAATATGTGATTTCATCAATGAAAAACCATTTTAAGGAAATTCCTGCCTGCCTCCCGATACAAAGTGTTTATTCTCTGATTTGATTGCCTATACCTCTTTGTATGGGAATAATTCTCTGTTAGAGTATAGTTTGTTCCTATCTCTTTGGGCAGGGGCCTTCACAGCCATTGTGCACCAAAAGAAAGGATGAACACTTCCACATGCTAAATCCACGTGTTTTCTCGGGACAACAAAAAGGGATCTTTTTTCAGATGATTCTATACTCATGTTTCTAAGCCAAAGAGTATATATATTTTTACTCTTACTTATCCTCAGTCCCTCTTCTTGTGTTGTAGTTCAAGTAAAAAAAAAAACGATATTTTATCCTGCTTTCATGTTTCTTCTTTGAACTTAAATAAATTGGCTGAAGGAGAATTTTTCTCAAAAGTAAGAGTAACAATTCTTTTTGTTTTTATGGCTTTTTGGGAAACTCTTTTTTTTACAATGCCACCACTTTTATCATTCTTCCAAAAGTGACTACTTGTCAGAGCCTGATCAAAAAACAAGGAGCTACTATACCAGTAAGGTAGTATTTGAGTCCCAAGGACAATCTACTGGCTGACAACAAAAATACTTAACATATTTCTAGGGAGACACTGTTTTCAGCTTCTTAGAAAAATTGTCTTGATATATATAACTCATTCTTATATTTCCTTCCACAAGCTATAATAGATATTTTCTATAAGTTAAGTAGTCAGAAAAATGATAATGCAATAAATTCATTTGGAAAATCCGGTTGCATTAAATCAGGATTTCTTAACCTGGCATCAATGAACTTAGATAGAAAAAACATCTTTATTTTCATTAACCTCTAACTGAAACATAGCATTTCTTTTAGCTATAACTATAGGCAACAGATTATGGTAGTATTAACACTACATGGAATTTTATCAGCAATAGAAGTCATAAATATTTTCATATTTTATTACAGTTGTTGCAGACATCTTGCATATTTATGCTCATCACTTCTTTGAAATTAAGCTAGTTTTACACCCACTGCTAGATCTTTTTATTTAATGTGTTAATAAAAAGCATATATATTACCACACTGTTGGGGGGAATGTAAATTGGTGCAGCCACTGTGGAAAACAGTATGAAGGTTTCTCAAAAAACTAAAAATATATTGGGTTGTTTGTTTTTTTTAATATTGAGCTGCATGAGCTGTTTATATATTTTGGAGATTAATCCTTTGTCCATTGATTCGTTTGCAAATGCTTTCTCCCATTCTGAGGGTTGTCTTCTCATCTTGTTTATGGTTTCCCTTGCTGTGCAAAAGCTTTGAAGTTTCATTAGGTCCCATTTGTTTATTTTTGTTTTTATTTCCATTACTCTAGGAGGTGGATCAAAAAGGATCTTGCTATGATTTATGTCAAAGAGTGTTCTTCCTATGTTTCCCACTAAGAGTTTTATAGTGTCTGGTCTTACATTTAGGTCTCTAATCCATTTTGAGTTTATTTTTGTGTATGGTGTTAGGGAGTGTTCTAATTTCATTCTTTTACATGTAGCTGTCCAGTTTTCCCAGCACCACTTATTGAAGAGACTGTCTTTTCTCCATTGTATATCCTTGCCTCCTTTGTCACAGATTAGTTGACCATAGGTGCGTGGGTTTATCTCTGGGCTTTCTATCCTGTTCCATTGATCTATATTTCTGTTTTTGTGCCAGTACTATACTGTCTTGATTACTGTAGCTTTGTAGTATAGTCTGAAGTCAGGGAGTCTGATTCCTCCAGCTCCATTTTTTTCCCGCAAGACTGCTTTGGCTATTTGGGTTCTTTTGTGTCTCCATACAAAAATGGGCAGACCTAAATAGACATTTCTCCAAAGAAGACATACAGATGGCCAAGAAGCACATGAAAAGCTGCTCAACATCACTAATTATTAGAGAAACGCAAATCAAAAGTACAATGAGGTACCACCTCACACCAGTTAGAATGGGCGTCATCAGAAAATCTACAAACAACAAATGCTGGAGAGAGTGTGGAGAAAAGGGAATCCTCTTGCACTGTTGGTGGGAATGTAAATTGATACAGCCACTATGGAGAACAGTATGGAGGTTCCTTAAAAAACTAAAAATAGAACTACCATATGACCCAGGAATCCCATTACTGGGCATATACACTGAGAAAACCATAATTCAAAAAGACACATGCACCCCAATGTTCATTGCAGCACTATTTACAATAGCCAGGTCATGGAAGCAACCTAAATGCCCATCGACAAACGAATGGATAAAGAAGATGTGGTACATATATACAATGGAATATTACTCAGCCATAAAAAGGAACGAAATTGGGTCATTTGTTGAGACGTGGATGGATCTAGAGAGTGTCATACAGAGTGAAGTAAGTCAGAAAGAGAAAAACAAATATCGTATATTAACGCATATATGTGGAACCTAGAAAAATGGTACAGATGAACTGGTTTGCAGGGCAGAAATAGAGACACAGATATAGAGAACAAACGTATGGACACCAATGGGAGAAAGTGGTGGGGGGTGGGGGGGTGATGAATTGGGCGATTGGGATTGACATGTACCCACTGATGTGTATAAAATGGATGACTAATAAGAACCTGTTGTATAAAAAAAAGTAAAATTAAACAAACAAAAAACCTAAAAATAGGAGTACTATATGACTCAGTAATTCCACTTCTGGGTATACATCTGAAAAAACCAAAAACACAAATTTGAAAAGATACATGTACCCCAATATTCATATCAGTATTATTATAATTGCCAAGATATATAGAAGCAACCTAAGTGTCCATCGAGAGATGAATGGATAAAGAAGACGTTTATATATATACCTAACAGAATACTACTCAGCCATAAAAAAGAATGAAATTTTGCCATTTGCAACAATAGGGATGGACTTGGAGGTATTATGCTAACTGAAATAAGACAGACAGGGAAAGACAAATACTGTATGATATTACTTACATGTGGAATCTAAAAAAACAATAAACTAGTGAATATAACAAAAAAGAAGGAGACTCCCAGATACAGAGAACTAGTGGTTACCAGTGGGGAGAGGGAAGGGGGGAGGGGAAAGATAGGAGGAGGGGATTAAGAGGTACAAACGATTATGTATAAAATTAGCTACAAGGGTATATTGTACAATGCAGGGAATAAAGCCAATATTTTATAATAACTATACGTGGAGTATAACCTTTAAAAATTGTGAATCACTATATTGTGCACCTGTGACATAATATTGTACATCAACTACACTTCAATAAAAAAGTGTCACGTATTTAGTTTAATTTTTTTCTCCTGATAATCTAATTTTATTTTTAATTTATTTTTAATTTTTTATTATTTTTTATTGAAGTATAGTTGATTTACAATATTGTGTTAGTTTCAGGTATACAGCAGTGATTCAGTTATATACAATTCAGTTATATATATATATATTCTTTTTCAGATTCTTTTCCATTATAGGTTATTACAAGATATGAATATAGTTCCCTGTGCTATACAGTAGGTCCTTGCTGTTTATCTATTTTATGTACAGTAGTGTGTATCTGTTAGTTCCAAACTCCTAATTTATCCCTCCCCTTGCTTAGTATAATATTTTGATAACCATATTTCGATGTAATCGGTTTCTTTTGAAACCAGTGTGTGTGTGTATGTAATTTTATGCATCTCATGACGCTGTCCTGAGAAGTTATCCATAGGTTTCACCAGACTGGCAAAAGATTCCACAGCACAAAAGTTAGAACCCCTTCTTGAGACCTTGCTAAAGAATATTAAACCCACTTACATCACTCTGAAGGTCATAGGCCTTCCGAGCCTGAATGATGTCATTCTGATCAGGCAGACAGGTCCATTCATGAAGGGGTTTCTTGTAGTCTACGTCGCTTACAAGGATTTGGGACTTCTTGGCCAGCACCACTCCCAGCATGTCCACTGGGCTACTGAACTTGGTCTTCCACTTCTCAAAGTCCTTCTTGTACTGCCGGTCACTCTGGATCTTGGCCATGTGGATGAACCACATCATCTTTGTGTCATCCTTAACATTTTGGACCCCAATGTGGTGGCCAAGCTGTTTGCGGTAGCCTTCCTTGTACTTGTACTGAAAAAAGAATAGAGATATAAGTCTCATGATAAGGACATCTTATTTATATCACATTTCATAGTTTCATAGACACATTATTTCTTTTGATTTTCCCCACCACTAGTGTTAGGGAGAAAGTTTAATATTATCAACTCCATTTTATAAAATAGAAACCTGAAGCCTCCAGGGGTTAAGTGATTTGTTCAAGGTCACATCATAAGCAGGTAGCAGGGCTGAGACTAGAATGGAGAGCTTCTGACTCCTAATATTTTCCCCTTCCACTAAACTCTACTGCCTAGTTTACATTTGCTTAACAAGTAAAGATAAAACATCTTGTACAATTTAAAAGAGCATCTACTTAATTTAAAGACATGACTGTTCTTTCTAAAAATGTTTTGATATGATGAATATTTCCCTTGTAATCAGAATTTATAGTGAATTCCGTGGTCAAGGATACAGGCTACATTTAGAAAGTTTCACCAGGAAATACCTCCCTTATTTGCCTGTCAACGTCATTCAACTTTCAACCATGAGAGAGTAATACCTTGGGTTAACACTCTATCTACTTTTAAAATTCAAGAATAATACTTTATGGTCCATTTTACCATGAGATGGTCACAGTGTGGGCTTCTCTAGGTTAACAGCCAGAAAAAGTTTTTATAATGGAAGGAATGAAGCATATGTCTAAGGTCTGGGACACTTCCAGAAGAAGGAAAGTCTGGATTTGGGTCTTAAGGAGCCCTGGTACAGAATGAGGGTACTAGACACCCTCAGGAGATGTTTCTCATGACACAGGAAGGACTAGAGAGGAGAGGAAAGTGGGTGCTGAGTAAAAGCTTTGCTTACTTCTCAACTTGTTCTTGTGTCCAGTTATGGGCATCTTGGTAGGAGAACTTCACTAAAGGTCAACAAAGGATTAAACAAAACTCTAAAATGTATGCATAATTAACATCTTCCCTTAATGCCAGAGTAAACGGATAGAAGTAGTAGGAAAGAGTTCACATTTATGTTGTCTGATTTACATGTGCTACCAATGTCTTTAACAACAATGTTTTTTACAAACGTCTCGGTTATCAGCTGCTCAACTTCTGAGGCTCAAAAATATGAGCCCAGGGCTTCCCTGGTGGCGCAGTGGTTGAGAGTCCGCCTGCCGATGCCGGGGACACGGGTTTGTGCCCCGGTCCAGGAAGATCCCACATGCCGCGGAGTGGCTGGGCCTGTGAGCCATGGCCGCTGAGCCTGCATCCGGAGCCTGTGCTCCGCAACGGGAGAGGCCACAACAGTGAGAGGCCCACGTACCGCAAAAAAAAAAAATTTAAAAAAATAAAATATGAGCCCATTTTTAGTGTTCATAAGACACTTATTTTTAAAGAACATAACTCCATCTTTGACAGATTAGCAGGTATACTGGATATAGTATCTTTTGTTTTCTTTGTTTTCACTTGCCACTTTGTACATGGGGGAGTCGTTAAAGGAAATTGAGACTTGCAGGCTAAATTTCTGGCAAGAAAAGCTGTAAAAGCTGCCATTTGTTAACATCTTTGAGTAAGAAATGCCTCTTCCAAAAACATCAACTTACATCACTAGCAATATTTCTTGATGCCTTGGCTGCTTGGATTGGAATGGCATCCACGCGCAAGTCATAGCCTTCCTTCTTTGACTCTTCCAAAGCAAGTTTATAAAGTTTCTGCAAAAAAGGAATTGATCAATCGTTACTCCTTTCATAAAAAATGAAACTATTTATTACTAAGCTTTCTCTGTCCTCATTTAAACTACACAGAATTAAGTATTAGTATGAGTTTGTAGAAAACTTTCATAGGTGCTCAAGGATTTTAAGGCACATGGTTTAAACTTTGATGTTTTATTGATTAGTAAATCTAAAAAGTTTTTTGGGGAAATCAGCATCAGGTTGCTAAAATTTTGTTTTGCCAAGCAAGCAAAACTGTAAAAAACAAAAACAAAAACCCGGCTATTTATTGTCATGATCTTAATATAAAAGGAAGGCCATTTTTATGCCAAAGAAGGAGAAGGAATAAATACAGTATTTTTAAATTGAATATATTTGGATTTGTGAACAACTCAATGCGTTGTCCTTATTTTCTCCCATTTTACCATGGATTATCATCACAGACCTTGATTGATCTGTGTAGACTAGGGTTTCAGAATCTTCACTCTGATGAAAATGTTGGTCCTGAAGGAGATGGCTAGGAAAATGCTTGCAAATAACATTAAATGGTAACCAGAACACAATGAAGTGGCAAAAGAATACACAGTATGGTAACTCACTGTTTTAACCTAGTGACTGCCTGCTAAATAGTTGTTGAATTAAAATAATGACTTGATAAGCACACTGACCTGTAGGGGAAGGCTTTAAGAGTATATTCCCTATTGGGATACTTCCCCAAAATCATTTCATTCTCTGGTATCATCTTCATAAAAGGCTAGTCTACTTTGTGGACCTACCACAGAGACCAAAATTGAATCAAGGGAAAACTATCTCTTGAATCAAGGGAGAACTATTTCTTTTATTGACAGTGTTGTTCTGGAGAATGTACAATAGATTAGTCAAAAGGTTTCACTAAGGATATTATTACAATAGTTCATTTTTGCCTTTCTCTTCATGATATGATCAGTAGTTTACTCACATTACTGTAGTTTATTCGGTTGAGTTTGGCTAGCATGATTTCTGGTGTATCAGGCATGACATGGATTGTTTTCTTGTCATTGTCCCAGGCTTCAGTATATAAGTGCTATGAAAAAAAAATGAGAAAAATTATTTTGGAGTTCACAGACAGTTTTTCTTTTGATTATGTGCCAGTCACCTCTCTTCTGTACAAAGTAGAAATAAAATTACTAAAGTTGCATAAATTCCTACATTTCATGTAGATAAATTACTATTTCCAAGAGTATTTAGCTCACTTTTTCATTGACTCAGAGTTTTTACTGTTTCTTATTAAAATTTTTTAACAGTTCTGAAAAGTATAATTGAGTTGCAGAATTTAATATCTATAATTGTGAAATAATTACAGCATATGGTATTTTTAACATCAGTTTACTATTCTGAAGTATTACTAAGTAACTATGGTGTTATAATGGGAAAATCATTTTAAAAGGTATTGTAAATCCTATAGGAATCTTTAAAATGTAGTAACATGTCAGAATTTTTACTTCATTCTATGGTAAATTCCCATACCCAATGGTGAGGAGTGAAGACTCACCTTACTCATGTTTATAGCGTTGTTCTTGGCCAGCACCTGCTCCAGGGAGTCAGTTATGCTGGTAAATTTCAGTGTATCTGGACGCTGGCGGTAGATGTTATCACTCAGTATCTCTCCGGCCCTCTTGGCTTTAACTATTTCCACGGAGCCAATTGGAACCCAGCCAATGCCTTTCATCCATTCAAGGTCTGACTTATACAAATTCTTCAAATCAACCAACAAGAAACACTTTTATTAATTAATTGTTCAGATTCACAGTCACAAAATGGATCATACTAGAGAAACACAAAAGCACTGATGAACAGGTAAAGCTGCCATCACAATCACTCATTCAGAAGCATTATTGAATCCTGAGTACATTTTTTTCCTAAGCATTTTTTGGCACAGAGGATTGTACTAGGAATGATGAAAGATCTTTTTTGAAAAGTAAAAACACAGTCCTGCCCTTGAGGGTATTACAAGACTTTTTACACAAGAGCAGAGTTTCTTTAGCTTTGGAAAATGTGTTCTAATAGCTCCCCAAAAGACTGCATACTTAGACCAATGCTGTGTAAGTGTTGCAGTCACAAAAACTTTTGCCTTTTTTTTTTTTTTAAAGGGAAAGGAGGTGAAATTCAACTATAGTTGTGAGTTTCAACACATAGTAATGTTAAGTTTTACAAATCACGCTCTTGATTTGCATTTTTAATTGAGATATAATTGACATATACTAGTTTCAGGTGTACAATATCATGATTCAGTATGTGTGTATATGGCGAAATGATCACCATACCTACACTTTTTTTTTTCTTATGATGGGAGATTTTAAAAAAACTCTTGCCTTTATTTTCATCTTCAAAATCACAAAATATGAAGTGTGTAATGTGGTGTTCTAGAGATAATAATATGAGATATATCCTAATTATTTTATTTTACTCTCAATAGGGCATGCTAACTGTATTATTATTATTGCACTAGTATTATTGTTGCTGTTGTTATTATTATTATTGTTAACACTAGTATGCAGAAGCAGCATTGGGGGTACTCACATCACTCTGGAGGTCATAAGCTTTCCGAGCATGGATGACATCATTCTGGTCGGGCAGGCAGGTCCACTCATGCAGAGGATGTTTATAGTCCACATCACTGACCAAGGTCTGACATTTCTTGGCCAAAACGATACCAAGCGTGTCCACTGGGCTGCTGAACCTGGTCTTATATTTTTCAAAATCTTTCTTGTACTCACGGTCACTCTGCATTTTGGCAATGTGGAGGGACCACATCATCTTGGGGTCATCATGTATCATCCGGGCACCAATATGGTGACCCAACTGCTTACGATAAGTTTCTTTGTATTTGTACTGAAAGAAAAGAACCCAGTAAATGAGGAGGAAGTGGCAAGGGCTGGTCCCAGTTGCTCTCTCTGTGGTGATGCTTTTCTATGAAATCCTCAAGACATCAGGGGAATTTCATCAAACATGATGCTGTGATGCTACACACTGGGGCATGCTTTCACCCAAAAAAGAAGATACGGTGCTCATTTCCACACCTCTATAGAGAATAACTCCACATTGATTCCTTTATATTATGCTAGAAAATTAGGTGTTTTAATCACAAAAAAAGTGATTAAAAAGTGAACACTGGGCTTCCCTGGTGGCGCAGTGGTTGAGAGTCCGCCTGCTGATGCAGGGGACACGGGTTCGTGCCCTGGTCCGGGAGGATCCCACATGCCGCGGAGTGGCTGGGCCCGTGGGCCATGGCCTCTGGGCCTGCGCGTCCGGAGCCTGTGCTCCGCGGCGGGAGAGTCCGGGACGGTGAGAGGCCCGCGTACCGCAAAAAAAACCAAAACCAAAAACGAAAACAAAAAGTGAACACTGAATGAGCTCAATTACAGTGACAAGCAGTTTCTCAGAAGTTGGTCATGTGAGTGGACCCAAGTGAGAACATATTGGAGGGAAATGTTTACATGGCTCATTAATTTTCTTTTTTTTAAGGCATTCTGAGAAATAATTTGTCCTCTGCACAAATAAACTGGAAGGAGTAGTTTTAAAATGGATAATTTTTGTTGATAATGAGCATAGCGTTTCAGTTTTGCAAGATGAAAAAGTTCTGGATGTCTGTTGTACAATAGCATAAATATACTTAATTATACTAGACTATATACTGAAAATGGTAAAGACAGTGAATTTTGTTATGTATTTTTATTATGATTTAAAAGAAAAACCTATCAAAATGGACAATTTTGCTACTCTTAATATTTAAGTTGTCCAGGAACCTGATGTATTAATTTTTAGGGTAAAGGAATGTTGATTTTTGTGGGCCCCATAGCAGAGACGTTTAACTTTTTTGCTATCCTACGTCCTTCCTCAAGTCATGGGGAACTCAGTTAAGCCTGCTTCTTTATTGGCATCTTTGCCTCGAGTGTAGCCTGAGGAGAGCTCATGAGGTTTCATGAGTAGCTCAACATATGTCCATTTAACTTTGACCAAGGCACTTAGTCTTACTAAGCAAAGACCAAAAGATGAGCAACAAAGGAACCATATCCCAGTGTGTCTCTATGAAACTTGTAATCTTGGGCAGGTTACCTACTGTCTCAAAGCCTCAATTTATCTGCCTGTGCAATGAAGGCAGTTAAGATGGATGATGACTACAGAGACTTCCAGCTGTGTCCCAAGAGTGTGATTCCCTATGCAGGTGGCTGGCCTGTTGGTAACAAACGTAAGGATGTGATCAACTCTTACATCACTGGCAATATCCCGGGAGGCCTTGGCAGCTACGATGGGAATGGCGTCACTTCTTAAGTCATAGCCTTCTTTCTTGGCTTCTTCCATGGCCTGGCGATAGAGGTTCTGAAGGAAGAAGTAGTAGCTTTTAGATACAGTGCTCACTTTCACGCTAAAAATGTATTTCTGTCAAAGGAAGACTACTTTTGGATGCAGAACACTAGTATGTTTAGCCTTAAATAAATTTAAAAAAAAAGTCTCTTTCTTCCTTTTACTTCCTACATATACAAGCTATTTATTTAACTTGAAATTTTACTTTCAGCAGGTCTAACACAACTTTTCCTTGGATAAATCCCTCTAGATTTTACACATTAAGTCATTAACTCTGAAATGTGCTTGGATGGCTCAGCACTTATTCTTTTCATGAAATAACCAAGAAATGACTTTATTTAACTGCAAATTTGAATTAGGACCAATTTTACTAGCAGAGAATATGATTATATAACAACAACACTACCATCATGAGCATGTACCTGTATTCAAACAGTGCTAAACGGAGGATAATCCATTGTTTCTGAACATCTTTGTTAATATTGATTTGCTCTCTATTCATTTTGTCGATTGCCAGAAATTGCTAGCAGACAGAGGGATAGCAGATACCAGATATTTATGAGACAAAAGGACAAAATTGATGAAATTATAATAATTTCTTTATGAATTGGGACATACCCACTGTTCAGTTTCTGTGGCAGGACAGATGCACACAGAAGGTGGAACACAGGTATTCCATGGGAACACAGCTTGAAAACCATGGCATTAAACAAATCATCTATACCAGTAGTATTCAGTCTTTTTTGCTTGTGAACCATTACAAGAATTTAGTGCTTTGTTATTAATAATTTTTAAATGAATTTAGAGTCTGAGAAGGATGTCCTTAAATGTTTTTAATGTAGATTATTAACGTGTGACAATTCACATTTTTTTCATGTTGAGATTTTACAAGGTAAAGCTAAAGTAAATAAGAATAAATTTAATGTATTTGAGATAAAGTCCCAAGGGCATTTGTTCTTCTTAAAAATTTCTAGGGACTTCCCTGGCGGTTCAGTGGTTAAGAATCCGCCTGCCGATGCAGGGGACACAGGTTTGAGCCCTGGTCCAGGAAGATCCCACATGCTGCGGAGCAAATAAGCCCTGTGTGCCACAACTACTGAGCCTACGCTCTAGAGCCTGCGAGCCACAACTACTGAGTCCATGTGCCACAACTACGGAAGCCCTCATGCCTAGAGCCTGTGCTCTGCAACAAGAGAAGCCACTGCAATAAGAAGCCCTCACGCTGCAACAAAGAATAGCCCCTGCTCACTGCAACTAGAGAAAGCCTGAGCACAGCAATGAAGACCCAATGCAGCCACAAATAAATTAATTAATTTAAAAAAATTTTCTAGAAATATTCATTTTGTAACTAGAGTCAAATACTCTTATACTTTATATTTTTCCTTTGAAGAATAAATTCTCAAGTTTATCCTTATGTATAAGTGGGAAAAATGTGCTTGAATCATCTTCCGGCTTCAGGCCAAACAAAATTTTTTCATTCTTTCAACATTAGAAAAAGATGCACGGCTTCAAAGAAAACACTTTTATTATCATCAAGGCTACGTTTTAAAGAATGTTTGGTACGTTATTTATCCAAGAGAACTAGAATAGGTAGATGAGAGTTTAAGAGAAAAAAAATAAGATATAGTTACTTTGTTTTGTTAAACTTTACTGAGCTAAGTATGGAATGAAGGTACCATTCGTAATGGGTTGAGAAGAAATTCAGGTGGGCCGTTTTGAAATCTAATCTTCAGGAGACAGTCTTTAGGGAATTAACATAATCATGCAATTTTAAAGAAATAAATCCAGATGAAAATTTTAGAAATTAAAAAAATAGCCCAATTTCCTCTCAGCAGTCTGAAAAGAAAATACCCTACCTCATCTGACCTAATTTTATCAAAAGGGAGAGGCTTAAAAGCATTATCCCTTTGGGATAGAAACTAACTTCATCTGCCTGGGGTGAGGCAGAATGTCTGGGAAAAGATAGTCCAACAGAGAAGCCCTGTGGCCAAGAGAAAAATCGTTCATTCAAAAATGACTGAAGCCAAGGTCAATCAAATCCTCGTGATCAGGCTTGTCCTTGGGTCTGTTTTATAACGCTAGACAAAAGGAAATTGTCTCCTCTTCATTTCGCTTGTCATGCCTCTTCTTTAGGGCTACATTATGATAGGCAAAAGTAATTAATGGGTAAAATAATAATATGGTCAAGTCTTGAAAATGAGTATTTAAAATTTCCAATGTTCTCAAACTAAAGGGAAGTCTGCCTTTTTTTTGTTTAATGAAGACACAAAACAACATGTAAGAAATCAATATTCATCTTGAATGAACCAGATAAGTCTTGACTTTGGCAAGAACAATTGGGCAAGAAGCTTTTTCTGCGGCAGTACTTCTATTCTGCAAAGATTTGTGATGGCAAGTTTAGTGGGGCTGGAGATAGTATGTAAAAAAAAAATTTTTTTTTAATTGTCCTCAGGCAATTTTGAGATGGATGAATTTAAGAATTTTTATTTCTGTTCTTGTAAATAAACTGAAGTTATTTTGAGCATATTAAATAAATCTAATCTTCACGGTGACTTGAGCGTAAAGGGAAGAAATTAAAGTTTATTAAGCAGCTACTGTATGCCAGGCTCTACACTGGGCATATTATATACACTACCCCATTGAGCCACCACAAAAATTCTTCGATAGACATTTTTATCTCATTTTACAGATGAGGTAACTAAAGAAAAACTCATAGAACAAATTTTGAAGTAAGTACTAATCTGATAAATAGCAATAATTATTTTTTAATTAAAATTACAATATGATTCTATCATTAATAGTTGACTTTGAGAGTTTCACCCCGCTCCTGACATGGAGATATTTTTGTATTTATCCATTTCCCTATGTATTTTTTTAATTGAAGTATAGTTGATTTACAATGTTGTGTTAATTTTTTCTGTAACTATTCTTGAATATAATGATACATATATTCAGGGTAGGTTATGGCAAAAATAAATAAATAATTGGTCAACATGAGAATTAAATCCATAATTCTGACCTTTCTACTACATCAGCAAAATAACGTGGCCAGGTCAAAACAAATGGTCTTACCCCACTATAATTTATTTTATTTTGTCTTGCCAACATAATTTCAGGTGTATCAGGCATCATGTGGATTTGGGTCTTGTCTTTGTCCCAGGCTTCTGTGTATAAGCGCTGTGAAGGATAAAAAGGTTAATGAATTAGAACAACAATGTTTGCTGTAAACAGAGGTTTCCAACTTAGAGATCATGACAAAGTTGAAAGCCAGTCTTCTGACTATCTGGGCTGTCTGCTGTATATCAACATTCTTCAATCTCTTTGATGTTACAAGATATTATTGTCACTAAATATAAGTGTAGACTAAGATATGAAAAGAAAATGTGTGTGTGTTTCATTACAAGATCACCTCCACTCCAATTAAATTAAAAGCAAGTATTTTCCAAGCATGTATACACGTCCATATGTACTGAGGCTGTATCAACAAATTCTTCCCATGATTTCGTCTGTTTGTCTGTTTATTAACTGCAAATTTACCTGGATATGCCATCTCTAGATTTCTTTTTGATAAAGGTTATGAAGATTTGCACCTGACTTGTTTGTTCTATACTTACTTAGATAAGTACCCAACGAGAAAGGAACCTTGATACCAAACATGTATAACTGTTATAGACTTAAAACAATTTAAACACCAAACAGCTGTCCTACTCCTAACTCTATTTCACAAGAGATGTCAAAGCAGAAATTCCCACATATACTTGGGGAATCCCAATACAGAACTCAATCAAATCACCATACACAGGATGGCAACTAGATAAAACAAACAAAAGGACTAACTTAATTAGTAACAGATATTCTCAAGGACATACAGCCCTGTTTTATTTTCCCCCACATTGGGGGCTCACCTTGTTCATGTTGATGGCGTTGTTCTTGGCCAGCACCTGTTCCAGAGAATCAGCCACACTGGTAAACTTCAGCTTGTCTGGACTCTGGCGGTAGATGTTGTCACTCAGTATCTCTGCAGCTCTCTTGCATTTGACCACATCCACAGACCCAATGGGGACCCAGCCAATGCCTCTCATCCACTGGAGATCTGATTTATAAATGTTCTGGTGAGACCAAACACAAAAGCAAGAATTACTGAAGCTGTTAGGACTCCTGATTTCAAAAATGAATGAAAAGGACTGGAAAAAGTGGATAGGCAAACTTCATGTCTATGTCTTTTAAAATATGAAGCCCAACTGGATATAGTTCATGGTATTATGTTCTCTCTAAAACAAAAGTAAGGCACAGTAAATTAAAGGTGGAGAGGAAAAAACGTTATTTTTTTCCTGAGGGCTTTACCTAATCCTAGGCCATTATCTGCATATTACTATGTATTATCGTCATGAGCATGGTCAACAGTGGTGTTTAAGGAGTCTCAGTACTCACGTCGCTCTGGAGGTCATAGGCCTGCCGAGCGTGCATGACGTCGTTCTGGTCGGGCAGGCAGGTCCACTGGTGCAGGTAGTTCTTGTAGTCCGCGTCACTGACCAAGGTCTGGCACTTCTTGGCCTGCACCACCCCCAGCATGTCCACTGGGCTGCTGAACTTGGTCTTCCACTTCTCAAAGTCCTTCTTGTACTCCCGGTCACTCTGGATCTTGGCCACATGCATGGACCACATCATCTTCGGGTCATCTTTGATGTCCCGGGCTCCAATGTGGTGGCCAAGCTGCTTGCGGTAACCATCTTTGTATTTATACTGAAATAACAGTAGTCATTTTAAAAATAAAAATGAATGAAAAGGGCTAAAAGTCTTATTAATATAAAACTTCATTATTTTAAAATTGGTAATTCTTGCAGAGAAATAAATCATCTGAATATCAACTTATCTCCTCATCCTAAACTCTGATGAGACTTCACAGCAATACTCTAATGGGGAGCAGGCCAAACTTCATAGTTCTATGCTTTGCAGACACTAAGTCTCTGGAAATAAAGGCAGCAGCACTTTTCAGAATCAGTTGGAGTTGTAAACTGCCATTTTTTAAATCTTTTTGGGGCCAGTGAAATCATTAACCCAGAAGTTTTACACATGATTTTTAGAACAACTCCTGAGTTCAGAGGAAACTTTTCACTCCCCTGCCCATCCCGCCTCTCCCACATCTGGCTCTGCTAACTTTCACAGGACTCCTGAAATAGACTGGCTTGCATTTCCATCCTGTATACCGGCTCTACTGGACACCAAATTTGGGTGAGGTCTGTTGGGATTCCGCGAGGAGAAAAAACAGATTATATAACTACAAGAAAGTGTTTTGTTGTTGGCGATGGTAAGAGCTGACTCTGGATTAGCTTCTCTCCACTTCAGGCAACAAAATTACACAAATCCTAGCATATATTTACTGAAGTCTGAATTCTCTACCAAAGGAACTTCTTTCGGAGACAGTGGAAAGAGAAATCAGGCTATTTTGTTGGTTTTGGTTGTTATAAAACTTTTTTTTTCTTTTTTCATTTAAAAAGAACTCAAAGGAAGCACTTAAGGCAATTTTTCAAAGGAAGGGTTGGCAAGAATCCAGAGCAGGTTTGGGGAAGGGTGAATTTTCCTGAACCTGGCTGTACCAGATCTTTTTCTTATGCTGAACCAATACACGTACCCAAGCTTTTTCCCCAACTCTTCTGTCATTTTCTTATTTCTATGTGCTCAAAATATGCAGATGAATGCCTTATAGTTACAGATATAAACAAATGTAGATTCAAATTCCATTTTTTAACTGAAGTTTAGGATACCCCCTCTGCATATGGGACCTGAATATTAAAATCTTTTGGAGTTAAATTATTAAAGCTCTTTTGAAATGAAAAACATTTCATTTAAAGCACAGTAAATGTGCTTTAACTGGCACCAGGATGTATCTTGCTGTTGTAATACTGATTCTGTCCCACCCCCATCCAGCCATGTACATATGTGGAGTGTTGGTACTCACATCACTGATGATGTCCCTGGAGGCCTTGGCTGCCACGATCGGGATGGCATCGCTTCGCAAGTCATAGCCTTTCTTCTTTGCTTCTTCATTGGCGAGTTTATACAGAGCCTATAGAAGCAAAGTCAGACTTAAAGCAAAGTTTTGATAGCAACAATTTGGAGTCTAACAGGTGACATATCACAAAATTTAAAAAAGGATAGGCTCCAGAAACAATCTAACTTTCTAGCAATATTGGGAAGTAAATAAATTATATTTTACCAAAAAAAACTATGTAGCATTAGAAACAAATGAAATATATCAATGAGCATTAACATAGATTGATAGAGTAATCTATTATTTATATCACTATAGATTAATATATATAATATGTAGATTATGATACATTATGCATAACATAATATTAATGTTAATATAATCTATGTTAATGTTAATGTAATATAGATTGATAGGCAAAGCATCAATCTATACGTATTTCTAAATGAAAAAATTGCAGAACAATGTGTTTAATATTATTCATTTGTATATAAAATATATATTTATATACTTTTACCTAGTTCTTTATCACTTAAACATTTTTGAAAATCATGTAATATCTTATGATGTTTAAAAAAACAAATGAGAAAAAAATTAAAGTACAATTTAAAACATAGTTAACTTGACTATAATCACAACTTTATGATTCTAATTTTTGGCTGGATCATATCAGTAAAGCATTCACCTATAAAACTGCATTTTACTTAAAAAAAATAGTAATCAGTATTGTTAATGGAGAGCACTTTTTCCCCATGCCTGAGGTTCTCTTTCTATAAAAGGAGCTCGATTATTTCATCTCTGCCCCTTTACTCTCTTTACCCTGGAGAGGTGCAGTGATTTCCTGATGTATCTAACTGGTAGGGATGGGATAGCAGGGCATGCCCAGCTCAGCTCTGACCTCCTCCCTCTAGGAACATGCCCAGTGCCCTCCTCTGCTTCTCTGTGCGAAGCAGGACTCTCCCCTGAGGGAGGTAGAGCTGATTGTCCTGCTCCAGTGTGGCCTGTGCCTGGATGGGGAACCTAATTCTGGGGTTCACTTAGCAGGTTTGTTTGGCTCTCATACAAATGTGTACTTGAACCTAACTTTAGTAGTAAGAGATGTGAGATTTTGACTTCTAGTTCCACTCCTTTGTTTTACTTCTCAATTTTATTCAGGATCCAGGTGGGAAAGAGGTGCATATTATTACAGGTCCCCTTGGTAGGGTTGCCAGATTTAGCAAATAAAAAGATAGCATGCCCAGCTGAACTTGAATTTCAGATAAATAACAAATAATGGTTTCATATAAATAATGAGCTAGTATTATATCTGGTTATCCTACGCCTTGGAAATGCCAAAAATACTCCTCAGTTCCACTGACCCACACTGGTAAAGACCATAAATGGAAAAGATAATGTGACTTCAGTTTGCCCCTGGAATCCTATAGCGTATGATATTCAACCCACAGATGAAAGGTTGGATGGCCTGAGTGTTCATATCGCAGAGCTGCACGTACCATGATAGCTGAGGTCCGAGAATATCCACAAAAGTGTAGAAGACAAACAATAACAACAACAATAACAACAAAACGAGCGTGGTCCCCCAGGATTTTGCCCCTACCGCACTGTAGTTGAGCTTGTTCTGCCTCGCCAACGTGATCTCCGGGGTATCAGGCATTATATGAACTTGAGTCTTGTCTTTGTCCCAGGCCTCTGTGTATAAGTGCTATCAAAGAATATGTTGATAGAAAACCATTTGAAAAAAAAAAGAAAACCATTTGAAATAGGAATTACAAAAAGCCAATTAAAGCAGGAATGTTACTGATCTAATTAGGAAAATTAACCACACTAGGATTTAAGGTATTCAGCTGGAGGTTTGTCTTAATGATAGTTACCAGGGTTACAACTAGGGATAATAGAAAGTACTTAGAGCATTTCAAGTACATCATTTAGGAGGTAAACGTGACCCCACACCTGCATGGATAATTTTAACTCCACTAGTCACTAAAGTCTAAAAACCTCTTTTGGCATCTTGAAGAAGCTTGAGGCAGCTGGGGCTCACCTTGTTCATGTTGATGGCATTGTTCTTGGCCAGCACCTGTTCCAGAGAATCAGCCACACTGGTAAACTTCAGCTTGTCTGGACTCTGGCGGTAGATGTTGTCACTCAGTATCTCTGCAGCTCTCTTGCATTTGACCACATCCACAGACCCAATGGGGACCCAGCCAATGCCCCTCAACCACTGGAGATCAGACTTGTAAACGTTCTGTGAGGAGGAAAAAGGCAGGAACTCTTCAGTAAGACTGAAAGATTTAGGGTCAACGTGCAAATAGAATCGATAGTAAAGTTACAATTCTGGTTGTTGCTCTTGTTGGTTTCATAGAAAACTGGCTCCCTGTGTTAGGCAGACTAACAGAGGAAGTATGTTCAAAAACGAGCCAAAAATGTAACCAAAAAATGATAGAATATTTCAGGTTGTTAGGACAGGAGGAATCCAAATGAATATCTTCTGTCAGTCAGTTCAGTGGATGTTCACTGCTCGTGTACACAGGAAAAGAATGCCAACCCAAAGTGAGAGAAACCACACATATGTCGACCTACAGGCTGTCAGTAAATAAATATTAGGTCCAGTCAAATGAAACACTCTGCAGCCATTAAAAGCCACATTTTAAAGAATATCAATGATTGGTAGAAATGTCATTAATGTAACAATAACGAAAAAATAGCACATAAAACAATCTGTATATAAATTACATGAGCAGGAGTGGGCTTTTTCAGTGGTTGGATTATGTTGGATTCTTACTGCTTTCTGTGTATTTTTTCTTATATTTCAAAATATCTGTAAAGCTCTTGGTTTCACAACAAAAAAGAGAAGTTAAAATATAATAATGACATAGAACCTCTGAAGCCCTGAGGCAGACCTTTGACTACTTCAACACTGTCCAAGATTCAGGACAATAAATGACCATCTTTATTGGTCCAGAACCCGTCTCTTCCCCACCAAATCCTCAGGCTGCGAAGCACAAACTCCTTTCCAGAATTGTCTTTCCATATCTTTATTTAACACTTTAAGTCATTTTTTCTGCTAAAGACTTTTGTGTACTCATTAGGCATTCATAACTACTTCACAACGGTGGCATTGGACCTTTGCCCAGATCATTTGAAGGATTTTACCTGTAACGGCAGTTAAGTACAGCATACAGACAGCTATTTTACTGTCTAGACTAAAAGCCTATTGGAACCGCCTTATGCTGACTAGTTATTGCCCCTTAAATAACAACAGCAAGAATGAAAACAATAACATTTAACACCTCTGGAGTGCTTCTTAACTTTCGAATGCTTCCCACATTATTAAGACCGTGTCACCGTGAGAAGGAGGTGATCTCAAAAAGGCACTTGACAAATAGACAGAGGCAAGCAGTCTGTCAATGCTGTCATTCTATGGGTGACATTAACCGTTTTTAACTACCTTTCAGATGCAGGCAAAGCCTTTCTTTGCAAAACACAGGGTTCTGCATGTTGTGGAAAGCTACAGAACAAATGTGGGAGTTTCCACAGGTAGGCTGTACAATTTCTAGGAACAGCCATTTAATGTATAATTATGGTTAATTCATGTTATTCTCCAAAGTCCTCTAATGCTTAATAATTCCTTTAAATGTCTATAAAATATATGCTGCAGGAAATGTGCTTGTCACACCCAGATTTGAGATGCTGCCTCTGTTTCTAATAGGTACCGGTTCTGTCATTACCACATGACGTCTCCACAAAGAGAGCTGTGCTGAGAGGCCAAAGTGTCAATGGAATGACCCAACAGCTTCCAGACACAGTGACTTCTTTTATTTCGTAAGAGTAACGATTAGTGTTGTAGCAGTATTCTGCTAATGATAACCTCATTTGTTTTGCAAGGAAGCTAAAAATAAATTTCTGAGTAATTTTTAAAAATAAAAATGTGTTATTTCTTTCCCCCTTAAAAGAATAAAATAAAACGTCTTCCTGTGTTGGACCCTGAACTCTAACACTGCTTAATCCAGTCTTATTTTTATAAGGCCAGGTCCAGTTGGTAAACTTCACTTCCTTATAAAGCCTAGTAATGTATCCACAATAAAGCAATAAAACTATACTCTGATTCAAATCTCATTCGATGACCAAGAAATCCTAGCTTGAGTAGGCCAGTGGATTGTTTACAAAGGATAACGTTCATATGCTTCAAGTTATTTCCGCACACAGCCCTGTTACGGACGTGGTACTCACATCGCTCTGGAGGTCATAGGCCTGCCGAGCGTGCATGACGTCGTTCTGGTCGGGCAGGCAGGTCCACTGGTGCAGGTAGTTCTTGTAGTCC